TTTGCCACTTTTCTCTCTTGTTCTGTTTCAGTTAATTTTTCGTTTATCAAGGGCATCCTTTTGTTCATCTGAGGGACACGAATGTCGTACTAATCCCCGCTTTTCTTAACCATCCATTTCCTGTTTTGGTTTTGGTTTAGCTGACCCTCCCTCGCCCCCCCCCGTGAAACGGAAGCAAGGGAACGTCTACGCAAGCCTGACATCGATCGTATTCCGTGACGTCACGCTAATTTATGCAAAATAATGTTCATTTGATAAAATTTTTTTTGCAAGGTGGCACGTGTTAGCGTGAAGGTTATCGAGATAAACAAAAACACTGAAGTGAATTCATTTTCCATTTTTCGGGTAAATTTGCGATTTAGCGTCCGATTTCAAATATATATTTTGCTTTAAGGATATAGGAAAAGACTGTGAGCAATTTTTGGCATAGAGTAAGAGGAGGACGATGTTCAATTAGCATCGCGCTTATGCGGGTATCAGCGGCCATCCCGAGGGGTCGACCCCCGGGCAACCCAAGGGCAACCGACGGGCTTAGCAGGGGATTTGTAGCAAAGGTATGCCCCGCACGCGGGGCATTAGAGCGCTTTTGCGTTTTTGGCAAAATACCCCGGGGCCATACCCACGGGATTTGCACGTAATCTGCTGTCTCAACGTTCAGCGAGGCTCCAGGGAATACGGCGCGAATAATAAAAACAAACACTGCAAGGAAAGCTATGTGCGTTTGACAAATCGGGAAATCTTGGCGTCTTTTATTTGTCCTTTGCAGTTTATTTTCCTGTGTACCATGGTCAAGTATTGTGCTGTTGCTCTGTGCCGTAATGGGAGTAAGAAACGACCTGATCTCAGTTATTTTTGCTTTCCTACAAGGCCCAATGAGCGTAAGAAGTGGGAGGTTTTCTGTAAGCGAGCGGATAAAAAATTCAAGACACTCGGCGATCCAAGAATCTGTTCATTGCATTTTAAGGAAAGCGACATCGAGATTTCAATTTCATACGGTTAGTTCGCATTCGAAGCGTCTTGCCGATAGGAAGAGACAGTGTGATGAACAACCAAGCAAGCCAAGAAAGTTTGCCCCAGAAAGCTCGAATTTGAGGACTCCATAGAGACTTGTGTGGATTTTAGTGCTGATGTGGCTTCAGTAAACCATGATCACTCGTACTTTTGCATCGAGGAACAGGCAACATCGACTATATGTTGCCCAGGTTGCTCCAGGGGTGGGGGTATTTGTCCCAATTTTTTGCCCTACCCGAGGGGCTTTAGCATGTATTTGTCACGGCAGCTGTGACAAATGCCCCTGGGTGCCCGGGGGTCGACCCCTCGGGATGGCCGCTGATACCCGCATTACGAAACTAGATTTCAACGTCCACGGGGTTTCTGCTTGAATTTGTAAACAGTGCCACGGTCGACGAAAAAAGATGGATCGTTTGCCGCAGAGTCTCAAGGCTTTTACAGATTTCTTTAAGAGATAGTTATGCTGCGAGTTTGAAGAAAGAGCTACTCTTTTCTCAGTCGAAAGAATCGCTGCAAGAAACAACTAACCCTAATTTAAGTGACTAAACGTCCGGCAGCCGGACACTTTCTTAACAGCTTCGTAGCACCGTTCGCAAAGAGACCGAAATTGAAGGAGGACAATCCTCTCGGCCCAAGTACCTTAAGATAGCGCACCTGGTCTTCTGTGAGAGCTTTAACGGGCGGCACAATAGATATAGTGACCGGTTTCTTCTAGAGAAGAGAGGCGATAGATCACTGACGCTGCATGATATATTAAAGATTTTCCATAGTCATAAACACAACAGACAGCGTAGCCAATTAGGTTGCGTAATTTATAATTTACGCCATTGGATTTGTACTTATATTGGTTATCCCGTGTATTGGTGTTAGATTAATTCAGTGTTATGTTTAACTAAATTTAAGTCATATGAGAAACGCATCATGAGCAAAACTTAAAGTGCTTGCACTTTCTCACATCCTTCAATGTCATCATTTAACTTCTTATTTTTATTGAAAGAAAATCATGCTCTAACTGATGCAAACTTTTTTTTCCAAATTTTTTGATGAAATTCAGCACTCCACGCTTCCCACATAGAACCTCTAGCCCTAAATGGTTTTTTTGCTCGATCACGGTGAATCAAGACATGACTTGGGAAGAACCCAAGGCTCAGATATCAGTTTCGTCACTGGGGATATCGATGTGCTGAGAGAAGGTGATATCTATCCGTTGGCCGTGAATCGATGAACTGAAAGCCATGTGAAAGTCAGAAAGAATGGACAGATCGAGATCGTGAGGCGTACGTTGCACGGCCAGTCGAAAACTGTATCTCTTTCTTGTCTTGATCCGAGAAATAATTAATAATTATCCCTTCCCAATAATTCTGTTGACAATGGAAGACGTCAGAAAGCGACAGCGGTGTTTGATTGGCCAAGAGAATTTAAAGCATATCAAGGAAACTATGATTCTTTAGCTGATATTTTTGTCGGTGCTTAAACTGTAGACACGTTTGGGGTTTGTGCACGTGGAAACTATATATCCTCTTGCATGATACAATGCATAAAAACCCATTTGCTTTGGTGATCGATGGAATAGAATAACACCAAAGAAAACCTAGTCCGTAAATTCAGTAAAAAGTTATATTAGAATTCTAGTCAAAACAAGATGTTTATTGTTGGTTGAATCTAATATAAGCTTTAATTTCCATCTCGGACATCTCAAAGAACGATGTTCAAGTTACGAAAATCCGACACAATTAGACATAAATACCAAAAATACCAAAAAAGGTCCTATCAGAATCAATAATGAGGACTTAACCTACAGCGATGTAGGACCTCAAACAAGAGAGACGCCTTGACAAACCAAAACTCAAACAGTTAAAAAAAACGCTACTGTAAACGGGGGCGAAAAACAAGGCCGATTTTTGCTTTTGGCAGGAGAAGGATGGTATAACATCCTGTGAATACGTGACCCTAAACTTGTACGGTTTCCGTGTACTCTGGCTGACGTCACTTCCTTTTCTAAACTCCGGACTCCAGCGACCTTTTAACAAGAATTACCAAATTGGGTTGTTTACGGCTGATCATATTTGATTATGACTACCAAATAGGGGAACATGTCGGAAATCGGCTCCTTAAACACTTACCGGCTCACGTCTTAGGGTTATTTGATAATAAGGCTGAAACATAGGGTTAAGTGGCGAAAATAATTGAAAACGTCTTAATAAGGAAATGAATTTTTGGAAAACACATTTGCATTTTTCAGCAAGGCTGAGATTATGAAACGCGGACGTGAGAAAAAATTATCAAGTGAAGTTTCAAATTCTGCGTTGGAGGTTAACCTTGCTACAGATAAGCCCAAACACAATTTGGCAGGATCATGATACTTGGACATCTTTTCGCAAATTTCTGCTCTCCACGTGCACGGAGGTGTGATGCATTGATTATATAAACCACTGAAGAACCAGGGAGTACCACTTTAGTTTTTCGTCAAGCTGTGGGATCGTTGGTCATCCAACTATTAATCTCGACTTCAAGTAAACAAAATCGGTAAGGTAATTATTTCATTAATAGTTTAGTCTTACATGCATGAAGCGGTTTTAGCTATGTCTGGTTTTATTTTATGATTCTTTTTCATCAATTCCATCGATCGAGGCAGTGGTTTCAATCTTACATATATTGCTAATATTGAATCTCAACCACACCTGATGAAAAGAAGGGGCTCGACTCGCTCAGGGGTATACATCAGACGAGTTCTATGTTCATTAAAGGTGTGCAAGATGATGCATACATTTTTTAGCCGTCCTATCAGATAGTTCACAATAGTTTGCCAAAAGATTTTGAAATATCTATATTTAAAAAGCCAGAAACATATTGTTCTGTTTGTGTAAGTCCTTTGCGTGACTGAGTAGGGAACCGTTGTTTGTCTCTGTTATTGTCTTCTAGTTGTCTGTAATCTTATAAGATCATTTATATCCTGACAGGTTGATCAGTACTGAGGCTAAAGTTTATCGCCTCTCAACCGAGGATGGGCCTACAGATGATCAAGACAGTTTTGCTCCTTTGCACAGGCTTGATTCTCTGTGACGTATATGCAGGTATGAACTTTTGGATTTTGTGAAAAGCATTTGCCATATTTTATCATAAAAATTGGTCTTTGTACCGAGTGCATTTTTTGTATCAATAGTTTGGTCAAGGAAAGTTTGCCGAAGCTCAACGAACACGCTTATGGTGGTCAGATCACGAATGTCGGCAAGTTAAATTAGCCGCACTAGAGAGAGTGAAACCGTAAATGTAGTACAATCGAGTTTCGCCGAAGAATGAGTGTGCTGAGTGATTCTCGGTCTGAATGATAATCATTTTGTAGTAAAAGATTGGTAAACATTGTTATGATGGTGCAAGCATGTGCGTCCTTCAAAGTCGTTGTTCACTCTTGTCAAACAAAGGCTGGGAAGAAGACTAGCATTTCACCTGAGTAAGCGATACCAAATCGATTCAGTGGTCAAATATCTGCGCATGTGTGAACATTAATAGGCCTCAGTTTTGTTTCCACTGTTCAATCTAATCACTTATCTGGCGTGACAAGACCAAAAACAGTGGTTGGACTGAGGAAGACTGACGTTTTCCCTGAGCCCACGGGTTTGAAATTTCCTATCTCTACGGGAATGACTCACTACAGACAACAGAATTTCTGCATAAATGATGGACATACCTGCGTTATACTTTGTATTTTAAGCGGCTAAATATTTAGTGGTTTAACTGGTCAGGTTGTTTTAATCCTTTTACACTCGAGATCTCTTTAGTAATTCCCCTCACTGTCTGCCATACTAGTCTTAAGATGTTACTTTGGAGAATTTTGATATTGATCAACCACCATTCCTCTAATGATTAGTTTTTGTTTTAATTCTGATCACTTTTTTGCTTAATATTGTTATGATATGGTAAGGAGAAATTCTGTCTTGGTATTTCATGGGAATTAAAAAAAGAAAAAAACGAGCAGTTAATAATAAGCCTCTAAATCCTTCCCTGCAGAATTCCCGTCCCGTATCAGGTACGAATCTTTGGGTTGTTACAGAGACAACCCAGATATACAGATAAAATCTTTGGAGGGAATGGACAGTCTCCTTAACGACAGCTATAGGCTGAGAACTGATGCCATACAAAAGTGTGCCATGGCTGCCTTGGTAAGAGGATTTACCGCGTTCGCAGTTCAAGATGGCGGCATGTGTGTTAGCGATAAATACGCGTATTTCTTCCATGAATTTGCAGTTAAATCAGAAAACTGTAAAAGTGACGGAAAAGGAGGAAATATGGCTAATCAGGTCTACTATCTTAATTCAACACTGAAAGGTATGGATCGTAATTTGAAAGGAAAAGTATCCAAGGCTGTTTACACCATCTGCATATCATTTCGCACGATATTTAAAATCTGTTATTATAAGAGGTCGCTGAGAAGATAAAATACAGTTAGGATGGATCCAGGAATTTTTGATTGGGGGCGGGAATTTTTTAGGCACTTAGGGTTTTTTTTCCTTCTCGCGCTAGAGCCTGAATAAGCTGAGAAACAAATTAAGAGAAGTAAATTTTGAAGACTTCATATTGAGTAGTCTGGTCCTGTCGGTGTGAGAATTTTGGTTTTAGACAAGTGTAATCCTTCTGGATCTGCCACTGATTTAGCAAACCCAAACGTGATGTTTGGTGTTTTTTTGGGGATAGTTTTTGAAGTTAGGGTTCATATCTCAAATCTCTTCTCCACAATTCTGAATATAAAACCCATTCGTGAAGCTTTTTGAGACAAAAATGAGAACATTATGTGACTCGAAGCCAGCTATGTACGCAGGTCTTTCGAGCATGGGCAGCACCTCTCAGCTCGTTGATGTTTTCTGGGGTGCCCTCCTTACTACGTCGGATTAGTTCCAAAAATTTTTTTTTACTTAAATACAAACATCAGTCTACGTAAGCAGAGTTATAGTAAGAAATCGTGTGCAAATAAGTGGCAAATGGCAACTTCACTGGCGTAAACTCTTAGTTGCCGAAACAAACTCGCAAATGTAACAATTCTGTTCATTTTCTGTTTTTAGAAGTCCTTGGCACTGTTTCTTACACAAAACTTGGATGTTTTGATTTCACCGATGCTCACACTGTGCCCAGCCTCGAAGGAGAGGATTCTTTGTTGGATGGTTATTACACAACGAGAAAGGACGCTATTAGTAAGTGTGGACTGGCGGCTGACAAGCGAGGACATAGAATGTTTGTTGTCATGCCAAGCGGACAGTGTGCAAGTGGTCCTACTACTGAGATGTACAGGAAGTTTGTACAGTCAGGATACAGTAACGTGGAATGCACAGGAATGGCTCTTTGGAGTAGCGTATACCTTCTCAATTTTAGCCGGTATGACGATAGAGGTGCTAACAATGTTGAAGGTAACGGAGATACATGTATTCAGATTAATCAAGTAAACTGTCTTTTATAGGACGGGGATGAAGCTGTTATTTAACAGAGCGGAGCAAAATGTCGCTGAATCGCGAGCGTTTCCCACCCAGAGGTACAGATTCTCAATCACCTGTCCTGTCGAAAACCACCGAGTACATGTACCAAAATAGCTCAAATAAACTCGACAATCAAGTGTAGAACTCTCAAAGCAGTATCCAGAAAACACTGATTTGAAGCCATAATTATTTGTCACTTACATTTCCTGCTTCGAAAGAATGAAAATGAAACAGTTAAATGATTATCTACTATGGTTAGAGGTAAATGAACTACTGTAAATTTCGCAAAGTTAGCTTTGCTGGTTCCAACCCTCATTTGAGTGACGGTCTTTCGTAGGAAAATAAAAATATGTAAATGTTCTATTTTCAGTAACAGTACCGCCTGAGCCGCTAAAATACACGTCAATTGGATGTTTCCTCCAGTACCCTTACATGGCTAAGAGATATCCCCTTCTTGTGAACTATGAGGGCCAAGATCCACTTCTAAAGGATTTCTACCAACTACGAAAAAATGCAATTGAAAAGTGTGCTACGGTAGCCAAGCGACGTGGATATAAAGTTTTTGCTCTGATCAACGGCGGCAAGTGCTTGACTGGCCCTAAAGCTCACACAGTGCCAGTATTCAAAACGTTCTGGGCTAAGGAGTGCGAAAGCCACGGAAAAGGAAGCTATCGCAATCTTCACGTTTACGTTGTTGGAGAACTGAGAAGTACGATGATTTTACGATTTTAATGGTGTACGTTAAGAGCCTTTTGAATTTGGGTAATAAGACTGTCATACTTTTTCTTTATTATACACCAGACACAGTACATTCTGTTTTTTTTCCTTTTTGACACAGATTTCTTCTCCGCAATACCATACACACAACTCGGTTGCTACAAAAACGACAAAAATATGCTTGATGTTGAACAAATGGACCCAGATGTTCTTGATGGTGATTACAAATTGAGAAAGGACGCAATTGGCAAATGTGCATTAGCCGCCATCAAGAGACGCAGTGAAGTGTTTGCAATCCAAGATGGAGGAAAATGTCTCATTTCAAGAAATTCTTACAAAGTTTTTGATGGAAATGGGATCTTACAAGACTGTAAAAGTGACGGAAAAGGTGGACCAGGGACCAGTAACGCTTATGTGATAGGGAAAATTAGCGGTATGAATCTTTTCTTATGGATGTCTCCTATTATGAAGAGCTAGGAAGGGAGGGGTCTCTCGTTGGCTCACTTAGGGTGGGTGGGTGGGCGAATATATTCCTACTCGGTTAGAAATGAAATATTTTTAATTTTTAAAAGCTATCATGATGGTGATTTCTCCCCTGCAGCTTTAAAGCAGTTTTTTTTTAATAGTATTAACTTAAGCTTGGGTCACGCCTTAAATGGTCAATATGGTCTCTGATCGCTTCCCCCTCAAAAGTTCCAATTCACTTCACATGGCTTTGCTTCGTCTCCCTACCCCTTCTTTCTGTACTTAAAAATCCTCATCCTCCCACGATGACAACTAAAAGTCAGCAGAAACTATAAAGTGTCTTATCTGTGCGAAAGAGGGTGTTAAGCTGCTGCCACTAAGAGTCAAGTCATGATGATATTACCTAAGAGAGTAGAATGCAAGGTTTCTTTTTGAACGAAGTGTTTAGTTAACTATTTAAAAATAAATTTCACATCCAGTTTGAAGGAAATAACATTGTTATAACAATGGCTTCCGTTGCAGAGCTTCGGTCTATGTTGACCATTAATATTTTAAACGAAGGATGTTACAAGGACCTTCCTATCCGTGCTATGGAAAGTCTTGAAGGAAAAGACCCCATACTTCTCGATGGCAATTACGCTTCAAGAGATGAAGCAGTTCTTAAGTGCCTCATGTTAGGAAGAAAACTTGGATATGCCGTGGTGGGTGTTCAAGATGGTGGCATGTGTGTTGGTAGCACCAAGGTGAAAACGTATAAGAAATACGGAGTATCCCATGATTGCAGGGGGGATAGGAAAGGAGGACCGTGGGCCAGTGAAGTATACCTTAGCTTAACTAACCACATCACTGGTAAGTGTTAATCCGAGAAGATGTGTCAAATGGCAGTGGAAAAATTATCACCGGTCCCGATACTAGCTGTAAATGGTGGCTTTTAATTATCAAATGTCTTGACCTTGTTCTTTAGTTGACTGATTTGCAATGCGGAGGTTATGAAACATTACATTTACCCGCACTTTCAATCTTAATAATAATAATAATAATAATAATAATAATAATAAAGGCTTTATTACGGTATATCCATAGAATGGCTCTTCACCCGAGTAAACTAAGTTAATCTAAGCTAAAAAACGACGAACAAATTCATGATGATAAAATACAATTAATAATTATAATACAAAGCATTTGGAATTAAGACCGAAGCAAATTACTACATTCGAGATTTCAAAAAAGTAAAAGCCTGTTTTGAAAATGATTTGCTGTCCACACAATGATTTGCTGTCCACACACGTTCTTGATTGTTATGATATATCTCTATCATTATTACCATGGTTTAACGGCCAACGGCCTATTTTTTCAAACAGACGTAGTTCCCTCTACATCCAATGATATTTTTCACAGATTTTCTGGCCGGTGTTACCTACGAATCTAAAGGCTGCTACAAAGACCAAGAAGCGAGAGCTATTTCTTCTTTAGAAGGAAAAGACGTTCTTCTAAGGGATAGCTATGCGGAGAGAGAGGATGCTATTCAAAAGTGTGCAGTGGCAGCCATTATACGAGGATACAAAACATTTGGAATCCAAAATGGTGGCATGTGTGTTAGTGGCCCTAACGCGCACCAAACATATAGCAAATACGGTGAATCAATGGATTGTAAAAATGACGGAGAAGGAGGACCTTGGGCCAATCAGGTTTACAATCTTGTGGGAAGGGTGGACGGTAAGTTGACATGAATGTATTATGATCTAAACCTAGTGGTCTCTTCTACGGCCACCGAATTATTGGCCAAATTTGGCTTAAGCTTCAAGTAGGGTAAAAAATATTTCACTCTCGTTTGTACAACACATCGCTTGATGAATTGTGACAACCGTGTTTTTTTTTTCTTTTTTTCCGAATGTCCAGTATCTTTAATTTTAGCGTAAGAAGGAGCTGCTCCATAGACAAAGTTGAGTTGCGTCATTTACCTTCGGTTGAAAATTTGAATATTAGCACGAGTTCCTGAAACAGTTGAGGATATAGCGGGCTCACTCCTTTTTCTCAAATTATTTCCTTCCAGTAATTTGACGTTTTTGTATTCGCAGATATCTTTGAGAGTGTTCATCGCTTACATGTTGGATGCTTCGATGACATGCAAGCACAGAGGATTCCCAGTTTAATGCAAGATCCTGTATTAAACATTACCATTACTTCAGATACGGATTTTGGTGAATCAGATGCACATCTTAATCTCAGTCAACAAGAGAACCGATTTAACGTGAAGTGTGCATTAGCGACCTGGAGGAGAGGATATAAAGCATATGTTGTTACTGCTGACGGGCAGTGCGCCAGTGGTCCTGATACGCACACCAACATTGTCAAGTTTGGTTATGGCCTAGAAGAGTGCTCAACCGTACCGGCGAACAATAAGGCGTACCTTGTTGGTCCTAGTCCGTTTATCCCACCCTTTGAAGGTATGATGAATGTTTTCTGCCTTTTTCTCTTGAATACGAGAAGAGAGACGATTACTTCGAAGGGCCAAAATTAACAATTTGATCAGGATCTGTTATGCCTGGGATCTGTTCTGTGAAGGGAAAATTTGTCACCTTCCATTGGGATAAAGAAGCAAGGTAGGGTAAACTCCTTATCTGGGTATTCAAATGAACTTGATCCAGAATACAGATCCTTTTAGGGCTCAAATAAAGGGAAAGAAAAAAGATTTCTCATCTACCTTAGAGATAGAATTTATAGAAAAGCCTATAGGTCAAAACTAGTGTGTTGAAAATTTACGTAAGTTACAAGTATTATCAAAAAGCCGGTTGAACAAGTGGATGAGAAAGCTGGTTATCCTGGCAAAAGCCGGTTTAACAGGTAGAGAGAGATAAGAAGCTTGGATCTGTTGAACACTTTAGTAGAGACTTACGTTAGATTTTATTAAAAGGCGGAGAGGACATGATAGATTTAAAACAACAAAAGGAAATAGGAACTGAGGTGTCTTTGATTTTGATAACAAATTGAATTTGTGATGTAGTCAAATTGGCCTTGTCTAGTCACTTTTATGTAAATTAATTGATATTTCCTTTTTGTAATTAATTAAACTATCCGAGCTTCTATGAGTTCAGTTAAAGATTATAAATCACGTGGTGCACGGACAACGCCCACTCTAGATCCATAGAGAGCTGTGTTGTTTGGAAACCACACTTCTCCCTAAAATCAGCAACGATTAAGAAATTGTTAAACGATGTCTGGGATTGCAGTGAATTTGCTCGACTTCTATGATTGGTCTGGATGTGGTCAAATTGGCCTTGTCTAGTCAGTTATGTGTAAATTAATTGATATTTCCTTTTTGTAATTAACTAAACTATCCGAGCTTCTATGAGTTCAGTTAGAGATTATAAATCACATAGTGCACGGACAACGCCCACTCTAGATCCATAGAGAGCTGTGTTGTTTGGAAACCACACTTCTCCCTAAAATCAGCAACGATTAAGAAATTGTTAAACGATGTCTGGGATTGCAGTGAATTTGCTCAACTTCTATGATTGGTCTGGAAGACTCAAAGTTATCTGGTCGGATGCGATACTAAAACCAATCGGTATTTGATCAATAGCGTTGCCATCATCATTTGCGTGACACATTATTATGATATTATGTTGCCCTTTGATGTGATTGGCTGTTGAGATATTGTGGGTTTCGGATTTACGAAAATCAACTGATATAAACAATTGTAGAAAGTGACTAACATTTACATGCCAATTTGCATTTGCTTTCTACAATAGAGTTACATGTTGAGTATGAGTCTGTTGGATGCTATGAAGACAAAAGAGAACGAGCTATCGAGAATGCTACTCCACTTGGTTACGATCTGTTTGGTTACTATATCAACAAAATGAAAGGAAATGAAATCCAGAAGTGCGCATTATATGCAAAGCTGATTGGGTACAAGGTGTTTGCGATTCAAAATGGGGGGGAGTGCCTTACCAGTGCCACGGCCCATAAAACATACAGTAAATATGGTGAATCGCGAGTCTGTAAGGGCGATGGAAAAGGAGGACCCTTTGCCAATCAAGTGTATCGTCTATCTGAGAGAAAAGGTATTTTGTTTTATGTTGTTGTTGTTGTTGTTGTTGTTGTTTTTTTTTTTTGTCTTGGGTTTTTATTGTTTTCATTAGAAACCCCAACCTTGTCCCCAGTCTACATTTTCTTTAAGTGTCAATAACAGCTGCGGACGAAGATGGCGAAAGTTTTTTCTGGATGGGGCGGAAAAACAAAAATGACACAACTCGATTGGCCCATCCAGTTGATAATAGTATACTACATAATGAGTTTATAATACTAGCTTCGGGAAGGGTGAATTGAACTGTCAATATTCTTTACTTCTTGGATATCGTCACCATCAAAAGAAGCAACGACGAAAAACCATACCACCACCGATGGAAAACTTGATGAAAATCGTTTACTCTTCCATTGGAATTGGTGTTTTACCTTTTTACGAAAATTGAAAAGTGTCATTGCCTTTTTAACATGACCATCTTTATCTTCCTTTCCTTTGCAGAATGAGAGCGTGTGCCAATGAGCTTTCTAACAGTTCGTGTGGCTCATCTTTACAAAGAAAAATGGAAATTACGTCATAATACATGGCAATAAAGCTCTTGTTCAAAAAACTTTTTTTTACCGTTGTTCGTCTCTTTAACAACTTTGCATAGAGGGGAAAATCATAGCAAAACTCGCCTAAAAACTTTCAATAAAATGTAGTGATTCTCAAACTCTTAGCTATCTAAATAATGAATTCACATTTTGGATGCCTCACACTTAGTGCAATGGGTGACCCTTCTTCCAGCAAGAGAGAGTCAGGGGATTGATTCCTCGCGGCGATAAGTAATTCTTTTCATTCTTTTTCTTTCCTTTTTTTTTTCCAATTTTACTTCCTCTTCAAAAGCATTTGTTTTTTCTCTTTTCGCCTGTAACATCACCTTTTTTGAGTGCAGAAATCGGCATTTAAGAAGCTAATTCCCGAAACGCAGCGTTTGGTTTTTCTTTTCCTGCTTTTGAAAAAAAAGAGGAGGTTTTCATCATTCCAGAGTATAGTTAATCGATATTGCGTTTTTCGGAGGTCGAATTTTCAAATTTGGGACCCACAAGATTTATAAAGAAGGCCTAAATATTCCAAAATGTAAGACGGCTCATCACCTTCGAGCAGTATATATGTGCATATCCCATCGCCTCGTATGTGTGATAAAACTTTATGCCTGCAGCTTAAATTTAAGTCTTTCTTTCATTTATTAGTAAAGTCTACTGATCTCAGAATTCGGTCAAAGATGCGTTTTTTCTCTGCAGATTGTGAAATGTTTTAACAATTCTCGGCTCTCAGTTGAACTGAAAAAGCCAATTAATTACGTACTAGTCATGTTAGCGAACCAATAAAGTTACAGAAAGACAGATTGATGGAATGGTTGAGTAGGGGGGGAAGGGAGTGTGAATTTTGGTTCATAAAAAGAACTTGGAAATGGTCTTCAGCAATTTTCCGATTTAAAACGCAACAATTTCACAGAGCGGTTCAAAACATTAATATCCGAAGAGATGGACTTTGGCTTCAGATGAATTTGATCAAGTCGCGACACAGGACACGTATATTGTTTGTTATTATGTCTCCCATACAATCAATTATCTCAGGCTTTGTCTGTTAGGCTAGTTTCCACTTTTGTACGAGTATGTATCATTTTATCGGCTTTACTTCTAGAAATTCGCTTAATCGGTTAGAATAAATGCGTTTTTTTATTATTATGTATAACTGTGTGGTTTTCCTATAAAAAAAATAAAAAAAACTTTGTGAGTATGTTGGTCGGTATTCCCTCGGAAATGAAGTGCCGGTACCAAGCAGTTTCTGCGTATTCCCGATATTTTTAATCCCAGTAATCTTGGTTATATGCTTCTGAAATGGCTAAAAATTAAATATGCTGTTTGAGCCAAACGTTGTTAGTTCAGGCTCATTTAAGTTCGAGTTGATATTCTAATCTTATAACACTATTTACAGCTCTCTGGTGAGAACTATTGAGTCTGTGAGTCCAATTTAACTTCTCTACATAAGTTAAAAAATCTGTCTAAAGCGAGGCATCTTACTTCACTTTGTAATTAACCTCGGTTTCGATTATCTTGAACCCGCCTTTTGAAGTCGGAAAACTCATTTGAATTACAAATACTCTTAGAAATTACTATTCATATTTGCGCGCAGTCTTACACGTGGAAAGAGCTTACGAACTACAAGAAATTTGAGCGTCTCTCTTGGCTTATGTAGAGTCAAGAAACGCGTCATTTCGAACCCTTTATCTTGGATACTGTCTTTTCTGTCCAGGTCAACGTGTGTTCTTATGCTGGATTGAGTGGTTGGGATACTTTGTTGAGGATTCATACTTTTCTCTCAGTCACTGCTATTATTTAGGTAAATAGCTTATGGAAGGATACATTTGGATAGTAACGTACTGTTCATCTTTCTCGTTGTGGCCCTTGTAAGATTAATTTAAAGTAACGGAATAAAGAGCGTAATGCACATAACATAGTGTAGGACAAATCTTCAACGGCAGCCGCCATTGCAGTTTTTCTTAAACGTGACCTTGTGGCAGCGCGAGAAATTCGAACTTTATTTTTAGTGCATTTAACGCTAATTTACCTATTTCGATTTTTCTTTTCATTCTTGTACGAATTTTTCCACTGGCTGTTATGATTATGTTGTGTTGAACTAAAGTGTTAACTCCCAAGATCTGATTGTTAATTCTCCTCTCTTACTGTTAGACATTTCCTTGTTAATCAGTTACAAGAATTTGGTGTTGGATCTTCTCATCACCTGTTTGCTAGACAATGTGTGGATATTACAGGGAGAAGTTACATGTTAGTCACTTCTGGCAGTTAAGGGGTTAAACGCCCTTTTTCTTTCCCTTACCCTCCAGCCTCATCATGATGGAGAGGGTAATCTAAAAAACGTTTCAACGCAGACTCCAGTTTCTGGTTACCAGAGGATTCTCTCCGCCATCTTTTATACAGAGGTCGTGAAGGGCACTACTTGCTTTGCATTTTCAGAAAGCCAACAGTCAAAGTTAGCTAGGTTATTCTTAGTTACACATTTTTTTGTTGATGATGCTCGGTAACTTATTATGATACAATTTTCGAATGCCTTTGTTCAATAAGACTTACGGATGTTAAATTTGTCAGCAGAAAATGTGGTGGCTCGAAATGAGTTTTTCGATGCAGACTTTTCACCTTTATTATTAAGAATCAAAAGAACTCTCTCATATATTTCGTTTGTAATATAGTCATCTCTTTTTTGTCTCCATGGAAATAAAAAAAATATAAAGAAGAAAAGAAATGGAACACCTCGAAATCAAGAAAGTCAAGGAAGGAGAGAAATACAGGATCACATCTGACAAGGTTAGATAACTGACTTTTATAACAAATTAGCTTTCTAGGCCTATTTGTCTGCGTTGAACGATTTAACCTGGATCTACCAATTTCATGGATCCCTTTCTGATTGAGGTGGCTTTCGGTTGTTTCAGCAATGTTTGGTTGATGAATTAATTCTCTTGTGCATGAACACATTTTGTTTCGCTCGTGTCGAAGAAATATCCACTCATCATTGTGCGCGTTATGACTGCCACGGGGAGAAGTGTTTTAATTCTTCTGGGTGCTTTACTTTAGCAAGGAATTCTTTATTCAGAAGTAAACCGATAAAAAGGAAGGGGAGTCACCGAACTTATCCATTCGCCGAGCAATTACAGCAGATACTAGTCCGAAGAATTTTCATGGTGTTCCCTTATATGCCAGAATGATGGTCATAGGACGTAAAATAAAGTGGGTGTTCATTTGATCATGACAAATATCTGTCAACCGGAGACCTAATGGTTTCGGCTTTAAGTATAAACACAATTCAAGATGGTAAGGATTTTATTTTCGCACACTAAGTTGTAGAATGTTATCTGAGATCTCTTCAGATTCTGATGATTTCTTACACTGCTACCTCCTTCAGTTGTTAAATGTCTCATTCCTGGACTGGAAAAAAAAAATAAGTATGCTCTCACACCCATCATTTCTTGAATTTGTTTTTCCAAAATTCTTTTTGAGGTCTCTGATAAGTTTAATAGTATGATAGGTTCTTATAGAAAGGAAACCTTTTCAATTTAAACAGTTAAATCGTTGGAGCTTAAATGATGCAGTTGAATTTTGAACCAAATTAAAAGTGTTTACTTCAAAAGTAGATAATTTTATGTTATAGTTCTTCCTGCGTTTGTCATCAAATCATCTAAAAATTTACCTTGACGTTATTCAATGAAGATCCCAACACCTTAGTACTAATATTTTTAAGCTCTAGACGCTAAAACCAAATTACAACAGTATGCTCCAAAATTTCTTTTTTTTTTGTTCCCCTAACTGCCTCTTGAGAAAATCATCAACCGACATAGATCTTTTTTTGACGTGTTCACAATAAAAATGTTAGGTACTAATTTTTAAAACGGTATGAGCTCTTAGAGATTAAAAAAAATTGGAAAGTTTGTTCCATGAATTGATGTTTGTTCCTCAAGTTGCCTCAAAGTTTCGTCATCAACTGATATATATTTTCATTTTAACTTGATTAGTTACAAATATTCGAGCCTAATCATTAAGATGTTTGAGCCTATGAGCTGGGCTGCAACCAAATTGAATAACATAATAAAAAGTTGCTTTTTGTCTCTCAAATTGCCTCTAAAAGTGTTTCATCAAGTACACGATACTGCAGTAAAAATCATAAAGCCAAATTTTTAAAATTCTTAGCTCTTGATGCTGAAACTAATTGAAAGAGTATGCTCAAAAATTGATTTATTTGTCTTATTTTATTCAAAGTCTATCATCGACTTATATGGAGCTTTAAAACATGCTTTGATAAGATCTTGAAGCCTTAGTATGATGTCTGTGCTCTTGTCACGAAACCCGAATTGAAATAACATGCTCCGAAACTTGATGTTTGTATTTCAAAATGCTTCTGTAGTTTATAAACTTTTTGACATGATTCTAGAGCCTAATTATCAAATATCTGAGCTCTTTAGGTTGAAGGCAAATGGGAATAGCATGCTCTAAAAACTGGTACTTTTTAATTTGTTCGTGGAATTCATTCATAAATCTCAATGATTTTTAATTCTGAAGCTTGCTCAGTTCTCATGATTAGGAAAAGAAAAGAAAAGAAAAGAACAGTACCATTTGCTCATAAAAATTAAAGATCGCTTTCTAGTGTACAAATTGGTTTAGGAGTTCGGTTAACATGTCAGTTAATTTTCAATCTGTTCCTGTGTTGGTTGAATGTAGGTACATTTGGTCGGCCAAAAGATACCTCATCCTGAAAAAGCATCGTGAGAAAATATCGGGAGACCTTAGTGCTACTTAAACCACTGAACACAAATTTTGAAACCTCTTTGTTTTGCTGGTTAAATTTATTCACCAAAGCACAGAAACTGAAAAATAATTTTTTAACACCGTGATTCAACTCTGGGTGACCCAATATCAGATGACTTTGCTTTTAAATCCCCTTCCCTTCATGAAAGAAACAGAAAGCTTGATTTCAGAACTTTAATTTCATCAGAAAATTACTTCAACGAAACATTTTTTAAAATAGTAATTTTAAGCTTTCCACTCATGGAAAAACGCCGCTCAGTCACTTTTATTTCCTATTGTTATTAGCATATTCACCGACTCTCACGTATTTAGGTTCTCTCAGGATTTCATGCATGTAAAAAGGAGCTTGCAACGATATTTCGATTAATCTTGATACTTTTTTCGCTTTCTAGTCGAAACTGTCAACAGGAGCATAGCATTTTATTTAAATATACACTCTGCGGCGAATTATTAGAGAAATAAAAATTCAATCAAGCAGGAAGTGAATTCATGCAGTTGTTACAAGTAAATTCCTTCGTGATCTCAGAGGAATTGCCAACGCGTATTTAGATAACCTGCTTGTTGTTACTTGACTGAAATTCTCGGCTCAAATTGAGATAAAATTTCCGCACAGCCCCATCCTACATTATACATTCAGTTCTTGGATAGAGAAAACATTGACAAAGACAATAAATTGCCATTAGGAAAACAATATTGTTTTACAATAGTATGGGGCTGTGCGGAAATTTTACTCAAATTGAAATGTTTTCATCCTTGAAATCAATCAGTTTTAAAGTCTAAATTTATTTAGAAAATCTAACTTGAAGTGATTTCGACAACAGCAGATACAATAGAATTCTTCGAATTCATTACTTATGATGTCCATCTGTGTTCGCAGTAAATTTATCGTTAAATCCAGGTTATGCTCACATTTATTTGTGTGGTCATTCAATGAATAAATATTTAAACACTGACTTCTATTCTACTCGAATTCTACATGTCTAACATTACCAAATTAAATACGTTTTTCTGCGACACGGCCAACACTACATGGGCTATTATCACTTGAGAAAGCAAAGTTTAAAATAAATTGTATCAGTCAATTCGTGATTTCTCTTCATTTATTTTTTTGCAGACTGTTAGATGAATACCTCTCATGCTTAATTCAAGCACGAATCAAACAAGAAAGACTATGATCCAAGTATAATACACGATTTCTTAAGGGGTACAAAACAGATTTGGCGCTTTCCTTTCAAAAATTTCAAGTCAGAGCTACGTTTCAAACGCCAAAATCAGGGACAAGAAAGGCATTATTTCATGATTTTGTCGGTTTAATCAGCGTTAAGCGCTGTTTGAAATGAAAATTTTTTCCCGCCAAAAAACTTACAAAAACACGGAGTTAAAGGACGCATGCGCCAGTTTTTTCTTTATCTATTCTGTAAGTAAAATTTGTTTAAATGTGGCGAATTTTCCCGCCAAAAGACTTAGAAAAAAAATACGGTGCTCAAAATATGCATGCGCCGATTTTTTTAAAAATAAATAATATTGCCAATAAACTATGTTTGCTCACTTGTCTTTTCTTGTGCTATTATCATCAATAAAGTAGTGTTCAGTTTCTGTCTCAACTTTTATTGTCCTTCAATATACATTCAATAAGCCACAAAAGTTTCATATTCAACAAATTTTATTTGTTTTAGATATTTCTTTAATCATAGGTTTATTTAGTAATTTTAAATTGAATTAATGATAAAAATTTTTTTTCGTGTATATACTAAGACTTTTGGCGGGAAAATTTGAACCAATTTGCACAGAGAGTCCCCTGGCAACTTTATCAGCAAAATTTAAATAAGGCATCCTTTAAAAATAACCGCCAAAAATAATGAAACAGCATCTCGTGCAAAATATGGAATAGAAATCGCAAAGATTCTGTTTCTAGCCTATTTTTATAAGACTTCAAATTCTTTGCACAAGACGTGTTCAAGTTTCTAACAAAAAGAGCATCATGGCAAGCTATGGAGTGTTCGATTGCAATCTCCGAAATTGTGATGAATTTCTTGATTCACAGTTTGCTTTTGAATCCATTTTTTTTTGGTAAGCCTGTATAGCTTGCTATGACGTGTTTTTGTGAGGAGTAAAAGATCTTTAAAGTTGCCAGTTTTGGATGTATGTAACACAGGACAAAGATTGGAAAGTGTCGAAAACATACATCGAAGATTTGGAGAAATTTCTTTTTTGAAAAATTCCTTTTTTGGTTGAATTTGAATAAAAAACGTTTTGCATTGTTGGAGCAAACACCTTGAGCTTAGTGTAAGCCACAAGAGCTAAGTTATTTTACAATTAGACTTCCCATTTCTTAAACTGAATTTGCCAAGAAATTCAACAAAATAGTAACACATAGCGAACTCTTTGAATTTGTGTTTAGCCTTAAAGACTCAGACATTTAATAATTATGCTCCAAGGCTCTTAAACTAAATTCGAGAGTAATTTGAAAAATAGTATAGTATAAATTTTTTTTGGTGCAGAGTCTAAGAGTTCTGTTTTAGCCAAAAAAAGACCAAGTTATTCGCGATAAATTCCTGCAGCGAATTTTTTTAAAGATAATTAGTCCTTAAAAGCGTTTTATTGATATTATGACCTCAATTGAAGATAAAAATCTATAGTGTTGACCGTTTTTCTTTTATATATTCCTGTGTTACACCAAGTGACGGCGCAAAAGATCTTCCTTCCACTTACAGTAATAAACTTAGCACGATATATTTTATAACTAAATGCCTGGTCTAAATGATAACAAGTATCCTTTTTCGAATGCAACTCGATTTTGAAAGTTTGTATCGAAGAAAAAAAAATCTGTTCCTTAACAAGTTGCGAAACAATTTACCATCTAAGTTTCTATTGAATAAACATACTTGAAATACGAAAGTCTATTTTTCTTCTTCGTAAAAAGGAGTCAATTTTGACTGGTGTATAGGAAAGGTAAATTTCAACTTGATCAGTTTCTCGAAGGAGCTCGTGACCAGGCATTAGCGTTTTAAAACATATATTACTTCCAAACCAAAACTGAACTCAGTTGATGGCACAAAGTAAAGAATATAATCTAAGATGGCACTGTAAATTATTGCTTGGTGTATAAAAAAAAATAACTTCTTTTTTAATAAAAGTAGTTAGATTTGTAGTTTAATTGAATTCATGCCAAAATTGATTTTTCAATTTTCAATATATTTTGGCCAACTTTTTCGTTCGGTATCATTTAGTTGTCAATTGTGAAGTAAGATCGTCCGAGACTGGCCTAAGTACGTACCACTTGAATTATCTGGATCGAGTGAAAAATTGCCGAATTATTTTGTTAGAGTGCCACCTTAGATATTATCTTTATGTGACATCAACAAGGATATAAATGTGATACTAACTGTTAAACAAACCCAAAAAATGAGCGATCAGAGCTTCGAAATTAATAATTCTAGTTCAGTATTCTGTAGCCAGGATAAGGTCAATTTCTAGTTGTTTCTATCACTAATTCGATTCAACGAAATTATCCGAGATAAAAACACCGAATTATAGCTAGTAATTCAAATAAATCAAATAATCGCTCAGAGTTTGCATAACAATGTGTAACACAACGAACTATTCCAAAAATGGTGGCTAATTGAGAACTATTCACTTACCATGTAATCAGTTTACCCATTCCAAAAAACATTATTGAAAGAACGAAGACTCCATAAAATAGTTAGACTAGAGGGCCACCATTTTTGATAGTATTACTAAAAAATTTCAAACTTCTTAGCTTTTCAGTATGAACAAAAAATTCAGTGATTCCAGTGTCTTCTCTCGACCAAATTCTTTGTTCTTTCATCCTTCTGACATTACTCTTCCTGATAGCAAAAAATACGAAAATGATCAGTAGATGCTTACTTTGTATGAGGCCGAAAACTAAGAATTAAAATTCTGTATATTGGTTTTACTATTAAGAAAGAGAAAGCATCAAATATTTATAAAATTTTATTTAAATGAAGCAAGGCCACTGAGTAAAATAGTCATTAGTCAGTCCTTCACGTGGCTGCATTCAAATACGAAATGAAGTCCCCAATAGATTTACCAAGTAAAATATTTTTATCTGAGGGTTTCACTAAAATATTTTACAATCATTGGTTTCACTTTTTTCGAAAGTCAGCTTCCTAATTTAGTCTAATCTAGAGTTGAAGAGCCTCTTAGACCGAGCAACCGATTCGTGTTACTGACGTCGTTGAGCTGAGATAACACGACTCGTTTTGATCTCTGAGGGAGTTTAATGCGATATTTTCCAAACATAATGCTCACCTACTGTTGTAGCGACATGAAACTACTTCCATTCTTCTCCTTTACAGGTCCAGCGTCTTCTTCCTTTCAGAACGCAACGTTATGTTTCGCACAACAAACGCACGTCTTCACTCGACAACTGACAGCGTGGTTTGCTGAAAATCTACAAGTTCTGATGAATATGGATTAACGACGGCAGCCAATAACCGGCTGCTACACCACAGATTTGGCGCGGAGTATTGTGTGCAAGCTCAGCGCCACTTTTTTTTGTTTTTCAAGCGAGCAGAGGAAAGGGCGAGACCTAGTCAAATGGAAAGTTGCTAAAAGGAAAACACTTGCAAAGGTTACGCCCCGGGCGCTTTTATCCACTCACCTAAAAAACTAAAAACTCGAAATGGCGTCTGTTCCACAGGTTAGTACTCAGAGAGCCACGTCCAACATATTGCGACTTATTACTTAACAAAGAAAGAAGCTCGACTGTGCTCTGTTCTGTTGTAAAGCGCGCAAGAAGTGATTAGAGTACGAAAGAAGTGTAGGGGAAACTTACAACTGACGGAGCACATAAACAGAAGTGGCGTGAGCCTAAACCTACACCTTCATGAAGCACACTCGAATAAACCAATCGGTTAGAATGGTTTAAAGTAATTTAATTGGTCGAATAATACTGAAGTTTTGGTAAGTGTCCACCCATCACAGTTAACAAACTATCAAAGTTCACACTCTAAAAAGGTTCAGCAGGTTTCCATTAAAGTCAGGTAAGGGAGGAGTTTTTAAGTCAAGGAAGTCTCTTTAAAATGGAGATAAAAACGTTGTTTTTAATAGATAATTTCTTTATCAACTGTCTTTTCATTACCAAGAACCACTTCTGTCAATATTTATTTCTTTATTTTAAAGTACATGGAGATTTTGCAATCGATTATGACACTAGGATTACTTTTTAACGGCTATGTAACACATGGACAGAGAATCGTATGCCAATAAATATAGTTTGTTTTCTGATTGGATATCTATTTTCAACGGCTAGTTTCAAAAGATAACAGAAAGAACAGTTACAATGTGAAATTGTATCAACCAGACCTGCTATCAATTTGGATGCAACACATGTTGCGTGAAAAACTTGAGAAACTGAACATGGCTTGTAAAGGTTTGTTTGTAACAAGTGTGGCACAGACCAGTATCAAGTTTTACTTACCGTTAAGACTGACGCAATGCTGAATAACTATTTCTTGAAAAAAACTGACTTCTTCTGCACATGTTGGCAATTACATGAAATAATTTCTCGCGCAGGTTGCATCGCATTGGTATAAACTAAACTGCCATACCCTTTCACTCCCAAGATCTCATAAGTAATTCTCCTACTGTCTGCCATACAATTCTTAGAATATTATTTTGGCGAGTTTGCTATTGGATCAACAAATAACCTCGTAATTGATATTTATCTTTATTCTCATCATTTGTCTGTTGATTTTTTATTTATATTTTAAGAAGAAATTCTGTCTGTTTCCTTCGTGGGAGTTTGTGGAAGGTTAAAAAACAGTTTCTCAACTCAATAGTTTTCATTCCAAAAGACCTCTGTAGCAATTAACAAATCAAATTATCAAATTGGAGGTGGGTTTTTTTTTTTTCCAAAAATAGAATATAATTTTCCATCTGGCCTATACGTATATATGTCTGTGATTTGTATAAAATAAATAAAACTGTCATTTATTAATTTGTGAACATTTCTTACCAGTAATTTAAGCGTTCATTATATGAGTTTTATTTTCCCGGAATTTAATAAATGTTCTTTCGTTACTATAGAACTATAAAACTACAGCGCCTACCTTCTAAAGAAATTATCCGTTTTCAAACAGCAAGAAATTATTGTTTAAATTTTGATAATAATTATCCTGTCAGGTGAACCACTTTCTTTTCCTACTTTCTTTTGTGTTTAACAATTTAAGGTCTAAAATCAACCATAAGATTTCAAATCGTACCGAAACGATGATTTTGAAACAAATCGCACTTCACTCATTTCAGTTGAAAAATACTATAGAAAGCGACAACTGAATTGTACAAAGATAATAAATTGGCCTGGCCAAGTAGCAGATTCCTTGCCTAGTTCACAGTCCTTTTACCCAATAGTGGTAAGGTTTTGTTGAAAGCAAAGTATGCAGGCCGCCTCTGGGACACAGTGTTTATGGAAAATATGACCTGAAAATCACAACAGGACTTGTATAAGGTTATATCGTTCAATGAAAAGGATCAGAAGAAGTTTTTCTCGCCTGCGTTGAGTGTCGTCAGTCGTGTTAAACGAAGCTCGTTGGGCATTGAAATCCCAAGATCCGATTTTTTAAATTCTCCCCTAGCTACTACACATTGCCTTGTAAATAAGTCACGAGAATTTGGAGTTTGATCAAGATATTTCACTAACTCACCACATTCAAATAAAAGCAGTCCTTGATTACTGGTCGAAATCTGCTCACAGAGTTTCAGCGAACACACCAAGCATTCACCGCTAAAAACAGAAAAAAATTAAAGACGTTAACTTAACTTAACTAGAGAAAGGAAAACTAAATGGTAACTGCTGATTGAAAACATATAACGCTTTCCTAGAAACTTGAAGCCAGTAGATGAACTTCTCGACCACTTGCATTTTCCTTACTAGTTTTCGAGAATGATACGTAAAGAGAAGCAGTAAGCTGTTTCTCTGGATAGTTTTTAATAATGATAACACACAAAAAAATCACAGGTACTTACTCTGACAGGCGAATATTTTGTCCCCAGTTTGAAGCTGTTGTAAGAAAAAAATGGGAGTTAGATCTATCGCAATTAAAAAGTAAAAAGAAACTGTAAAAACGAAAAACAGCCTGGATATACGTCGCGAGATGCACCACTCAATGCGTGGATAAAAGAAGACTTTACGTAGATACGGAAATAAACCAATAAGAGCTCGTCGCACACGTACTACATACGCAGAACACCTTCATGAATCACGCTCTAAATCCACGCAAATAAGCCTCGTTCGCGAGTAACACATTCACCAACGTCCACAAACCAAGGCGACAACTTATGTCAAAACTACGGGTACAAACATACAAAACGTCCACGAATAATGCACGAAGACCAGACAGACAAGCTTAGCAAGAGTCTGGAGTCCTCTTCACCAACCTCCATCCTCAAGTGTCCTGAATTGTTCCATGGATTCTAGTTGTGGATTTACGTCTTCCTGTTCAATTAAAAAACCACAGATAAACAATTTTCATGAATAAGTCCAGGAACTATTTTATAGCGTATATCTTAGAGCAAGTAACACTGTATTTTGAAAAGATTTTTGCACTTTACCCGAGAAGAAAATCGTACCAAAGAATTGCTTACATTACCTTACTTTTTGGACCATACGTTTCTTCTTCCTTACGGAAACTGTTTAACTTAAAGGAGAAAACAAAAAAGACAATAAGAACATCACAAACAGCATCATCAGGTACGTTCTCTGAACACGACAAGAAAACATCTCTAAAAATCTCAGTGTCATAAAACTGCTCTCTTTTTCGCTCACCTTAGGCGCCAAGGAGCCACTTCTTTGTGACCACAGATAAGAGTCCAGCTTTTTGAGCAGTTCGTGAATCAACGTCCTGAAAAGAAGTAAGAGTTTCAGCGCTGTATTAGTAAAAGGCTTGTGAAATTCGAGTATGCGCCGCTTAAGTATGGTTTTCTGCCGGGGCATTCAATCTTCCACAAGACATACAATTTTACTGCTTAGGGTTTTGAACGGGGTTTCTTTCCTGATCCAAGACTTTAGACAGGGTGACAATGTTATTGGTGTAGAGTCTATCTAGGTTCGATCGCCAAATTAACGGATTTGGTCTCAAAAAGTGTCAGGACTTAGAAGCGAAAAACCCATCCCCTGACTTTAGAGTAGTGCCCACCCCCACGCCCACGCCCAGTCGCTGAGCCTCAACAGAGAAAGACGAGCGTTATACCAACCTTTGCCTTCTCTCAATCACGGCTCCCAATAAACACGAGTAGTAGAAATCTGTAGTAAGGAGTGGTGTGTCACGTGGTAGAGCCTGCAGTAAGTTAACAGTGTGTCCAGCACCAAGCCGTTCAAGCATCAGGTTAATGACGTTACTCCACGTCAAGTTAGGCGTCCAATCAGTAAGCGACAGCGGCATGTATGAGTGCGGACAAGCATGAGACTTGTCGCTATTTCCATCACGTGATAAAAGCAATTCTAAGAGGTACTTCCATTCATCTAGTGATTTCGGGAGACGTCCTGCATACAAAAATTACAAATAAGCCGCAACATGTCCCGGACAAGTGTAAACGAACCAGATTTCATGGTCACAGTCACAAACAATAGTAATTTTAAGGTTTTCCCTCCTCTGAAAATCTAGCTTCACAGCCGAATTATAGGACATAATTGTAACACCGGATAAACAAATGACTGGTAGAAAATGGCATAAATATGTATATGCAGCGCAACACACCGCAACCGCTTTGGTCGCCATAGCGACAAGAAAAAGGTTGCTGAATTTCTAGTCTACGCTGCTAAAGACGCGAGGGAAAATACAGTACATACCCCATGGCTGAGTGTCCCTGATAAGGTTCAAGTCACCTAGCGAAAAGACTAGTTTCAAGGCGTCTTGTCTAAGATTTTTCCGCACACACAAGCGGATCAGACCAACCCAATATCTGTGTTAAAAAAAAGGAGAGAGATAACGTTAACAATTAATTTAACGTTGCAGGCATTATGACCGACTTTAGTGCTCATGTGAAGAAAATTACCCTATAATAAACAAAGATGTAATTTGTTTTGGTTTTAAACTTGGAAAAAAAAGAAAACTGAGTACCTTACGAGAAATACGACCTCAAACCTGATTTCGCAGTCCAACGTTCTTCCAACTAGCCACCAAGAGCTCGTTGGTGAGTCAGCCTAACTCACCAACGAGCTCTTGGAGAGCGGCCAATTAGAACAAAGATTACATCATTATCAGCCAATGGGAACATGTAGTAAAAGCAATCTTCCTGAAGCGCGGGAAAACGCGACTGACCAAGTCGCAACTGATTTCAGTTTTGCATCTGATTGGTTGAAAAGGCAAGGCGAGATTTTTAGACCAATCCCAGAGCGTGATGAAGTAAAATAAAAGCAATCGTAGATCACTTTGGACACTCGATTAACAATGGCTCGAATAAGAGACAAACGTCTTGCGAATCAGCAATATCAACACGCTGTGTTTGCATAGATCTAAATTTTTCATAAACTACAATTTAGACCAATACTTTCTCTTCAAAAGGATAATTTTCCTTCAAACGAAGTTTCAATTTAGTTCGTCAATTTACCCAATTCCGGTGAACGTGTAGGGAAAATCAAGCATGCCAAGACATAAGACTTTTCTCTTACCCATGTTTCCAACACAAATCCATGAAATCGTTACATTCCTTTGCATCTTTGTGAAGGAGAAAGTCAATCAGTTGTTGCAGATGATCGGCTTTCTGCCACGGAACCATGTGCGATCCCGGTCTGATAAAAAGATACAAAGGCTACAAATTACCATTGAAAAGAAAAAATTCAAGCACGCGATCAATTAAACCAAAAGTTTTAAAAGAATGAGTAAAAATAAAAATTAAATATTGACCTTGGGTTCCCACAGTGTTGACAATGTATTCCGTCTCTTACAGAATCTACAACAAGTGAGCAATGGAACCACCACAAGGCGACTCCTACATCCTCACAAATCTTACTGACAGTTTTTTCCCTGGAGAAAAAAAATATCATTGTGGAAATATTTCACAAAAAGACCTTCTATGGTCACCGTCACCATTTAGAGTCCAAATTTCAACTTCAAAGTACAGAACACATCGCAAATATAGTATGTCACGCTAGGTGTCACGTTAGATGTCACGTCAGATGTCACGTCAGGTGTCTCTATTTAACGAGGAGAAGGACGTTATGTGAAGGGCGGATTTGAAATTTTCCCCTGATTACTTCCTGAGTTCTCATTGGCTCTTATAGCTATTCCTTTCCTCTGATTGGCCGTTGTGATTACTTAAGTTTGGTTTTACGACACTCGATCAAAAAGCGCCCTATCACTGGTATGGTTTCAGACCGCACCGCTCTTTACTAAGTTCAACCACAGTTTAGAGTCATCCTCCTCTCTATCCTTTTAAAATTACTTATCCGTACTTGGTAATTCCAACCTCAGCCCGCCATCTCATCAGTTGTTCCACATAAAACACAAAATCATCTGATCTGGCTTCAAAACTCAGACCACTGTTTTGCCGACATATCTCCATCACCTCCCACGGTTGCACATCCGGAAACATTCTCGCACACGTGATCATTGTTTCACGGCGATCGTATTCATACAAGCTGTGAAAGATAATCCGTAAAGAAAGCTTTTAACCCTTTAATCCCGAAAGATGACCAGCATCTAACTTCTCCCCATGGTATCACCCCGGAATCAAACAGTGAGGTTATGAGAATAAAAGAAGTGATCACCAACTCTTGATTGTTTATCGAATTCTCCTTGCCCGTAGATCTTAGTAATATATAAATTTAGCCAAGCCTAAAAGCGGAGCTCGCATTTTTTTTCCCGCACGTTTTAGGGGCATAACGCCTTGCCCCGGCCAGGACTAGAACCCGGGTCGTCCGACTCGGAGCTCAGTGCACTGACCACTAGACTACTGGACAAAGTATGGCGTTGGTGTGCCCGCGGTACAGTTGACCACTCATGTTAAAAGTAGCATCTTGTACGGTCGGTCGTAGGGTCGTAAGTCCAAATTTTTTCGGCTTGATGGGTTACTACCATTTTGTATAATAATGGGGCTACGCTCTGCGAGCTCCGCTATTAATTCTCTATTCTGTTTCAAATACAAAAGGAAGATCATTTCATTAGGCAACTGTCTAGAGTCTGGGTACAAGTACAACTTACCGAGTTAAATGATACAGTAGAATGCTAGAGTAAGCCTCCATCCCATCATGCAATTCATGAAGTGCTCGCCGTGGATCGCCGTCCTTCAAATACTTAACAATCACGTCATCAGTCGTTACCAGACCTTGACCACAACAAAATGAATCATTTTTCAGTTTAAAAACCTTCAATTTAGCAAAATAATAATTTTTAAATTATATAACAGAGTTCCACATATTAAGTATAAACATGATAACTCACTCACCAGACATGCCATCTATAAAAGCTCTCCATGTTGTTCGTCTATCGCCCTTGCTCATAAACAGCGTCCGTCGTAACTGCTTCACATCCAGCAGAAAGAAATAGTAAGATAAGAATTTTGACCTAATAGTGTCATTTTCTCGCTGTTCAGAGCGTTGGCTTTCGGCATTTTCATGGGGAATCCGAGAGAATGCAGTTCCCTCCTTACACTGCAAGCAAACGAGCACACGGTCCTTAGCTGAACTGAAAATACCTCGCTCTTTTTGTGTGAAAGAAGGGCCATGAGTTCCTTCTCCATTAGAGAAGTCTCCGTTCATTGTGCTGTTAGGTAATGCCTCTTTGCATCTTTTATTCGTTGACAAGATTAACTTGTCCTCATCAGAAATGTGTTTGTCCATAGGCAAAATCTGAAATGCTTCTTTAGTATCGCTGTTTGAAATTTCAACCTTGACGCTTACTTCTTGAACATCTGTGCTATTTGAGGAAATAGATTTCAAGTCACTCACGGTGGTTTTACCAGCTTGAGCTGATTGGCCAACGTCATAAACACCATTAAAACCATTAGTCATACGTTCCGATACGGTTTCCAAAGAGTTGTGTAGCAAAGGACGAATGCCTCCATTCTTTAATTTTTTCTCATCAATAATCTCTGCACCATCTTGAACCGCCAACGAGCCATTAGGCATGATCTTTTCCTCGCTACACAAAACTTCATGGGACAGGTCTTCCAAGCATACCATACATTCTACTCCAAATACACCACAGTCAAAACACATTCTTGTTAGGTGAGCGACATCGCCAAACGCAGGTTCATCGAGAAACAACTTTAAATCAACCTTAGTGTTGTTCTCATCAATGTTCTTGTTGAACTCATGACAGCTCTTCATGGCCGCATGTAGTTTAGGGACCCATTCTTCCAGAACTTTACGAAGACTACTGATACTGAATAGCACCACTGGATTCTTGACTTCATTCCTGAAAGGAAAATGACACAATCGTAACAGTTACATAAAGTAAATTACCCTCTACACTAATTTTCATTGGTTGTTCCCCGTTAAACAATGAGGGCTTATAGACACTTGACGTCACGGTGGACAATTTTTGTGTTTTTGTTAGAAGAACAGGGCGTAGAAAAGCATTTCTCAAGAGGGCAGTCGCGGTTAAGAATATCCACACGCTTTACACATAGTGGCTTATACTTCTGCTCCACCATGCGACAAACGGAGTATTTCAGCTAAAAAACATTTATGCCCTAAAGATTCTACGGATTGTTGCTTGCTTCTTTTGTCTTCAGTAAATATCAAATAATTCAAACTCTCTACCAGCTGCCTAACGGATTCGTTCCCAGTTTCCCCCACTTCAACTCCTCGGCTGTGATTTGTAGATTACCAACTGGACTATCTACAGCCATTTTGATATGTAAACACATAGGTTTACCATCAACATCTACTGAACATCACACCAACTAACAAACATTAAGCTCCTGTCTGGTGAGCCAATTAGGCCATCAATTAGACCATCACCATCTACTGAACATCACACCAACTAACAATCATTAAGCTCCTGTCTGGTGAGCCAATTAGGCTCTTAAGATACTAAAAAGTAACCACAGGAATAAAACCCCAAAATGGGCCTCACCGAGTCTTCGTTGAACTCCGAATAAGCTCCTCGACTTCCGGTGGGCATTCCATCTCCTCCGAGTCTACTTCTTCCTCTCTTTTGCAGATGGTTTCTTCCTCCATGGGTGGGGTAGGAGAGGGTAAACTAGAGGAATCCTCTGATGGAACTTTCAGTTTCTTTTTCAGCAAGCCTTTAGCTTTTGACAGCATGGCTGGGATGGCGGGAGGAAGTTCTGATTGTGCGGGGCTAGTGACTAGCTTTTCAGGCTCTGATGAAAGTCTGCTCCTTACCTGCGTTGTAAAGGACACTACCAGTTGATTCCCATGTCACAGACACACAGGGAGAGACAAACACGTAAACAGACAGACAAACAGACAAGGCAAACACAATAAGAGATCAAAAGTCGAGGTAAGCAGTTAACAACATAAGAACAAAGGGGGTAAGTTTCTGAAGACACTGTGGTGTGCGTCGCTGGAGGGGAGAAACTCTTTATGTTGGCCAATGTATAGTTAATAAACCAAATTATCAGGCGACAACAAAGCTGCGTACATAATTACTCATTAATACGTCTACAAACAAGTAGATAAACAGATAGCTCAAAAGATGGCGAGGCAGACAACATTGACAGACAGAGGAGTATATGAATAGAACGACAGGCAGGAGAGCAGGCGTACAGACAGATAGACAGAGGAATAGACGGACAGACAAACAGACCGTGAGGGAGATAGACGGACAGATGGGGAGACAGATGGACGGACAAACAGACAGACACACGGATAGAAAAACACATAGTGGGCCACACAGACCGGGTGGTATGCAGTGTAAACAACTTTACCGACAGGCTGGCCAACATCACTACAGACAAACACACCGCTAGCAAGCCAGCCGGAAAGACCCAGACAGTCTGTCAGACAGACAGACAGAGACAAAGATAGAGACAGAGGAACAAACATAGAGACAAACCGCCGAACATTTACACCAACAACTGTGTCACAAAAATGTCTTACCTCCGCATCCTCAGTTGGAGAATAAGTACCACGAAAAGATGCGCTCCGCACGTGGGGGATGGGACTGCCCAGCGAGACCTCTGAATTTAACAATTATTAAACAATATCAGAGTTCGAGAATAATAAATCTAACACAGTAGAGTTTGTATAGAGAAAATAAATATAATTTTAGTTCATTTCTTTCTTCTTCAAAACCATTAGTGCGACAGCATTGTACTCGTGTTGCGCAAGGTGAATATTAGGCCGTTACTTAAATCATGTGTTTACAACAGATTACATGTAAAGTTAACCTACCTTGTTTCAGTTGAGGTGAATCGATATCTGAAGAGAAAACAAGAATTTATAAACACATGTACAGTGTAGATGTACAGTCAGGCTTCCGCGTATTTAACAAACTAAAACGTTCCAAAGAAAAAGAGCAAACAGTGCATTTGGTAGAACAATCGGGGGGAACACGTACTGAAATGTGTTTCACGTGAAGACAGCAAAACCTACCAACTGTGACAACTCTTTTCTTTTTCTTCTTCTTTTCTCGCCTTTCCCTTCTAAAAAAAATAAAATGTTACAGAAACTTAGCATGACGGAACAACAGATGGTAACGAACCCACTCCATCACCTAACTGCACGAACACTGACCAAGCCCCTGAAAGATACTTCATCTAGTTGTACACCCTCCGGCAAAAATTTAAGCCATAAAACATTGGATTTTGTAACTAGTAAAAGTCAGCCTCTTAAGGAATTCGAAGCACATTTGATGAGGATGATGAGCAAAAATAATTGATGTTTCTTACTTTTCAAAGATCTCTTCTTCCACTGCTGCTCCCTCATTTCCTGACTGTCTTGATTCACTGTCATCAGAGTGACATGGACTCTGCTCGAGACTTTTCTTTTGAAGTCGAGGACTCTCCTCTTCACGGACGACTTCTTGAATATCCGGCAGTTCATTCGGTTGACCAGCGCCAGGGTCCGAGGCAGTCTCACTCTTGAACTCAACGGCATCACTTTGTGACTCACTGCTGCTGTTTGCCCCGGGAGAATCTTCCCGTCTTTCACCACCTGCGCTATCAGCGGAGTGAAATCTTCTCATTTTGAGATTTCCTTTCTGACGCTCTGAGGTAAACTTTTTGGCTGCGGCGGCAGCTGATATCAGCATACCCTCCAATGAGATATTCCCGCTCCACTGTTTCATAAGCTTCCTGTGCAGAGCACCTTTAACTTCTGATCCATCATCGTCGCACTTATTGTTTGGCGAGTTGTCATCTTCTTGTCCTATTTCCGCCATCCTCCCATTGGGCTCCAGATCATCAGTTAATGCATCACTGCACACACTCAGTGTGTCAGGACTGTCAGTCAGGCTGGTGTTACCATGGAAATCTGGTAAATTGACATTCTCGTCTGTTGCAGGCTCCATATCACGCTCGAGTTCTTCCAGCTCAGCAATTTGATCCTAAAAGAGACAAATATATTTTTAGGGCCTCCTAATATTTCAATTATTCCGTAAAATTTTCGAAATGGACATACACTTAGCCGAATGTTTGGGGGGAGGGGAGGGGGGGAATATGGGTAAAATTCCATGAACACTTGCGAAAAAGACGACAGCAGCTGTTACTATAATATAGAAGTTACATGTAAATTATGACCATGGCTAAATAATGAAATTGCCTGACGTTGTGGGGTATCGTCCGTTTCAGCTCTATTGTAACATCTGTTAAATCAAACCTTGTTTTCCATGTCTTCTTCACTTAAGCTCTCTTTGAGATTTGTAACCAAAGAAACTGGAACTACATCTCTTGCTGATCCGGGAATGATGAAATGCTTGCAGTCAAGCACAACCTGTAATTTTAAATGGATGTTGAAGACTTCTTCCATTTTCCGTGTTCCTAAGGTTTAGAGCAGTTCACATACCGTATGTTTGTTGTACAACTTGGTTATTACTAAGTTACAAAAATCATAGCTGTCTCCCTTGAGAGCCTAGAGACCACCCAAGTTAAATTCTTCACAATCTGGAAAGTCATAATTTCTAACCTTTAAACACTGTCTGATTTCTCCCATTTCATGCAGTCTAGATATGCACTCTTTCACAGAAAGAAGGGCAAACCATTTGACACAATCTTCTGCATCATACACGTAGAATTCCCGTCCAATGCACACAAGATCCTGGACCACTGCAAACATAATATTATTAGAATGGCAACTTTAACCCTTGACCTCCCATAAGTGACCAAGACAGAATTTCTTCTTAGAATATTGATACAATATCATGCAGACAAGTGATGAGCTCAAATAAAAATGTTATTTAGAGGATTATCATTTGATCCAACTAAATACCAAATTCTTTAAACAGACTTCATGATTATGAATTGTGGGGTAGACATTACGGAGAATCACTGATGAGATCCTGAGAGTGAAAGAGTTAAATTACAGTATGTCAAAAATGTCTTCATGAGGTATAAAAGATCATACAAATGCTAACATCTAAGTTATTTCTCTAAAGTCTTTACCTGTGTTAATATTGTACCAAGCCACCAACTGCCCAAGGATTGGATCCATGATATACAGTGATGATCCATGCCATGTGATGAGGAACCGACTTCTAAAAGATAGATCGCAAGGGGAAGAGTTACTACACGTTGATTGGCTGAGACAGAGGGCAGTCATTCACTATTAATAGTTCACTTCAGGTAATCAAAGAGACGATATACTTAATCCTGACCAGTTGACTACGAAGGCATTCCGAGTTTGATATATATGAATTTATTTCAAAGAGACACAAATGGAATACATGATAGAGAACACTGTTTTAGAAAATTGGAAAAGAGAAAATTTTTCATCCAAATCTTCGTGGTTTTATTATTTTTTTATTATCAGCCTGAAAACTTCACATCAGTATGGTTGACAAACAATCCAATACAAATTAAAGCATAAAAAGTGTGATTAATACTAACAATTTTGAACACAAAACAAAACTAAAAACAAAAAATAAAATGAGACAAAAATTGAGCAGACAGAACAAAAGCTTAAACAGACTGTGCACCTTGAGTGGCAGTACACACAAGACTACACCCTAACAACATCAACAGGGACAGTGGAATTGAAATCCCAGAAGTCTGGATGACAACAATAAAGAAACACAGCAGCAGCAGACCACAGAGGGAACCAGATATGAAGAAGCACTAACATATCAGTTTATAAGTGACACATGCTCAATCAACCTCATCACCTGAAAAAGACTGACAGTATGTAGTAGAAATGTCATGATCCACATCTGCAGTGATCACATCTTGAACAATCCTTCTCTTTTGAGAGTGTTAATTACCACAATGACAAACCACAGCCTATTTTACGATGTGACTTGAGTTGTAGTTTAAAATAACAACAGGTTTGAATGATTCCAAACTAATTTGACAAGGCATTTAATTTGTGTGATTATTGTGGTAGTGTACTTTGAGAAAAGCACAAAACAATTCAAGCCAGATTGCCTCAACATGAAACAATTAATTTCAGAAGTTATAACTTAAACAATCACCTTACAAGCAGCAGCTTAGCAAAATTTACAGACTGTGGAGGAAACTCTTCTTCATCTATTGGCTCATCATCACCATGACTGCAAGGTGAAATAATATTTTACAGATAATAGCTACAAATATTATATTAATTTTTTGTCGTGATGCTTCTGTAAAAACAACGAAAAACTCATTGAAAAATGTTTATAGCCTTGCATTGTACAATAAGAATGTCTGCAGTAAAAAGACATCTGTTTAAATAATTTTAGATCAAAGAAATTAGTTAAATTAATTTTTTGACTGAATCAACTGAAGGTATTTTTTATCTATTTTATTATTTTTTTATTGCTGACATGATTGTTACTGTATTGCCCTTCAATGGAAAGTAGGCAACAGTAGGAAAATTAAAAAAAAAAAAGCCTTTTGAGACAGATCTCCAAAGGATGTTTCAAGGAATGGACCTCAGAACAAAAACAAACAAACCAACTGACAAATACTATCAACCTGTGTAACTGAGGGTTCTGATGGCAAAATCCACACCAAATCTGTGAGAATATCCAATTAGAAAAATGCTGGAACAGTCAATTAGGAACTTGCAATTTGAAAAAACAGGAGTAACAAATTGGAATTACAAAGTTAACCTAAATCCAAGTATTGGCGCTGGAGGTGAACCCAGAAGTTTCTTGTACTGTTGGGTGGCCATGACTTGACCATCCATGCTGGCCTGTAAAAATGAGAAAGTAACAGTTCATTTCAACATATCATCCTTGTACTTGTACTCATAAAGGTGCTTGTAAATTAGATAGATTTTTTGTGGACTTGAGGTAGTATGGCATGTGTGGCAAATAATGTGCAAATCAGATTATCCTAAAAATACTGGGTCGCATTAAACATTGCTTCAATTGTAGACTGAGATGATGTTGTACTTTGTTGCATGATCTTTTCCAAGGGGGAGGGTTGTCTGATATTGTCATAAATTCTCAAACTTTCATGCCCAGGTGTTCACTTCTTTTCCTTCATCATCTACTTTCATAGAAAAAGTGCTTTTTGTCTCTCAGTCACACAAACAAGTTGGACTGAGATGAGTCAAAATCATCCCTTTCTCAATGTAAACCCAGCAATTATACATCTTGCACCTGCATCATGCTTGCCAAACTATTTCTTACCCCAAATAGATTTAAGCCATTGCAGCCCAGAATGACCACAAAACATTGTCAAATTGACATAAAAACAGTCAAAGAGAAAATAACAGTCAATGCCATTTATTGCACTTCACCAAAAAACTTCAATGATTATGAAAAGCCAGGCACTGAGAATATTTTGGTTGTGTTAAAGCCCTTCAGGGTTCTTTGCTAAATCTTTGAGCATCTTAGGACAATCAGATTCTTTGGCACACTTGGGAAAAATTCAAAATCAAATATCTTACCTCCCACAATCTTGACCCGGGACGTGCTGAGTACACTGTAGGACTGTCAGAGTTCTCTTCTTTAAAGAAACAACTTCCATATAAACCATCCCTGCAATTTTATTTCACACAGAGCCTTTCATTGTTTCGAAAAAAATTAAGCTTTGAACTGTTTCTTTGCTTCTGTTTCAATAAAATAATTTCACCTTTCAATACCAATTCTCACTGATAAAAGATAAACAATAAGTACTAAAAAAAAAAACACTCTAAAAACATACCTTAGTTTGACCCCAACTGGCACACAATCCAAACTAAAGAGAATAAAGAAAATTAAGTTTAACTTAGCTCTTAGTTGTTATTCTGGATGAAGGGGGAAGCTTACAGGTTGGGCCATGTCTGCTTGTTTCAGTCTCTTTGAAACTGTTCAACCTAACAACTAAAGTTCCTTGCATTTTTGTATCTTATGCAAGGATTAAGTAGGAGGTTAGGACTATTTAAGAAACAATATAATAACATTGTGACCAACATATGGAGCCTAAGTTCCATGCATTTTTGTATCCTGTGCAAGGAGCAAAGGTGGGAGGTCAGAACTTATTAAGAAGTGATTAATATAACATTGTGAACAGCAAATAGAGCTAAAGTTCCATGTATTTTTTGCATCTTACATAAGGGCAAAGGTAAGAGGTCAGGACTTATGAAGAAACTAATATAGAAGAATCAAATAGTAAAAGCTAAGGATCCAAACAGAACACTGCTGGAAAGAGACCTAGAGGGCAGGCAACTCAGCCAATTTGCTTCTACACTAAGCATTGGAACACCATCAGAAACACTTTTGAAATCCCCTTTAAGTTAATAGAGGCAGTTAAACAATCAAGGGTAGTAAAATCTTGACACTAAGTTAGTTTACCAAAACTGGTTATTTGAGAATCTGATGACAGAACTCCTTTCCTACATCCAACAATGTTATTTTATTACCCTCCTATGTACATGTACAAAGAGGTGTGCAACAAAAAAGTGTAAACCAATTCTTTGGTGAGCAAACCTTTTCAGATCAACAATGGCAGTTTTGGTCATGGTGGACACAAGAAGTTTATCATTAATATAGTCCAGCTGAACAATAACAGTTTGGGCCTTGGCTACAATACCAGACGTATGTAGCAGAGGAAAGCCTTTGTTTACTGAATGTGGCATCTAGAAAAAAAGTACAAAATCGTGGTATTTTCAATAATTTTACATCTGCCACTTAATTGCTTGTATGTAAATCTAAAGATCATTAACTATTTACATCCTATTGTATCGTCTGCATGGATTTTTCTTACACTATTCTCTATACACTTTCTGAGGTGCTGACAAGTAGAATTTGTTTCAACAATCAAGAGCTTCTTCAGTTTGTGATTATTTCTTTTATTCTCATGACCTCAAGGCCTGATTTAGTTGTGATACTGTAAAGAGAAATTAGATGCAGATCACTCTCAAGGGTTAATGACTCATGGCATAACCTTCAGGACTGGTACAATGTCAATAATTAATTATTCTAACTAACAATCTTACAAAATTGTGAAGAAAAATTTATTGGAAGGAGGAGTGCTGACACAAACTAGTTAAAAATGTTTACTTTACTTACCACTGGTACATGAATGACACTCACAACACCGTTAACATCACCAGCAAAAAGACGACATTCATCTTTATCCCAGCATAGTGCAGTCACAGTTGTATTCTTATGCTCTTCTGATCGTCTGATAAACTGTTAAATAAATATAAAAAAGGAAAAATCACTTTTATGGTCCAAGATCATAATTACATAGATTTAGAACATGAATGAAAAATTGTAAACTTCAAGCTGGATATCAGTGCTCCAAACTACAACCATTTTGGTTGCAATGGCAAGTAAATTTGACGACCTAATTTGATGACCTAAATTACTTTCACGCAGCAATTGTGGTCATAATTTAAGGTAGATGAACATTTGCATGTTTAATATTATAGATACCCTTTAAGTTTCTTTATAAATAATTTGCCATCTTCTCTTTTCTGTAGATTATTTCACTACTCTAGGTCACCAGGTGGCAACTTCAAAAGGCACATGGTTTAGAACCCTGAATTTATCATGCCCTGACTGCTACACCTCTGAATTCCATTTAGAAGGTCCAGGACTCAAGCTCTTAATATGAATGTCTCTGATTTATGTTCTTAAGTCAGTCTGTTCCAGAAATTCAGATGAAAGGGACTGCAATAGGAAACTGTACAATAAAAGCCAAGGAGTAAAAAAGGATTTAGGCCTGGGTCTGGTTGGAAAAAGAGAGGGAAGTCCACATCAAGTCACCTGACAAATGCACCATGACCCAAACCTCTTCCTATATCTCCCTTCACCACTACTGTTACACTGTTTACTATAACTGCACTCCATTTTTCTAGGCAGGCAGATCAATGTCAGTATGTGAGCAACTGAACACCCACCCCTCCCCTAGTCCAAAAGCAGTCAACTGAAGACAAGTTAGGGTCAATGTTGGGGAGGGGTAGGTGAGCAGTGGCTTAGATACTGGCATTGATCCAAAGAGGATAGTTCTTGAGTAAGAAACTATTAAAATGATATATTAAAAAGGAAAATTCATTTTCATGAACTGTACCTTGGGTTTTTCTCTATGTTTGGAACTAACTTGCAGGACAAGGACAATACCAGAACTGAATCAAATCAAATTAAATCAAGTCAGCACAATAGGCAATGACAATTAAAAATTAAATTATAAATAGCTAAAAATTTTACCCCATAGTCTTGGTAACTCATAATGAGATTGCTAATGAACTAAATAGTAATATCCTTTATACACCACCATTAGTATTCAAATTTTCCACACTGCTCTCCTTACATTCCCCATGGTACTGATAAGAAGAATTTGTTTGAATTGTTTAAATCATTTCCCTTATACTCATTATCTGTACATTTGATTCAAGGAAGATACTGTGAGGAGAAATTAGAAGCCAGTCACTCTTAGGAGTAGAAGGGTAAAGGTTGGGGAAATTTTAAAAAAATCACCTGATTATTGTCAAATCAAAAGTGAGCAAATCGTGTCACATATAATTTTGAGAGAATAGGTCCTATTTAACTTAGTACTGAAATCCAAGTGGATCATCAAATAATAATTTTTTTGCTGTTAATAATTTTCTCAGACAAATATAGACAAGAAGCACCATTTGGAACATTTGTTGATACCTTGTTGCAACTCCCAAAAGACTGCGGCTTTGAGTGAAGCAGACAGCAAGAATAGGGCCATCCTATAAATTTGCAAATCGAATAATATAAAATAAAATATAAAGTAATGAAATAAATGTTTTGACTACAAAGTAGCTGATCTAAGATCCACAGAACAAATGTTTTTAGATAGTTTAATCATATTCTCTTGTGAAAAACTGTCACTGAGTTCAAGGTCTGTACTGTAGGTTATGGAATAAGTTTTTTACACTCACATTTATGCCATAATTCTGAGCAAAACATGAGGCTCCACAACTTACAGTATGGACCAAGAAAGAAAAAAAAAGGTCAGTAAGATATTTGTTTTATCTCTGAGTTCAAATAAAAGGGGAAAATTGCAATCAAACCTTTGAATTCAGCAGGCTGAAAAGTGAAATGTGGCCTGCTTATTGACCAATCATAGGACACACACAAACTAAGATATATAATACTACTCAGTAATAACAAAAATATAACTGTTTTATTAGCTGTAAACAAGATACTATTGTAATCCCAGGGTAAAGGCTACTGAGCTGCTTGGAATATCAAGTCATTAAACTGGGAAGATGACTCACTCATTAATTAGGATCACCAAGTTGATGTGGAAATGTTTCAACTGGCCTTTGTGATATCCAAAATTTTCTTAGGAAGAACCTATGGATAAGAGGTACTCCAGTTGAACACTTACTTTGTTACTTATAAACCTGATGTGCTTCAGAGTCTTCCTGTCAAATATATATATGGCCCCCGTAGAAGAACCCATTGCTATGTATTTCTTGGAAGCCGTCATGCATGTGTACTAGAAGAGATTTGCAAATAATACAATCAGCCTAATGAAAAGTGATATCTTGCCATTAAATAACACACCATGCAGGTGAAAACAAAAAGTTTGCCTTTAAGATCTGTTTTCCTCTAAGGGTGTTTGGGATTAGAGTAATTGATATTTTTGTCATAGTTGTTAGCAAAAGAAAAAAAAACAGAACCTAATTTTTTTAAATAACCTTTAACTCAGCATGTATATTATCCATGCTGTTCTTAGCAATATTTCCTAAGGTACCACCAAGGAAAATTTGTTGAACAATCAAAGCTTCTTTAGTAGGTGATTATTTCTGTTATTCTTGAGATCTTAATGGTTGATTCAGGGGTGATACTGTAGGGAGAATCTCAATGCTAATCACTCCAGGGGTTTAGAGGGATTAAGCCTTACAGGACTGTTTGGAACAGTTGAACTTCATTTCTATCTCTCTGTTATGTCTGTGCATCAGCATTCAAGCTAACTGGCAAGCTGCCTACTCAAAAACCTCTACTACAAAAATAACAACACTTATGAAAACAAAAGTCAATGACAACAGCTATTTCATCATAGCTACAAAAGAAGATTTTTCAGACACTGCATAGGAGGGGGAAGGGGGGGGTTGGGTGGGAACAAGCTGGTACCCTCTCCTGATTTAAAAAAAAAATCGGTCCAATAAACGAAAAGAGACTTTCTTTTCGTAATTGGCATCCAGACAGGAGCCCACCCACCACTCACAAAACGATTCTAGGAGGAGAATTTCAAATTTTTACACCTAAACCAAACAGTTGTAAAGCACTTGGGTTTTAATCTCTAAGTTAGCCTTGTGCTTAGACAGTTTGTTAGAGACAAGCATAGAAAGGAAATAAATTCTCAAGACAGAACTTGAGAGAATGATATATATGATCTGCTATTTCATTTCTGTTGTTTCATGTAAAATCTTAGGCAAATAAATAAATTCTATTATATAACATTACTCCACATACCTTTATACGAGGATACGGCTTTATTGGGGTTTGCAGATCTTCCATGGATCCCATTTCGGTTAGAAAAACTCCATATTCTCCAACAACTGTACTCCATCGAATCACCTCTGCTGCAGCCATTTTTGTTTGAATCGAGTAATCCGAAGAACTGGGACTGAAACGTCCGTATACTTTCGGAAGTCATTCGGAAGAGTATTCGGAAGTTGACGGTAAATGGCGTCAGCTAAAGGGAAAGCTTTGGTTAATCTCGAGCCCAGGGTCATTTTGGCTCCTTATCAGCGGTAGGTCGCCAAATAAATCATTAATCATTATTGACGTTCCTAGGATCAGTTGGCGACCATACCGCTGACAAAATTACCTTGGGCTTGAGATCGATCAGGTAGCCGAAAGCAGCAGGAATAGAAAAGCTCTGGAAAGCAGACATTTTCTGGCAAGGACTTAGGATAACTTGGGAAATATTTTCCTTTTGTGGCTGTAATTTTCAAAGTAAATACTGCTACGTTTTTCGCTAAAGAAATTGAAACAAAGTAGTCCGCCGAAATTACTGAATAGCCAGGTGGCCTGGTTAAATACGGACAATACATAGTTATTTCCAATTTTACTCGTTACAAACGAAGTCTCGTGACAAAGCTCATGCCAGTCACGTGGTCTAGAGTATATAAAGACGTCATTAACAAATATTTGTCCTCACTCTTTCTTTCCGTACGTGTGGAGCAGGCGAAGACCATGAAATTTCTAGTGTTACTCGTAGCTCTGCTCTTGGTGAGCCTCTCGCAGGCTGCCCTGAGGTAAGATCATCATGAAATGTGTAAAATACGGCGTAAATTTTTTAGATCGAATACACAAACTATTGTAGCTTTCTTCAACGCACGAGGAAGTTTGTTTTTATATGTTCTAGAACGAAATCTCGATTTCGCGATTGATGAATATCCTTATCAGCTAATAATGCGTTTTTCACTGAGGAAATTACGTTTTGAAACTGGAAGTCGAAACTTAACGATCGAACCTTCAAGTCCTTGGCATTCTTAGTTTACCAATATTGTCTATCTCACTCAGCTAAAAATACATTAAGCGTTTAAATAAAATATCTATGGCATAACCTTTTAGCCACCGATAAACTTGTACAGCACTGCTGTGAGGCACTGCTAGATAGCATTGTGTAATTTTCTGCTCAGTATGGTGTGAAAGAGAACCACCCTCGATTGATTTGAGCTAAACCAATCTATCAGAATTTTAACAACCGCTGCAGTAAGTGGAAAAGTACTTCAGTAAATTCATGATTTCGTGCTGTGATTTGGGAAATTTCCTAGTCCTTACAACCTGAAAACCTTTTTAAGCTCCAAGTTATTTTAAGCTTCAAAATTAAGAAATGAAATGAAAATAAGGGATAATTGAAACTTCCTAAGTGCAATAACAAAACTGAAAAGTTCTATAGGAAGCACACAAATCTCCTGGGCAAGTTGTGGTACTCTCTTGTCTCAGTTTTAAGCAAGAAAAAATGTTTATTCCAAATTTTTTGAGAGGTAATTTGATTAAAAAAACACACAAATGTTAAACTAGTTGATATGTGTACAGTTGCTCATAAAACCATTGAACACATAGATACATCACTCACAGGAATAAGTTATCAGTAGTCAATAGAGAATTTTCAGTACCCAGCCACAGAAAGTATCCTCCAGCAAAGGTTATAATTTATTTCAGAACAACACATGTATTTTACTGTTTTGTCCAGTAATCCAGAAAAGAATACCTAGGGGAAACTCTGGCCATTGGGGCATCTGTAGAACATTGTTCTTTAAATAGGTCTGAGCAAAACTGTCACATGCAAGGGCTAAATGTGGATTCTTTGCACTGTTTGTTATACATTTTGTAAAATTTTAACTCTGTTAGATTAAATATACTCTACAATACAGGAAACATTTTTTTCTCCTCTCTTCATATTTACACCTTTGATATCCTAAGCCTTTAAATCTTAAGGGTGATCATCTAATTTCTCCTTGCAGTAGTAGTGCTGAATCATTGGTTAAGATCATGAGAATAAAGGAAATGATCACCAAGCTAAGAAGCTTTGATTGTTTAATGAATTCTCCTCGTTATTATCAATAGTGATATATAGGGGAGAATATGGAGAATCTGGATACTGATTTTAGTGGGAAAAGTTTCTCTCTGTTACATGTATCTCTGTAAGTGAAAGAGTTAAACATTTCTGAATTCTGCAATGTTTCTGTGACTGTCCATGCTTATTGAAATTTAATGTTTTTTTTTTCTTGTAGAGTGCCATTGCACAAGTTCAGGTCTGTCAGGAATTCTTTAAAAGATATTGGCATTTCAGCTGAAGATCTACGGAAGAAAGCACACCTAGACTTGAAGCACAAGTACTCAGGAGAGTATGGTGGTCCAGAGCCTCTTTCCAACTATCTTGATGCTCAATACTATGGAGAAATCTCAATTGGAACTCCTCCACAGCCTTTCAAAGTGGTCTTTGACACTGGTTCTTCCAATTTGTGGGTACCCTCTAAAAAGTGCCCTCTGAGTGATGTTGCATGTTGTAAGTCATGGTCAAATCTAATCCATACATCTACATTGTACCTATTGATTAATGCTGGTAGAAATGCAAGGCTGAACTAGAACTACTCATGCACATTGTGTTTGAAAACACAGTTGTAATTACTTCTGATAGGAACTAAACCCAATTAAGACAATGAGTGTATTGAAATCAAAATCTTGTAGTTCACCCCATGGGGAAAAAAGGAGGTGAGAAAAACCTCTGGCTTTTCACAGGCTGATCTCTTCTCCTACACCTATACTTTCATCTCCAGCTTTCTATAGCAAAGATTGCAGATTACTTATCTATCAACAGATGCTGGCAATCTTAAGTTTTCTCCTGCTCTCCATTCTTTCCTTTGTAGTCAACATTTCCTATCCATCCTCATCTCTTAGGTCTTTGACTATTTCCCAAACACTTCTTCATCTAATACCCCAAGGAACATATCTTGGTTGACAGGTTTATAATCACATCTGTCCTGCTTTGTTTCTTTTTTATGTATTTTTTTTTATCATCATTCCCTTCTTCAGTGTTGCACAACAAGTATGACAGCACCAAATCTAGCACTTATGAGAAAAATGGCACCAGCTTTTCGATTCGATATGGCAGTGGAAGTATGAAAGGATTTCTCAGCACTGATACCGTGGAGGTAATTAATGTTATAATTTAACTGGTGAAGTGTAATATTATCTTGAGTCTTAAGCTCTCATCTGTTCAGAATTAACTTTTTTCTATCCATTGTATTACTATACAATGCACTGGTTGGGTAACAATTCTAAACCATGTAACCAATTGTTTGGTTCAAATGGTGTTCTAGTTGTTAAGTGTCAGAGAAGAACTTTGATCACAAATGAATAATAGAAGAAGGTAAGAATTTCATAGAGAAGATAAGGTGAATATGTTGGAAATTCAAAACTGATGCACTACCCTTCTGAAAATGTATTAGCTGAACTTGCATTTCAAATTCTCTTTTTTTTTCCTTTTAATTTTTTTCCTGCAGGTTGCTGGCTTAAGTGTGAAACGCCAAACATTTGCTGAAGCCACGAGTGAACCAGGATTAGCCTTTGTTGCAGCAAAATTTGATGGACTCCTTGGTATGGCCTATGACACAATATCTGTGGATGGTGTAGTTCCAGTTTTCTATGATATGGTTCAGCAAGGCCTTGTGCAGAAACCAGTTTTCTCATTTTATCTGAACAGGTGTGTACAAGTGAATAGATAAAGAGTTGATGCATTTCATAGATGACAATGCTCAGGCAGGAAAGCCCATATCAGTAGATGAATAATTTATAATCACTGATAGTTGCCAATGAATCTGGTTATAGTACATGCACATGAAGGAACTACTGTAACATGTTCTCCTGTGAAAATGATGCAAGAAAGCATAAAATAGGCAGATTTGAGTAATAACTTGTACTAAAACTGTGTTTCTGGGGAAAGAAAACCCATGGCCTTCTATAGACTTTAAACCTGTTATCTCGCAATTCTGCTGTGATGTTCTGCCAAGTGAACAATGGAATTAGATATTGGAATCTAGTCTTAGCTACATGAACAGCTGTACAAGTATATGAGAGAAATTCTGGTTAAAATTTGACCAGCAAAATACATGTATTTTTCCAAATTCATGTGAAACGTGTATAGTATAATTTATGTTGTCCATCACCTCTGTTCTTCTTGTTGAATGATGTTGACTATTTTCTTTTTCTGATTTTAAGGGATCCATCTGCTACACCTGGAGGGGAACTGATCTTTGGTGGTTCTGACCCCAAGTATTATACAGGCGACTTTACCTATATTCCTGTCTCTAAGAAGGGATACTGGCAATTCAAGATGGACAGGTAGGCTCTTGGCTTTTGTGTACACAAACTTTACATGTTTTATTTTGTTTTTCTATTCGGTATGTTTTTTGTATTCTTACTCTTCATTCTTTGAGTAAAGCCATGATCCTTGCTGGTAAAGGTACATGTATAAATTTCATTTCAACTGTGGGTGGAAATCAAGAAAAGCAATGATTCTTGAAGGTGAACTGCAATTAAAGCAAACTGTGATTAAAGCAACTGCAGCTGGAATAGTCCATTTACAGTTGCGTGCTTGGTTGCCAAGCCTTTTAACAGGAATAAAGATAGGGTTGGCCTTGTTATAATAAAACATAGCTGCTTTTCAAAAATAATGTAAATTCCTTCGTCATCATGCTAACTAGATACTAATCTCTATCGCAATAATGTCACCTTCAGTCTCACTCCAAATCAACGCCTGGCCATGGAGCACACAATTGTAAAATGGCTTATTGACATCCTTTTCAAAAGCTGTGGAGCCTTACTAATTTATTAGTAAGGCTCATTTATTAGCTGAGGGCTTAAAGAGATCAAATAATTTGTTTTAGCGTGCTTGTGAATGGAGAATCAAGCTTTTGCCAGGGTGGCTGTCAGGCCATTGCTGACACTGGTACCTCACTTATTGGCGGACCTACTGCTGAAGTCGAGAAGTTAAATAAAATGATTGGTGCCAGTCCAATAGTTGGTGGCGAGGTAGATATCAGTAGTTATAATCCATCAAATATTTTCATATGCAAGCAATTGATTTAAGTTTGTCATAATTATCAAATACACACATTAAGCAGAAACTGGTGATTATCTGGGTGACAATGCCCAAGAAATCCAGTACAGTTCCTTAATTTTCAAACCTTTTGTCCAAATTGATGAAAGTTTCTGTGAAAAAATTGATACAAGATGGGGGAGCATTTTACTGTTCTTATTGAAGAAGAGAAAAACCTTATTATTAACAGTACACTGTATGACAGCAAACACTAATAAGTTCATATCTAGCATTGTCCAGTAAAGTGTTGTCAGTGGTAAGCTGTGCTCATTTAAATCTGAACCCCTAGGTAGAGGCCCGGGAAGAGTGAAGATTCTTTCATAAGGATAACCACAACAACTCTTGCCCGATCACCAGTAGGCTTACACATCTCTTCTGCACATGTTTGTGTGGTTTTTGTGTGAAATGAATCTTGTTCCAAATGGTTTCAAACAAGGTTGATTTCTATTTAAGGAAGCTTAAAGTCAAACTAGTTTGAAATCACTTTAAAGTATGGCACAAATTTCCAGATGGGTTATAAGGCATCTCCTATCTCAGATTACAAACACATTGTCAAATTGTTCAAAATGTTCCTTTTTTTTTTGTATTTCAGTACATAATTGATTGCGGCAAGATTGACTCTCTCCCTCCAATTGACTTTGTCCTTGGTGGCAAGAAATTCACACTGACTGGAAAAGACTATGTTCTCAAGGTATGCATTGAGTACATTTCTATTGAACAGTTAAGTTAGGAGCTCAAGATTCTATCATGAATAGAAATCAAAAATGAATTATTTAATTGGTTTAAGTATAAATCTTCTAGTCATTGAAAATGTAATTGAAAAGACATGCTCGTGTTTTTATATCTTTTGTAAATACATACACAGTTTAAGGCAGCTTACTTAACTCTTTATTTAGTACAGAGTAGGTTCTGTAGCAAGTTGCGCAGCTATTCAGACTGCAGCACTTAGGCTTGAGGGCTAGTAAATTTATAATAGACCTGAACACCCTAGTATCAGTATGGATATTCTCCATACTGTTCTCTATATGTCCCCTAAGATGCTAACAAGGAGAATTTGTTTGACAATCAAAAGCTTCTTCAGTTGGTGATTGTTTTATTTATTCTTGTGATCATAGTGCTTGACTCAGTAATGATATTGTAAGGAGAAATTAGATGCTAGTCACTCTTAGGGGTTAAAGGGCTAGCCAGGGAAAAAGTTATGAGAATAGACAAACTCATCATAGCATCCAATCTTTAGTTTTCTGTAATTTATGAAGAAATGTGCAGATATAATCTGCTCTTCATGAGGATTGGGGGTGAACCCGTAATTCATTACCATGATTGATCATGACAGAATTTCTTTTTACAAGATCAAGCATACAAGTAATAAGCAAAGAAAAATTTAATTAGGAGATTATTATTTGACCTAACATTGAATTCTCCAAACTAACATCATAAGAATTGTAGGGCAGACAGCAAGGAGAATTACTGATTAGATCATGGGAGTGAAAGGGTTAAGGTGATTGGTGTTGGTTTTACTACCCTCACCTCAAATGCTCCCAGTAACAATTTCTTAACTGTTGGATAATTTTTTTAAAATTTTTTTTGCAAAGGTGACGGTCATGGGCCAAACTGAGTGTATCAGTGGCTTCCTTGGTATTGACGTCCCTTCTGGCCCCCTGTGGATCTTGGGAGATGTATTCATTGGCCCATATTATACTGAGTTTGACCTGGGAAACAATCGTGTTGGTTTTGCCAAGACTAAGTGAGCCATTTGTGAAGACACCTCAGCCACTGACGCCTATGCACACATCGTTTTGTTCTAACACGTGAAAAAACCTTCTCAAAAAAATTTAAATCAGTGTGAAACTTTTTTGTTAACTGAATGGTTGCTTTGAAAGCCTATTTTTAGAAACTTTTTTAATCTTAAACAGAGTGTTTACATTGCTTTTATCATGTTGTTTACAATGTAGTCCTGTGAATTTTTGATAAATGATTTGTAGACGAGTAGTGATAAATGAATGAATTTAGGAAAAAAAAAAGTCGACTCGTAACTCTTGTAGAAACCTCAAGCGTTAAGTGATCTTGAGTGAGCGTCACCCCTAAATTTGACGAAGAAATATTTAAAAGGTCGCTTCAAGGCTCCCTAGACACCTTTCTTTACTTTGAAACAAAGTGTAATCCCTTCCAGTTGACACTCCATCGCAAGTAGACCAAACCAACGTATTCCCCTCAAAACGTTTATTAACTCCATTATTTTTTTTTTACAATATCATCATCAAATCTAAGTGTTCCGATTCCCCGTCGACGCATCATAACACTTTCTTAACCCTTTCACTCCCAGAAGTGAGCAACATGCTACTAACATGTTACTCCCCATAATGCACAAGCGTTATCTGGGAAACAGTTAATGAGAATACTCAAACTTATCAGTTAAAAAGTTATCGTCGTGATCTAACGTCAATTCTCCCAACTAATTTACAAGGAAATGTGTAGCATCTTTCCCTTAAGAAATTTTGTGGAATCCGTTTACGCAACCGGTTAGAGAGGATCACTCTTTACACCATAGCATTGGGTTTACGAGGATTATTCTCAAACCCGTAACGTCCGATCCTAAATCTAGCGAAAAAATCATAGAACAGGCGTATAATGTAACCAATACATAGACAATATTATGAACATTTTTACTAATCTAAGAATTCTCCTGTTAACACCAGACACTCAAGTCAAGGGGAAAGTCAAATTTAACTTGAACAAGCCGCAGCCTGAGAAACACGAGGGTCAAATTTATTTTAAAATGATCAGTGGCTTTTAAAATAGTAAGCCTTGCCCGCGGGATGATGGTAATTGCTGCCTCGTCCCCAACGCGTTGATAAGGGAGCGCGAGGTGTATTGGGTATGGAAAAGTGGAATCGTGGATGGCATCATGCCGATCTTTTTCTTCCTTTTCTTCCTTAGGCCGTTTGGTGCAGTAGGCTTTCAGTCCTGAAGCAACACTGTCTGTGGTTACAAATATCACACCACGTACTTAAATTCACACGAAAATTTCCTTAACGTATAAAAATAAAGCAGACACAAGAGTGAGTTTGGAATGTTCACAACAGGTCTGTCACAGGAAACTACGTAAGGCGCTCTAATAAACTGTCAGGCACAGCGAGGGCTGAGATGAAAAGAAAGTAACAAAGCCTTAGAACCTTAGCACCCGTCGATGCCCGCTTTTTCACTTGTTTCGCACAACTCTGTCACGACTCGTTTCGAGCGTTACATGATCCCTGAGAAAACAGCGCTGTGAACATTCAGCAATCAAGTAAGACATTATGGCAGCGCAAATACATCTTTACATCTCTTCCGACTCGCCTTCTTCAAGAGCTACATCTTGACTGAAAAACACATGGTCTGGCTGCGGACCATCTGTAACCGTATCAGCTTGGTTTGCAATCTGTGGAAGGCGGGCTGAGGTTCTGGAAGCTGGAGAACTGGACACTGTATACTGTGTCAAATGGCCGGAACTGCAGGAACATCGTCTAGTAAAATCTATCCGTCGTGGCGAAGTTGCGGATTCACACTCCGATGAAGCATAAGTGGCTCGAGTACTCGTTGTCTCCTGGTAGCAGTTATGTGGGAGCACTGAGTAGGTATTTCCATTCCTTGAATTGCAAATTCGCTTGATGTACAGTATACTTCCAAAGCTACAAACAACTAACAGTCCAAAACAAGCAATAACATAGGGACCGCTGTTTCTTAAATCCTCGTTTTTTTTCAAATATTTCGTAACCTCAGGAACTTCAACGTACCAAGCCAGTATACAGAAAAGGGTCAGAATGGAGAATAATACCGCTAGAATCCCACAGCAGAGACATGGATCACAGGATGGATTGTAATTGCAAATGCAGCCGCAACAATGCAAGCGACAGCAGTCTTCTTGTTCCACTGGAGTGGTCGGTCTGCTCAGAGTTCCATATGGCGGAAATTGCACTGGTCGATGGCTATCGGAACTTGATTCGAAATCTTTCAAAATTGCCTCTGCACTCTCATAATGTGTTTGAATATACTGCTTGATTTTATGGACTAAATCTTTCCTTTTCGGCCTCAATGCTTGGATAATCTCGAGCAAGTGACGAATCTTCTCCGGTTCGCAGCCGATTAGGTTTTGTTGGCGTAGAATGCTGAATAATTCCCATCCACTGCTGATTAGCTCCTTTTGAGCACCTGAAATGCGATCTCCACAAATGTGTATTAAAGATTGTAGATTTTTCTCGTTCAATTCATGATTTAGTTCGTTCAGAAGTATCTGAAATGGACTGAGAAACATGGTGGCTGCTTGTTTTCCGATCGGCGATCGCGTGATCACCCTGTGGTCGGCACTGGGTAACCTATTTTCAGTCTTGCACAGTATTCGCTATCTTCATATCGTGTTTACGTTACAAAAAATTGTGCAAGCAAAATCGTGTAACATTTCGAAAGATTCCTTCACTTAGCTGATTACTTATAGATAAATCAATAAATTCCCCTCGCAAAGGCAGCAACGGGAACAACAGTTGCCTTTGACATTTCGTGCGTGATCAACTCGTGATTTCATCAAACATAACAGTATTCTCTGCCTAGCACTACCCCGAGAGAGAAACTCCTTGTCAGTGTTACCACGTTATTATAAAAATTTCCATCACAGAGAATAATTGTTTTCTTCAGAGAAGACTTCATTTACCTTCCTTTCTTCCAAGTTTTCTTTTCTTGTATCTAAAGAGCCAAAATTTGATACGCTTACGAAGTTCCTTTCAGTACCCTACCGCGGAGTGTTGGGACAAAATTCGATACCTGGGGAATCCCCTAACTATTGGGATGAGCGGAAGTCACTTCTGAGCTCTTCAGTTTTAATCGTCATTTGATACTTTGTTTCTTTCTTATTTAGTTATTCTAGATTGTTTCTTAGACATGAAAAAAAAAAAAATAGTGAATATGTTCATAAAAGTAATACATATTAACCTTAGAGATGTACTGTGATACTGTGATTTTTTTTTTTAATCCATGATTTGCGGTCTTTGCCTAATAAATTTCTCTCAGAATATATCAAAGCAATCGAAATTCTTGGACAGTATAGAGTGCGACAGAGTAGGTTAGATTTGTTTTATTTTTCTCCAACTTTTTCTGCTTGTTTCTTCAATAAAGTATGAGACTTCAAGTTTAAGAGAATTGGTAACTTTGCATCAACATATCTAACAAACAAAAGTTTGTAGTTTTAATTTTTATTAAAAGACACGTTTGGACTACCATGTGATATTCAACAGTTAAGCTTTCGCTGACTCAGGAATAAAACAATGATTGCATTTAGTTTACGGAAACAGAGCTAAAACTCCTAAAATTTCAAAGCAAAAACATTCATTCCTTTCACATGGTCGATCGATGTTGTTAATCCTTTAACTCCCAAGATCTCATAAGTAATTCTCCTTACTGTCTGCCATACAGTTCTTGTGATGTTAGCTGGAGAATTTGGTACTGGATCAATTTATAATCCCTAATTTATATTTTTCTTTATTCTCATCACTTGTCTGCTTGATATTGTATTGATATTGTAAGGAGAAATTCAGTCTTGGTCACTCATAGTAGTTAAAGGGTTAACACTTAATTTATCAAATCACAGAAAAGAAATAGTTTGTACATAAAGCTGAATAACAAACACATGAGATCTCACAAAGGTTTGGTTATTTAAATGAAATTTATCTTTAAGGTCGAGGAAAGATTTTTGACTATTACATTTAATCTATTTTTGTTTGAATATGGCGTTTTCTCAGAAAATTACTAATACTGGATCCTAAGAATTTCCGCTCTATTCACCCTAGATAAAATTACACTTAATCAACTACAATCCCTTCCATGGATCATTACACTTGTAATATTCTAGCAAATGATAACTGTCAAGCTAGCGTTCAAATAATAAAATGTATCTTTGAATCTCTTGTCTCTTCGCGCAGCATAAGTAAGCAAAGACTCGCAAGCATTAAGTCACACCTCTTCAATTTCGTCATCTTCTTCTACATCCATGCGCGGAGTCCAAAACGAGTCCGGTTGAAAGCCATCTGGAACAGCATCTGTTTCCTCAACGAGCCGTGGAGTACGGGAAGAGACTCTTGAACATTTAGAAGCGAGTGAACCGGAAGCTGTGTACTGCCCAGAACTACAGGACCTTCCTCGGTAAATCCGCCTCGGCGCTGCCGATCGGTATGAGTCGCCGGACCTACTTGTGCGTCTGGATTCTGATGTGGCAAAGCTTGTTTGAATATCGAATGTTGTTGGTAGGTCTGGGATTATATCGTACTGTCCAGCGATTCTTCGTAAACGGAACTTCACACAAACTGCACATACAATGCTGCTTGCCGCGAGGAATACTAAACTGCCAACCGCAAGAGGACCTGCATGCTGTATCTCGTCGTCTGACTTCAACAATTTCGTAAGTCTTGGGATGCTGGAATACCATGCCAAAACAGCCACAATGGCCAAGAGAAAGAAAAGACCACCCAAAATGGCACCGAACCACATGCAACATGCATTACAACATGCATTGCAACATGCATTACAGCATGAATTGCCATAATCACATTTACAAAAGCACCCGCAACAACGGATAAGACAACAATCGTCGTCGCGAATCGGAGAAGAGGATCGTGAGCTTGTGGCAGGAGGTTGTGTTCCCCTAGGTTCGTAGCTGGACTGGAGGTCTTCCAGTATCGTTTCTGGATTTTCATAACAATCTCGAATATGCTGCTTGACTAAAGAGACCAAATCTCTCCTTTTAGGCCTTAATTCCTTGATGATCTCGAGCAAGTTATGAATCTTTTCCCGCTCGCTGCCAATGACGTTTTGATGGCGCAGAATGTTAAACACATCCCATCCACTAGAAATTCGTTCTCGCTGGCTGCCTGGAATATGTTTTCCACAAACATGTATCAGACTCTCCAGATTTCTTTCGTTTAGCTCGTGGTTAAGGTTATTTAAAAGTATCTGAAAAGGATCGAGAGCAGATTCAGCTGCCATCTTTTCAATCAATTGATCTTGAAAACGAAAGGACTCTGGCTCCCCCAGTAAAGATATCATTTGCACATTCCAGAGATGTTTTGTGCTCCCCGATGTAAACTTCCTTTTAAGGGCTCAAATGACTATTTTGAAAGGTAATCATCTGCTCAACATGTCAATTTTGCCTTGATCTGTTGATGCTTTCTAATTATAACATGTTATTGTGAATCTGAAGTTCCGCTCAGTAACCCTGTGCGGTATGTCTAGAAGCGCTCCTTGGCTGCTTTCTGGAGAAATCACTGTTTCGTGGGGGAGGGGTGAGGGAGAAGGAGAAGAGGAGGGAGAGGGAAGGGAGAGAAAATAAGACAGTCAATGTGGTGCTTCAATTCGAAGAGGTAAATTCATAAATGTTTATCTTAAGAAAGTGCTCCCAAAGTCTGAGATTAAAAGTTTAATTGATTGTACGAATAGGGAATGAGATCTAGCAGAAAATAATTCCAACAAAGATTGGTAAAACAGGAATAAATTTATTGCCATTTCATGGAAAAATGACATTACTGGCTGCATACCGAGTCTTTGCACACGACTAAGCGATACTTGCGGCTGTGTCAAGAGAAGAAACCGAACCGGAAGGGGTAGCAAAACAGGAACTGCGTGATCCTGCTCGTGTACACACTGGTGTGCTAGCCTTCGAATTCGGTACTGCAGAGTTGTTGTCAGCGCCATGCTGAATGGATCTCCCATCACATATTTGGTTGTCTTCACGATCATTATTAAGATGAATATATCGTCTCGTTAAAAAAAAGCGGCAAATTGCCCCCAGAGCGCTGCAGACTGCAATGAATAGCAAGAACCCAATAATGTACGGTCCGGCGCGGTTCCAATCATCGTTGGATTTTATAGAAGAGGTGACTTCAGGAATGTTGGCGTACCACGCCAGTACGGCTGCAACGGCGAAGAAGGCAAAAAGGACCGTCACAAATATAAGAAAGCTGCTGTAACAAGTGATCTCACAGCAAAAGCAATTGAGAACCCAGCATGGCGAAGAGGACCTAAATGCAGTAGATTCTATGTTCAAGGCTAGTTGGTTATTTCTCATGGTTAGAGAGCTGTGAGGGGACTCGGATGCCCTTACTGAATTGAATATTTCCTCCGGTTGCTCGTAGTACTTCGCAATGTGCTTTTTGACCAGATGACTTAAATCCCGTCGTTTCAGCACCTTGATAATCATCAGCAAGTTTGCCACTTTCTCGGGTTCGTCCCCGATTATGTTCAGCCTTCGGAGATGGTTTAAAAAGTCCCAACCATCTTTGATTTTCTCACGCTGACCACCCGGAATCCACTGTGCACAAACATTTTTCAAGCTCTGAAGATCTTTTTCCTCCAGTTCGTTACTGATGTTGTTTAAAAGAATCCGAAATGGATCCAGACTAATCGCCGCCATTTTTTATTCCTTTTCAAGTTGCGTCACGCTGTTCAGATATTTGAGAGCTGTTCTTTCGACGCACGGATTTTGTTGTTATTTGTGTTATTGATGTTACCTCAACAAGAAACGCTTCGAGTAACACATAAAACAAAGATTTGCTGTCCTCTCAGGCAGTTGGAAGGAAGTAAAAATTGTACATAAATCGACTGGCTTTCCGGGAATTTCAGTTGTATCGCGTGACTATCCAAGAGTATCATAACTGTAAACACGTCCCGTGATTAAAAAAGGGAAGATTGCGTAATAACGGTCCCGGCGAGAGAGGTGGTCACAGGTTACTATTAGGGAGGGGTGGGGGGATTTTCAGTTTGTCCATTTGAGTTCCGTCGTGACATGAATTTAAATTAAAAACTTAGGAGTTTAGACAATAGTCAAGCTGTGAATTACCCCAGCAATAAATTTTCTTGTAGATTTAAAAAGGCTCGCTATAAAACCCCATGAGCACATTCTTCTTGATATTGTAACAACTTTGAATCTAAACAACGTTAAATGTTGCCCAAAGAATTTCTCACATTCGCAAAGTCATTTATTCAAATCCCTCTGCAGTTAATTTGGATCAATATCAGTATCTGGGCAACTGCCCACCTACCCCTCCCCTAACCCAACATTATCCTTAACTTGTTATCAATAGACTGTTGTTGGGTTAGGGAAGGGGTAGGTGGGCAGTTGCCCAGATACTGATTTTGATCCTTTTCTATCAACTTCCCTTGGCTAGTGGTCAAAGTGTTTCGATTCCTCTCCCACGCAGCACAACAGTCTTTTCACGATGTTATATCTAATATACATTTTAAGAATAGTTTCTTTGACTAAAAGATAGTCTACCTCACAGTAAACATACACCTAAACATAAGAATTCCTTGTCACCCTTTCCTATACATTCTTCATTCATCTTGTTTGCAATTAGGGGGCGCAACCCATGGTTTCAAGAGGAATATCAACTTACAAGAACCTAACTAATAATTTTGAAAACTTAAAAACGTTTATTTCTCGAACTATGAAAAACTGTTTGCATTAATCCTGTAACTCATGACAGAATTCAAGACAGAATTTCTCCTTCCAATATCTCTACAATTTCAAGCTGACAAGTAATGAGAATAAAGAAAAATATCAATTTAGTGAATTCTTAGTTGATCCAACATCTAGTTCTCCAAACTAACATCATACAAATTGTATGGCAGACAGTTATGAGAATTATTAATGAGATCTTGGGAGTGAAACGGTTAGGGGCAACCCAACTACAAAGCCTAAGGGAACATCAAAAGTTCCCTACAAAGCTAATCAATGCAGTTTACCCTCTCTCAAGATTTCCTTTAGCAATTTTTTAGGTAAATTTTCATTTAAAGGTGGAATGGACCCTTTAAAAACACATATTACTCTCAGGCCCGTTGGGGTCGATCCGAGATCGAGAGCATAAATCATAGTCTAGACGCCCACCATATAATAACAGCACACAGACGAGGCAAATACGCATCAGTTTAAACAAGTTGATGACCACGTTCACCTTGAACAAGCCGTGGCTTAAGTTAGCTACGGTTTGTGCGAGACGAAGGCTTAAACAAGCTCGTCTCACACAAGCTAATCTTTGTTTGAGACATAAAACCAAGATCCTAAAGTTAAATCTTATTCCTAAATAAAAGAGAGGAAGGAAAATCTGAAGAGGAGAAACCAGTAGGGACGATCTCCCTTTGGTTCAGTTCACGGACAGCTGCCATGCACATCTAATAAATTATAGGAACTAGAACAAGTAAATAAAATCATGTTTTGACCATTACGTTTTCACCAAGATGGGAAAAGATATGCTTATAACTTCGGTTAAGTTATCTAAAACCAACATTTTGACGAGCTTCCGTTACTCAAGTAACTTTTTGCGTGACATGAACGCGAGGTGAAAAAATTAGCAGCCTATTATACCAAGTTTCAGCCTACTGTGGCGAAAACATGTTGCTTGGTGCGAAGGGCCAAACAGTTACCTCTCCCCCTGTGTTATTCATCCCTGGGGGATTAAGGAGGGAGTGAACGTGTGGAAGAAGGATCGATGCCCGGGGTGGGGGGTTGGGGTGAGAGGGAGGGCTTGCCACCACTGGGGGCATGAATGGGACGTCTGTACTCTCTGAGGAAGTAGGAGCCAACATTCGAGAGATGACAACTTGTTGATGCTGTTGAACGGGTATGGCGCTCAGATGACTGCCTTGAGAGGTCGTTGCTTGGGAATGTAAAGGACTTGGTGAAGATGTGCTAATACCTTGGTGCAAGGCGTTGTCCCGTTCACTAGCCCCGTAAGATGTCCCAAGAACTCTTCCAGTGTGTGCGATCGTAGAAGCATTCGCATTTGCATGAAGGCTAGGTGCGCTGACGGTTTGTTGCGGCTGGCTGCGGAGAAAGCCTAACACCACTTGCATCATAGGAGTAGGAGAGCCACTGACTGCGGTGTTCAAACTGTTCAATGGCGTTGTGCTGTATAAAGGACTCGGGGTGTTCAGAGGTGTACACGAGGCTAAAGTTGTCTGAGAGCTTGCATTGCTCAACTCGACTGGCCTGTCTCCCGCCTGCGTGCTGTCTGCAACCTCGTCATGTTCACCGTCATTGGGTGTCTCATCGGTGACCGTTTGACCGGGTTCGCCTTCTCGTTGCTGACCTTCCTGGTTAGCATCGGCTCTCTCTCCTGATTCAGCTGGTGCGTTCTTTCCCTTCTTCTTTCTGCGTCTAACAAAACACATTAGATGTTTTAATACCTTACTGTCAATTCGTCTGTGCAAAACCGTTTACAAAGTTAGAGACGACATGTCGCCCAAAGTTTAAATTCTTCTTCAATCACCCAACGTTAAAGAATACCGTTAAAGCCACTTTCTAAATTTGTTGCAAGAGAACAACATCTGAAATGGTTAGCTCGCAGTGTTATAGTGGGAAACAGTTGTTCAGAAAAGCTTCAAAGTAGTTGTGACTCAAACCGGTAAAGAAGACAGAAGGAAACGACTGGAAAACTATAATGACTTTAAGCAATTACGACGAATGTGATGGATAATTGACCATACACAAGCCTGCAATAATCCCTGGTCTTAAAGCTACACTTGAAAACATAATTATAAAAATAATTGTTGTAGAAATATAGGCAAGCTTAATGGGCCATGAATTTCAGGCATCGTTCATCTTAATCACCACAATAAACGGAGAAATTGACAAACCTTGTCCTTCCTTCAGCGCCATCTTCATGCCAACGTTTGAGATGCTTTTAAGGTTTCCCGCTTGGGCGAATCCTTGTCCGCACTGTTCACAGGAAAAAGGTTTGTCTCCAGTGTGTGTGCGACAGTGCATAGCAAGACTACTGGGACACAGGAACGCTTTACCGCACAGGCTGCAGAAATACTTCTTTTCACGACTTTTCTCCTTGGGACGCTGTTCTTTGTTGTGAACAAACCTAATGATCAAGACAATACATTATGGCCCTCTTTTAACTAGCCTGCAGTGCAGGCGTCTTATTAAGGCGAGTTAATGTTAAGAAGGGCGCGATCGTTCACTCAAACGCCCATGTTTGATTTTGGAGTTGGAGTCGACGTTGGGGGAGGGGGCGAGGAAACGCGAAACTATTCACTCCCCAACCCGCACCCTCTCCCTCTCCTTATTATTTATTGCTGCTCACACCCTTGGTACAAATTTCTTTCATTTCTCAGTCTTCCACTGTTGTTAAAATCAAAGATGGCGGTCATAATTTTCGCTACGAAAATACTGAGCACTCGCTCGTCGAAAGCCGTCAAGAGCACTTACTATCGAACCATCTCAACTTTTAGGCATCTCGGAAACTTACCTTATGTGTTTCGTTAGATTCCCTGGCTGGCTGAAACCCTTTTCACAAACAGTGCACTGATAAGGTTTCTCTCCAGTGTGGGTGCGCATGTGCGATTTCAAGTCAGACGGTCCCGGAAACATCTTGTTGCAACGATCACAGGCATATTTCTTGGCGCCCCTGGGGTTGATCGAACGACCTTCGACCATTGGATAACGTTTACATCTAAGGACGACAAGAGGACACAAATCGGCTGATTGATATACTGACAGGGTAATTTGGCATTATCAATTGAGTTGATAATAAAAACTGACCACCGTAAAGAGTTTCAAAGTTGACGTTTCGAGCTTTACCCTTTTGTCAAAGCGACAAACGGAGGGCTAGAGCTCGAAACGTCAACTTTGAAACTCTTTACGATGGCCAATTTACGTTATCAACTCAATGGATAATACTTAATTACCCTGTTATACTCTCCCACCGACGCAGAACCACAGTTTCTTTAGAAACGTACTCCCTTTATGATATATTGACAGATGAATAACCTTATTGATTGATCGTTCGACTGACTGAAATACTGTTACACAATACAAACTTAACTTAAATAGTAACACTAACATTGATGTAGCTGACACGTGGACTGACCGGCCGCTGACTAACTTACTGTCTACAGTTATCACAGCTTCTGGAGAGACCATTGTTCCTCATCGGCAGCAAAAGGTGCAACTGGACAGATTGACTGCTTCAGTAACTGCACTACTGAGCCACGTGTTGACGTGACTCTTTTACAGAAAGACTGACAAACGACTAACTATCCAAATATACAAAAAGTCTCTTATTCCTCGCAAAAAGAGGTATTACAGTAAAATAATAAAAAATTACTTATAATTAACAGGCAACTTTTAAAAGCATAGTTTGATCATTACTGGAACCCACAGGCTAAAGGAACCGAAACAAAGCCAGAGAAAAAGACACCAGACTTGCTAAACAATGTGGTATTGCTACGCAAGAAGGAAACTAAAATTTGTACTCACGTTACTTACGGGAAATAACGTTTCTTTGGTAATTGCTGCCTCGTCCCCAGCGCGTTGGTAAGGGAGCGCGAGGTGTATTGGGTATGGAAAAGTGGAATCGTGGATGGCATTATGCCGATCTTTTTCTTCCTTTTCTTCCTTAGGCCGTTTGGTGCAGTAGGCTTTCAGTCCTGAAGCAACACTGTCTATGGTTACAAATATCACACCACGTACTTAAATTCACACGAAAATGTCCTTAACGTATAAAAATAAAGCAGACACACGAGTGAATTTAGAATGTTCACAACAGGTCTGTCACAGGAAACTACTTAAGGCGCTCTAATAAACTGTCAGGCACAGCGAGGGCTGAGATGAAAAGAAAGTAACAAAGCCTTAGAACCTTCGCACCCGTCGATGCCCGCTTTTTCACTTGTTTCGCACAACTCTGTCATGACTCGTTTCGAGCGTTACATGATCCCTGAGAAAACAGCGCTGTGAAAATTCTGCAATCAAGTAAGACATTATGGCAGCGCAAATACATCTTTACATCTCTTCCGACTCGCCTTCTTCAAGAGCTACATCTTGACTGAAAAACATATGGTCTGGCTGCGGTTGACCATCTGCAGCTGTATCAGCTTGGTTTGCAATCTGTGGAAGGCGGGCTGAGGTTCTGGAAGCTAGAGAACTGGACACTGTATACTGTGTCAAATGGCCGGAACTGCAGGAACATCGTCTAGTAAAATCAATCCGTCGTGCCGAAGTTGCGGATTCACACTCCGATGAAGCATAAGTGGCTCGAGCACTCGTTGTCTCCTGGTAGCAGTTATGTGGGAGCACTGAGTAGGTATTTCCATTCCTTGAACTGCAAATTCGCTTGATGTACAGTATACTTCCAAAGCTACAAACAGCTAACAGTCCAAAACAAGCAATAACATAGGGACCGCTGTTTCTTAAATCCTCGTTTTCGTTCAAATATTTCGTAACCTCAGGAACTTCAACGTACCAAGCCAGTATACAGAAAAGGGTCAGAATGGAGAATAATACCGCTAGAATCCCACAGCAGAGACATGGATCACAGGATGGATTGTAATTGCAATTGCAGCCGCAACAATGCAAGCGACAGCAGTCTTCTTGTTCCACTGGAGTGGTCGGTCTGCTCAGAGTTCCATATGGCGGAAATTGCAGTGGTCGATGGCTATCGGAACTTGATTCGAAATCTTTCAAAATTGCCTTTGCACTCTCATAATGTGTTTGAATATACTGCTTGATTTTGTGGACTAGATCTTTCCTTTTCGGCCACAATTCTTGGACAATCTCGAGCAAGTGACGGATCTTTTCCGGTTCGCAGCCGATTAGGTTTTGTTGGCGTAGAATGCTGAATAATTCCCATCCACTGCTGATTTGCTCCTTTTGAGCACCTGGAATGCGATTTAATTTTTATTAAAAGACACGTTTGGACTACCATGTGATATTCAACAGTTAAGCTTTCACTGACTCAGGGGGAAAACAATGATTGCATTTAGTTTACGGAAACAGAGCTAAAACTCCCAAAATTTCAAAGCAAAAACATTCATTCCTTTCACATTGTCGATCGATGTTGTTAATTTTAACCCTTAACTCCCAAGATCTCATTAGTAATTCTCCTTACTGTCTGCCATACAGTTCTTGTGATGTTCGTTTGGAGAATTTGGTACTGGATCAATTTATAATCCCCTAATTTATATTTTTCGTTATTCTCACACTGGACGAAAAAATGGATTTACGTTGGTAGCAAATCTATAGCAAAACTGAAGTAAATACCACATTTGTACATATTTGCCTCAGTTTGCCAAAGAACAAAGATCGATTTTACACCACATTTGTTACCCGTAGCAAAGGTGGTAAATGCCACATTTGTTAAAGATTTCCACTCTTGTACAAAAGTATTGTGCAGCTATGAATTTTCGTTTCATTTGCCCATGGGGCAAATGTGAATGTAAATGTGTTTATTTGATGCCTGTTTACATACGAGGCAAATTTATGAGCAGATCTCCTTTTTTGCGCCACGTTTGCTTCCGATGTAAAAACATCCAAACTTATGATTACCAGAAAGCTCACAAAACGCTGTAAATGTGCTCAAAAGCGTAATTTTGCAGTGTTTATTTGGATCAGCAAACATGATCAAACTCGTAGAATTGATGAGGTTTGCATAGGCAGGTAATTGCTGGCAAATTCTTGGTATTGAGCAAGTTTGCTCCGTATGGCAAATATGATCAAATTGTTAGTATTGAATAAGTTTGCTCAGATAATAAAATGTTGACAAAATCAAAAGTTTGACCCAGTTTGCTTGGTATGGTAAATGTGGGCAAACTCTTGACCAAAAAAAGCATTGACCAACTTCGCTCTGTATAGCAAACATGATCAAATTCTCAGTACCGAATAAGTTTGCTGAGATAAGCAAATAAGAACAAACATCTAACTTTGCTTATAAGGGAGTGTCAACTTCAGCTTACTGAGGTTAACAGAATATTTAGAACCATTGTTATAAAAAGTATTGATCTATATATTTGGTTTTAGAACTAACCAGCCAATTACTTTTTAAATAGTTTATTTGTCTTTGTTCAATTGGACCACAAAAACATAACTTGACTTACAACTTCTGATATAAACAGCATTGATCTTTAAAGTAGGTTTGAGTACTGACCTATAGCTACCAATAACGTTTTAAGATATTCTATTTATCTCATTTTTCAATTTGGTAATAAAAACTGTCATACATAAATTTGACTGCTACACTGTTAAGCACATTAACAGTAGAGTATTGTTTGTTTGAAAATTCTTGGATGATTCACTTATGCATATATTACTTTTTTTCCAATATTTACTCCAAGCTGTATGTAAGAAAGTAAATAAAGGGGTAAGTTTCTAAAGAAACTGTGGTGCTGCGTCGGTGGGAGAGTATAGCAGGTAATTTAGTGTTAACAACTGGGTTGAAAACGTAAATTAGCCACCGTAAAGGGTAAAAAAGCTGACGTTTCATTTCTTTCCAACACAATCACAATCAGAGAACAAATTCTACATTGCCGCTCTGAACTTTCCAAAATCTGTCCAGCTGTTTTAGTACAATCCATTCGTGCCAAAATTCAGGATGCCAATTCTAAACTTTTTAAACATTTGCACCAAATTAAGGCCCAAAAACTCGACCAACTTATCGGCCCTCAAGTTACTAACGACTCATCGCCTGAAAACCTCAAAACTGTAGTTACCATTCCAGAAAATTTACTACTTTCCGATTCAGAAAAATCAGTTCTCAGCAAGGGCTTAAATTTTGTTCCCATATCACAAAAAACCGACGAATTTTCAGTTAAGCAAGACGTTGAAAAATTCCTTCGCCGCGTTCAGTTGAAAGCCTTTTTTCATGACAAAGAGGATGATTCTAACACCTCGAACAAAGATGCTTTCGAAACACTCCAGATTCGAAAGTCTAAATGGACTCCCCCAGAGGGCCAGAGACGTCGCCACGATATCAACAAACTTAAATTCAATCGTAACACCAAATTTTCCAATCTTTCTTCGGAAGAGTGGTCGGCACTAAAAAGTCTAAAAAAACGCAAAGACATTGTCATTAAGGCGGCCGACAAAGGCGGTGCAGTCGTTGTTTGGCGGGCCGACCTCTATCAAAAAGAAGCTTTGCGGCAACTTTCTGACACCTCCTTTTATGCTAAAGTCGACAAAGATCTCACTTTAATTAACCAAAACATTGTCAAAAATACGATTAACGATCTTATAGCTAAACAAGAATTGCCGGCCACTGCTAAAAATCTCATTATTACTACTCCTAGAACTTCGTGTATTTACTTTTTACCTAAAAACCACAAACCTTACAACCCAGGTCGACCCATCGTTTCTGCCTGCAGTTGTCCTACTGAACTTATTTCCAGCTATTTAGACAAAATTATGGCACCTATCGTCAAAACTCTACCGTCTTACATTAAGGACAGCCAACACGCACTTGAAATTTTTCGTGACTTCAGTTTCCTCGACCAAAACAAACTTATTTTCACCATGGATATAACATCTCTTTACACTGTCATTCCCAATGACGAAGGTCTCCGGGCCCTCAAACATTTTTTCGATCAACGCACTGTTAGAGAACCTAGCTCTGAAACACTACTCCGTCTGGCCGAACTAGTACTCACACTCAATTGCTTTTCATTCGGTGGTAACTACTACAAACAAACTAATGGCGTGGCCATGGGTACTAAAATGGGACCCAGCTACGCCAATCTTTTTGTAGGTTTTATCGAACATCAGTTTTTGAGCCAATACCACGGCCCAAAACCTCAACTCTACGGCCGCTACATTGACGATTGCATCGGCGCTACCTGCTCTACCAAAGAGGAGCTCACTCAATTTATAACCGCCGCCAATTCCTTTCATCCGGCTCTTAAATATACCGGGGAAATTTCCGACACTTCTTTGGCTTTTCTAGACATCAAAATTTCAATTGAAGGCAACGGCTTATGTACTAGTGTTTACTACAAACCTACAGATTCACATAGTTACTTGTTGTATTCATCCTCACATCCATCACATGTCAAGAACTCCATACCTTTTTCACAGTTTCTCAGACTTCGTCGCTCATGTAGTGACGACTCTGATTTTTCCGAAAAATCAGAGGCAATGTGCCAGTTTTTCGATAAACGCGGCTATCCTGTTTCTGTCGTTCAAGCGGGCTACCACCGTGCCCAACAAATCGATCGACAGGCGGCACTACAAACGGCCGAGAAGGAGAACACTGACCGCATTCCATGTACTCTTACATTTCACCCTCACAACCACGCAGTTAAATCTATCATTCTTAAAAATTTTAAATTATTCCAAAACGATTCAGAGACTGGCACTATCTTTTCGCAACCCCCACTTATTTCATTCAAACGTGACAAAAACATAGGCAACTTTTTAGTCAGGAGTTCATTTCAAACCAATGACCAATCTGGAACTTTTAAATGCGCTCGCTCACGATGCAAAACTTGTCCTTTCATTCATAACGTAGAGAAAATATCGGGACCCAAAAGATCCATGAAGATCATTGATCACTTTACGTGTACCTCCGCCAATGTTATTTACTGCATAACTTGCACTTATTGCAATAAGTTATACATCGGCGAAACAGGAAGACGACTGGGTGACCGATTCCGAGAACACCTTCGCGATGTGGAAAGAAATGACAAGGACGCATCCAAACCAGTCGCTAGACACTTTAATCTTCCTTATCATTCTAAACAGCATATGGCAGTTTGCGGCCTTTCCTTACATCTAGGCAGTTCGGAAAGCCGTAAAACACTAGAACAAAAATTTATATTCCAAATCGGCACCCTTAATCCCCACGGAATCAACGAACGCTTTTCATTCAACTAATTTATTCCTGTTTTCTCGTCACCATATTCCCACCAATGGCGTAGCTCCACTTTCTACATATAAATCCACACACAACCCACAATTCCTCTAATCGCTCTGACGAAGGGCTAACGCTCGAAACGTCAGCTTTTTTACCCTTTACGATGGCTAATTTACGTTTTCAACCCAGTTGTTAACACTAAATTACCTGTAAGAAAGTAAATTGAGTATTTATGCATGCTATCATACCACATTATTTTTATCATTTAAATTTTTAACTGTAACAATAACTATGATGGCATTCTCTGATATTTCTAAATTACTTTCTACAAGTTCTTAAAAAAATTGAAAAGTGGATAACAATGTTTGAAAGCTGCACTGAACAGTAACAAAAAAAGAAACCAAATGAGCTTTATGTAAATTTCTGCCACACATTTAAAGCATAAGTGCCTAAACCTCAACTAAATATTTTACAAATGATATTCCTGAAAACCACAAGATGCTCCAGTATTTGCCTTGTTGTAAGGAAACCACCATTTAAGCAAAGAACACTCTAAAGTTTCTTAAACTTGTTTTGACACGCTTTTTTTTTTCACCTCAGTGATGGATTGTTGATTGCAATATTCATATCAATACTACATTCTAGATACATGTCTAACATAAGAACAGTGAACAAATGGCCAAACTCAGTGAGTCTTTTACTTTTGAACTTCTGTAAGTCATGCTGTCGCAATACTAGTAAGTAAAACCTTTTCTTTTGTATCTAAAATGTATAGTAATCAAATTTCGTTTATGACAAAGCAAATGCTGGAGCATCTTCTGGTGCCTCTCGAGTAGATGGAGGGCCATCTTTCCTCTCAATCATCACAGAGGTACTCCTCTGTGACCGCTTTCTCGTGCTCTTTCGATCTTATCGGCTAAACAGGGAGTTTAGCTCACTGCTCCTCCAAATAAGAGGCCTCCTACATAGCACCTTTTGTTTTGAGGGGGCTTGGTCCTCAAAACTGCTGTTCCCAGCACTGTTGTCCTCAGACATTGAATGTTCTGAGGACATGTAATCTGCAGATGAGAGGCACAAGCGGTATTTCTCTTTTTCCTCTTCCCCAATAGATGTAGATTGGAATAGAGCTTTGCAGCGTTTCAAACGTTTCTGTACCAAACATAAATTTTACATTAGTTATGTAGTACTGGTAGGCGTAAAATTTTGCGAGTTTAGAGTAGGATCGTTTCAAGCTGTGTAATGAAATTATCAAGTAACTAAAAACTTACTGTATTCTTCCTACTCCTAATGCGCATGTCTTGGAGCACTTTTACTTGTCTGTTGGTGTCTTTGTTTTTTTAATGCCTTTTTTTGGTCTTGAAATGCACCCTCATGGCAGCTGTCATGAACAAAAACAGTTAACATTTTGCAAGTGAATAACCAGCCACTAATAAATATTTAATTTTCTGACAAATTGAGAAAAACAAGTGGTGATCACTGCTTTGCACCATTTTGTTTTTACTCAGAGGTAAAATACAAAGGCTTTTCACCTCCAAGTTAGCCACTCAGTGTATACAAAGTATTCTTCATTCATTTGTGTGATATATACTAGGGAAGGATATTCATGGCTAGTGAGCAGGTGTCTCCTACTCTCTTTCCAACAGAAAAAAAGAGATTTCTGCTAGCAGGCTAGATATTCAACATTAAGGAAAACAAGGAGAGAATGTGGCAATTTTACAATCAAATATGTATAATTATATGTAAATTGTTAGCATCACCTGAAAGATTAAAAAAGAAAGAAAGAAAGGAAGGAAGGAAGTACATAAAAAAAAAAAAACAGAATTGAACAATTAATCTTAACTGTAGCTTTCCTTTTATATCCTTTGATGCAGAGTTTATTGCAGATACATTTGAACTACTGAACCCAACTTTGGTCACTTTTGCAGAAAACACTTACCTCTTATGACATTTGATGGTGTGGAAGTGTCAGTACTTCTGACTCCATTTATTATTGCTGCATTAACAGCTCTGTTATCTTCATGAGAAAAGCTAAATACAAATCAAAGCTGAATTAGAACTGTGTTGTCATCTTAATTCTCTTTTAAACCCTGTGAGTGGTACATGCCTGTGAGAGTCCACAATATTTGACAAGGAAAGTCAACATTGAACCCTTTTTTTTTAAGGAGTCCAGTATTTATGTCAAACTAACTCTACTAAGACTGTTTGTTGTGGAACATACAATGTCTTTATAACCACAATCAAAACATCATTTTGGTCTCTCGATTGACATTAGCTTCCCATTCTGAAAAAAATTAAAAGAAATTAAAACGGACCTTTTGGATAGATCCCATTTAACATCTTTACCATCTTCACTAGTCAGAGTGGAATAGACATCCCTGATGTGGGCCTTGAAAAAATAGTTAGCAAGTTAAAAAAATTCAGACACTTTGCTGAATATAGCTTAAGTAAATTTATGCCTTTAAAACACAAATAAGTCTGAAACAAGATCTGTAAAAATGATAGTACATCTGCAAAATGGAATTAACCCGAATTATGTTTTTCAGAAAAAAAAATTTCCTTTCCAGTGACAAAAGAATTAGTAAAGCCTAGTCCGAGCTCTTTCTCTATCAAGTTTATCAGCCTTGAATACATGCAATGGCCTAACCCAAGAAAGTACATACTATAAGTTTTACACTGTACTGTCAATATTTTGAACCCCTAAAAATTTTGGTGGTTTTATTGTTCGACACTGTCTTTGTCCAAAATCAAGCACTGTAACTCAGAAATGGCCTCTTGAAGCCTTCTGGATCAAAACTAATATAATCATTTGGGGATTTTCAATGGATTACTATTACATATATTAAAAATGATCAAGAGTAATAACATGGTGTTCACATTTGTTTTGAAAGACATCCATAAACAATAATCACTGTGTAGTCTAACTCCAAACAAAGAATAGTAGTTTTGTAGTGAGAATGGACCCTTGGACTTTGATCCGTTTTTCACAGCGGGGTGGGTACATTTACCCTCTACACGTACATGGGATTGTATACTGGGACTTTGACTTTCATCATCGCTGAAGGAGAAAAAAGCGGGAAAAAATAGAAAAATTAATTATCCTTAAGCTTAATCTTTGAAGAGAGGTGACTTACTGAAAGCGCCTTCGAAAGCCGCGTCGCTTGCGCCGTTGGTCTGTTTTCCCGCCCTTGGCCCTGCAAGTGTCCCTCGAGCCGTTCCTCCAATCTCCAAAGGGGTGGATACTGTGGATTCCAGAGAAGTAGATTCCAGAGAAGTTTCAATCGATCCTTGTAAACTGCCTAATCCATCTAGGACTCTTGGCAGCGACTCGACTGCCGACTTATCCTCTTGATGTTCTAGGCGACCACGAGCTTGCACGCCGTGTGAAACGATCGGTGTGGTCGAAGTTCTGGTGGAACTAGTGGTAGTACTACGAGTGTTAGAGCTTCTGGTGGAACTAGTGGTAGTGGTACGAGTGGTAGAGCTTCTGGAACGTCTTGCTGGTTTCTCTGCCATGATACAGTGTTTTGATTTACTCGGGATTTGCCTTGCCATGGACTTCGAGACGAAAAGCGAAGAACTATCACGCCTAAAGTTCAAACGCAATTCATCATCTCGTCGTAACTACTTTGAAGATCATTTGATGTTGTTACTGGCCCTTTCAGTTCTCTGCTTGGATCCCTGCTGTCTCTGTCCAGTCTCTGCTCCTATTTGTTGCAAGCGCATGCACAGTCTTTCTTCTGCTAAGCGGAGAGCCCAAAAAATTATTGGATTGGTTTTGTATTTCGCTGCACATAAACAGTTAAACGGCTCATGAGTTTCTTTTTCTTGGCGATCAATGTCGTCGACTAAACGAAAATTCTGCGAGCATTGCCAAGACTTCGTCTCTACGAGAACGTATAGGCAGCATTTAGATCTTTACTACAACAAAGAAAGTGGTCAATGGAACATTCGACAGATTCAAGAAGAGTCTTCAGATGAGGAAAGAAGCGATCCTGCAGATGTTGACGTGTGTGCTGAAGAAGTGGACCAGTTGCACGATGTTTGCATTCAAAGACCAGTCGCAATGGCAAGTTGTGATGGAGGCAGCGTTTCTGGACCAAGTATATCATTGTATGTATAGGCTAACGCTACTTTGATGCACATACTAGTGAGACAGGTTACTGGAATCAAACAGGATTGCCTAACTGTCATTTTCAGAGTCACACCTTGCTTTTTGTAGGGTTACTTTAAAACGGGGGTTTCCCATTTACGACTAGGGCTCAGTCAATAGTAAACAAGGCAATGCATTGTAGCTAAAAGTAGCACAGAATAAATTTTCTTTGCTTCTTATTCTGAATGAAACAGAAAGAAATATTTAAAACTAGGAACAAATGTGAAATATTGCCACAGTATTATTATAACCAGTAAGGGTGTTAATGCTCTATAGATACACTTCAAAATTTATGCTCACTTAAATTTCAAATTTGAAATACATTATTTAACAATTATCCAGTTAATTTTATAGGTAATTATTTTCATCATATAAGGGCAAACAAAGAATTTTGAGAAACAAACTATGTTTAAAGTGGATTTGATATTTGAGAAAAACAATAATTGTGCAGTCCTCTTGCCTCCACCTGCAAAAAAATGCAAATTAGTTGGGGTCAAGGGCCAAGTCCCTTTCATAGTGTGCCTTTGTATTTTAGAAGTTGTTCCTGTCCCCTTCTGGGAGGTGTAAGTTAATCAAGGCTTGACTGTATTTTTCATTTTGTCATGGTCCATTCAGCACTACATGTAGGTATACTGTAACAGCAGCACACCAACTGCTATCAGTTTTGAAGTGGGCATACCTTTTGAAAAAATGTGTGCAGAATAACAGATGCATAACTCTTTTAAACTTATCAGGTTTGGAAGGTGTTCCTATCCACAATCTAGAAGAGGAAGATTACCTTTTAGTTCATGGTTTTGATGACAGTGACTCAGAGAATGACTTTATTTATCATGAGAGGATGCCACACACATTACTCAAAGAAGTGTGGGATTTGCCTGGTGAGGATGTTGATACAGACTTCCCCCAAAATCAGGGTCAACTACCCTCTGTGGATGTTAACAACACATCCAGAATAAATGGAAGTTTCAAGCATCTTCTTCGTTGGTTGCTGATTTTCCTGTGCCTTTGGTCTTCATTTTCTTCATTATCTGACAATGCATTGGAAATACTTCTTACTTTTTTGAGGGCAATGTTTGATTCCATGGGTACAATCTTTCCAGTTGTTGCAAGTTTTGCTGTGCTGTTCCCAAAGTCAGTCCATTTACTACGCAAGCAACTGGGACTGGACAAAGACAGATTTATTAAATACATTGTGTGCCCAAAGTGTCACACTTTGTACAATTTTGATGACTGCTATGAACTGGTTTGCAGTCGAAAAGTCACCAAGAAGTGTACTTTTGTTCAGTTTCCAAACCATCGGCAACATTTCCGCCGTACCAAGTGTGGTGAACCACTTTTAAAAGAAGTTTCCTTAAAGAGTGGGGGGACTAAGCTTTACCCACACAAAGTGTACTGTTATAACAGCATCATTGACAATCTCTGCCAATTCCTTCAAAGGCCAGGATTTGTCAATAAATGCGAATTATGGCAAAGCAGGGGTATCCCTGATGGATTCCTTGCAGATATCTTTGATGGACGTATCTGGAAGGAATGGTAGAATGTGGATGGGAAAGCATTTTTGGCAGCACAGAGGAACTATGCATTTATGCTCAATGTTGACTGGTTCCAGCCTTTCAAGCATTCAGTGTATAGTGTTGGAGTGCTCTATATGGTTCTGATGAACCTCCCCAGGGCTGAGAGGTTCAAACCAGAAAATTTTTTCTTAGTTGGTGTGATCCCTGGGCCCCATGAACCAAAACACAACATTAATTCATACTTACAGCCCCTCGTAGCTGAACTGAATGTGCTGGAATGCCTTGCCCAGCAGTGACATGGAAGTGTGGCGTACTTTTGTCATGGCTTGTTCTTGCCTGTGCTCTACTGTTCTTACAGAAACAAAAGCATTGCTGGCCCACTCCTACCTTTTGAAGTTTTGCCAGGGTTTTGAACAGTTGTATGGCAAACACAGAGTAACTCCAAACATACATCTGCATATCCATCTTGTTGAGTGTGTCTTGGATTATGGACCTGTGTATTCATTTTGGCTGTTCAGCTTTGAGCGCTATAATGGAATTCTTGGCGAGTATGGAACCAATCAACGTGCTGTTGAGATACAGTTAATGCGCAAGTTCTTATCAAGTCAGTTTATGAAGGATCTGCCTTTGCCTGTTGAGTTCCAAGATATATTTAAACCTCTGCTTAACAGACTATACTCAAAACAATCAGGAAGTCTTCAAGAACAGTGTCTAACTGAGAAGGACCAGGTGTCTGGAGAAATTATCCAGGCTTTTGTGCTGTCCACTGGTCATGTGCGAACTGGTGGCAAATTTGAGAGCAGTTTCTATTTGTACACATGCTGTGGACCATACTCAAGAGACACTATAGATGTAGATGTTCTTCCCCATCTAAAGAAATCCTATACTACGTTTTTGGATGGGCTGGATGAAACCTCTGTTACGACTCACTTTGAATGTTATGCTTGTTGTAAATTCAATGGTGATCTCTTTGGCTCCATTAAATCAAGAGGAGATAGATCAGCATTTGTGTTGGCAAGGTGGTGTAAACTTGGTGGCACAATTGACACCTCTGGAGCTGATTTGAGACCAGGTGTTATTGATTATTTTATAAAACCAAATGTACAAGTAAATGGACAAAAGTAAGCATGGTCACATTGCTCCTGAAATTGTCTGTGGTGCCAGTCCACCTTCACATGCCAGTGATGTATTCTCTTTTGGAAGAGTGATCTGTGCAGTTGGTACATACCTCCAATGCCACTTCCTTTGTACTTTGGGGAAAAAGTGCATTCTTAGTGATCCTGAGTTAAGGCCACAATTAAGTGAGATAATTGATGAACTAGAGGGGCGACTAAAATTGCATATCAAGTGATTAATATATGTTTACTAACATACAATCCTGTTGAAACTGTTCACTGTTTCTTAGATTTTTTTTTTTGGGAGTGAGGAATCTGTTCTTTTTCCTACCCAGACTTGTTCCCACAAGAGCACTGCAAGCTTTCTCGATGGCATATCATAGGTTGGCAAATGATGAGATGGCACATCTTGTCAGTCAGTGCTTTTGTGGTATTGCAATTGTGTAGGTAAAATTGATACCCTGTTTGATTTGAAGCTTTGGATTAAGTCAACAGATTAATAGATATTTCCGTAAAATTAATACAGTATGTCAGTTTCATAGGGAGATTTTCATGATTAAATAGTTTGAATATATTAAATGAAATTTACAATAATCATGAAAAAAACATTTCACAATATACATATACAATTGTATTGTACATATACAAAAAAAATAAGAAGAAAAGGACTAACTACAGAGAATAACCAAGTGCTAACCTCATTGTAGTAATGCTTGATACAGACAGTTATTTTTTGTTGCCTTTATAGAGTGCTGGAAACACAAACTATTATGTAATAATTATTCTTATTGTTTGTAAGTGACGCAGTAGTTATTACTTGGGTATCCGGATATTGGTAATTGGATAAAACTTGGTTCACTCAGTTTTGATATTGCATTTACATTTACTTATAGTAAATCTATAGTATAAATTGAGATTTTGGTGCTATCCTATAAAGCACAGTTGAAGACACTTTGCAGTTACATCAGGACATGCATGATAAATATTTAGATCTTATATCACTTTCTTCAAGAAATTTCTTTCTCAGGTGATCCTGTTGAAACTGTATGCTTCTGAATCTGAATGGTGAAAATTTGTAAGGGTCATCAAATGGCACATCTTGTAACTCAGTGCTTTCAAGTGACAGAAGTCTTTCTTCTACCCATTCTTTAATTGTATACCAAGGTATTTGATTTGTAAAGCTATTTATTTAGTTTAATTGTATATGAGAGTTTCTTAGGAATTATTGTGACTTGATTTTTGAAGACATGATCGATATAACACGATTTATATTGTAGACAATTTGTTCAGCCCAATCAAAATAATTTGTCAGTTTTGTGTGATAACAGCTAAAATAATAATAATTTCCACATGCAATATAAGTTTGCAGTGTTTATGAAGACAATAAAATGTTATATCTGTGGTAGGCAGAGGCCTGCCACTTTTGTTTGTTCTATTACTTTTTTTAATAAGGAGTGGATTACATGAGCTGAATTGACTGTTTTCTAAGATCACATTATATGGGCAGGCCAGCCTGACTCTTCTAATCAGCCTCTAAGTGGATGATTGACAGGCCTGTGGCCTGAATTGTTACTTCCCTCAGATTTCTAGCAAAGGTAAATAGATCAATCTCATTTACTTCCAATTTCATCTATATTAAATTTTATTCTGAATACAGTCAAACCCAGTTAATCAGCCACCCTTAGGGAACTGGCAAATGGCCACTCAGTAGGGGTTTTATTTTTTTTTGTTTGACATCAATGCAAATTTATAGCAAATGAACAGCTTTGCTCAATTGGCAAATTAGAGAGTATTAAGTGCAAAGGTACTTATTTCTACTGCAAGTAAATATGGTTGAAAAATGCTGCAAACAAACTGTTTTGCATAGTGTTTACTTTTAATTGCATTAATAGTAAATATGTCACTTTTGCACCGAAGGCAAATGCTTGACAACTATGTGTTAAAGCTCCAGGTTTACCTTGGTAGCAAATGTAAGGTAAATGTTAAGCAAATGTAATATTTACAACACATTTGCAGGCAATTTTGTCAGGAACAAATACTTGAGTTTACTGTAATATATTTGTGACGCTTGCGACGAAAGAGGAAACTTCGAGGGGTGTCGCTATGCGTGTTTTCTAAGTGTCGCTGATGTGGGACTATTTTACCGGTCGTAATGAAACCACGAAAACCAAGGTGACTATCAACGGTGTTTATTTAGATCACGGTAACGATCACGATCGTAAACTGAAATTACAATAATATAACGAATGCATGAATCTAATTGAATTGGTGTGAAAGGCATGAAAGAAACGCTTTACGTGCTCATGTCGATAACGCGATTAAAATAACAACAATCAACGTGAATTAACATAAACAAATCATAAAAGGCTAAATAAAAACTGCTCAAGATTCAAAGATCGGCTACACGATGACCATTTGCGGCTGATTAACAGCCCAAAGACTAAAATGTGGGCGTTACTGTGTGAGCGTCTAGTTATTTCAAAATACTCCTTGATTTCAAGATAATTAGTTGTACTGTTGTACAACACAGTACATATGTGCGCTATCGCCCAAGGTAAAAAACTAAACTTAAACATATTGAAATAAAACTAACAAAATCACTTACATATCGGTCCCGCTTGTGCCAAAGGTTTGGAACGAAAGAACGAAGTTGTTGCTGTTCAAGGTGAAATCTTACGAAACTCTGGCTTGAGGGGACGCTAATTTAGGTTTTATATGCGCGTGGTGACGCTAAAATATCCGATTACAAACCAATAGGGAAAAAGATAAACATTGTAACTACGATCGTAACTAGGCATGCAAATTAAAAGTAATTGACAATTGATCTAATCAACAAAAAAGGCTGTTCTTTGTTCGATATCCTTAACAATATTGCTAGTGATAGAAACCCACGAGGTCAAACAACATGGCCGCTTCAACACAACATTATTCCAGCAATGTATTCTGGGTACATACACAGTAACCCTAGAGGGTACTCAATATATTACATTTACCTTCAGTTTACAGCTGGTGCAAATTCAGTTCAAATTTAGAGCCCCAAATTTGCACCACATTTGCACACCTTGACAAACACTAGTAAATCCATTTTTTCGTCCAGTGTCATCACTTGTCTGCTTCATATTGTATTGATATTGTAAAGAGAAATTCAGTCTTGGTCGCTCATAGGAGTTAAAGGGTTAACACTTAATTTATCAAATCACAGAAAAGAAATAGTTTGTACATAAAGCTGAATAGCAAACACATGAGATCTCACAAAGGTTAGGTTATTCAAATGAAATCTATCTTTAAGGTCGAGGAAAGATTTTTGACTGTTACATTTAATCTATTTTTGTTTGAATAAGGCGTTTTCTCAGAAAATTACTAATACTGGATCCTAAGAATTTCCGCTCTATTCACCCTAGATAAAATTACACTTAATCAACTATAATCCCTGCCATGGATCATTACACTTTTAATATTCTATCAAATGATAACTGTCAAGCTAGCGTTCAAATAATAAAATGTATCTTTGAATCTCGTCTCTTCGCGCAGATAAGTAAGCAAAGACTCGCAAGCATTAAGTCACACCTCTTCAATTTCGTCATCTTCTACATCCATGCGCGGAGTCCAAAACGAGTCCGGTTGAAAGCCATCCGGAACAGCATCTGTTTCCTCAACGAGCCGTGGAGTACGGGAAAAGACTCTTGAACATTTAGTAGCGAGTGAACCGGAAGCTGTGTACTGCCCAGAACTACAGGACCTTCCCCGGTAAATCCGCCTCGGCGCTGCCGATCGGTATGAGTCGCCGCACCTAATTGTGCATCTGGATTCTGACGTGGCAAAGTTGTTTTGAATATCGAATGTTGTTGGTAGGTCTGGAAATATATCGTACTGTCCGGCGTTTCTTCGTAAACGGAACTTCATGCAAACTGCACATGCTATGCTGCTTGCCGCGAGGAATGCTAAACTGCCAACCGCAAGAGGACCTGCATGCTGTATCTCGCCGTCTGACTTCAAAAATTTCGTAAGTCTTGGGATGCTGGAATACCATGCCAAAACAGCCACAATGGCCAAGAGAAAGAAAAGACCACCCAAAATGGCACCGAACCACATGCAACATGCATTACAACATGCATTGCAACATGCATTACAGCATGAATTGCCATAATCACATTTACAAAGGCACCCGCAACAACGGATAAGACAACAATCGTCGTCGCGAATCGGAGACGAGGATCGTGAGCCTGTGGCAGGAGGTTGTGTTCCACTATCTTCGCTGCTGGACTGGAGGTCTTCCAGTATCGTTTCTGGATTTTCATAACAATCTCGAATATGCTGCTTGACTAAGGAGATTAAATCTTTCCTTTTAGGCTTTAATTCCTTGATGATCTCGAGCAAGTTATGAATCTTTTCCCGCTCGCTGCCGATGACGTTTCGATAGCGCAGAATGTTAAACACATCCCATCCACTAGAAATTCGTTCTTGCTGGCTGCCTGGAATATGTTCTCCACAAACATATATCAGACTCTCCAGATTGCTTTCGTTTAGCTCGTGGTTAAGGTTATTTAAAAGTATCTGAAAAGGATCGAGAGCAGATTCAGCTGCCATCTTTTCAATCAACGGCTCTTATCGGAGTTAGAACGCCACCCAAACAATCCAGCGGTATTCTTGTGAGTAAACATCAAAGCGAGGCTATCGGGTCAACATCGATCAGATTTGTGTGAGAAAGTGAGGAAAACTTATGGAGTGTTCCACAAATCTTCCACAAGCGGCCTTTTTTTCCGCTGAGGAGAAAGTGCAGTTGATAAGTGGTAATTGCCCACGGCATATTACTAAAGAAAGACTCAAAGAATGGTTGTCATTCCGCAAAGGGACGGCTAAAGATGGTGGTGCACGGTCTGAAGCAACGAAGGCTGAGTTACCTCAAAGGTACACAGATTGCAATATTTTTTGTCCCTTATAATTATTACCATTGCTTGAAGGGAATATCGAAGCATAAGTTCTATATCGGTTTGTTTTACCTGCCGTAGGGTCATCAGTTATATAAAAAATGGTTGGGAAAATAATTTTACGGAGAAGTGGCAACACTTGGCGGCAAGTAAACCACTGGAGCAAACGGCAACCGTCAATTGTGATTTCCCTGGATCTGCACAATGGGTTTCGCTGGTTGACGCGAAGGACGATGTCCCTTCATTTAATATTCAGAATATCGTGTCTTACTTTATTGAAAGAAAAGCTAAAGACAATGAATCCAACAAAGATTTCAAGAATGTCAGCATCAAAGCTTTCGGTTTGTTTCGACATGGTCATATCCAAAAACTGGAAATCGCACGGGACGACGACGACGACAAGGTACACTTCCGATGTGATTGCTTACCTGAAATGAAGAAAAACTTGAACTATAACATAAAACTGTCACTGTGTAATAACGGTGAACAGGAAGGTAAAATCACGTTTGCTAGCTGTGCTTGCCCAGCTGGTAAAGGTCCATGTGGCTCTTGTAAACACATAGCCGCTCTTTGTTATGCTCTTGAAGAATTTGTGAGACTTAAGTGCACACGGGAATTTGAAACATGTACCTCAAGACTGCAAACTTGGAACCAGCCGAGAAAGAGGAAGCTCTTTCCTCTTTGGTTTTTCAACAGTAAATATAAACTTCGTCGGCAAGGAATCTGGCTTCAAGCGAATTCTTTGTCCTCCCATTGGTTTTATGAATCAATTAGCTTCAAAATGCTGACTACAGACATAAGAGTTTTTGTTTACCGGAGTGTTCTCTCGACGCAGTTTCACGAGCCATTGTGCCAGCAAATTCTGGTTTGACAGCGGCAGCGAATGCCATGATAAGTCCTTGCACTCCGCTTTGGAACTTCGGTTTTGACACCCAAAAGCTATGCAATGTTTCACCATGGATAAAGAAACTAAAAACTCGAGAAAATATTATGTAAATACCAAGCTACTACTAATTTCCCTCTCTGCTTCCTTGTACTTTAGAGCGAGCTAGACCCGATAGCCTCGTTTTGGGGTAAGCTGCCTCGTCCCCAGCGCGTTGGTAAGGGAGCGCGAGGTGTATTGGGTATGGAAAAGTGGAATCGTGGATGGCATTATGCCGATCTTTTTCTTCCTTTTCTTCCTTAGGCCGTTTGGTGCAGTAGGCTTTCAGTCCTGAAGCAACACTGTCTATGGTTACAAATATCAGACCACGTACTTAAATTCACACGAAAATGTCCTTAACGTATAAAAATAAAGCAGACACAAGAGTGAATTTAGAATGTTCACAACAGGTCTGTCACAGGAAACTACGTAAGGCGCTCTAATAAACTGTCAGGCACAGCGAGGGCTGAGATGAAAAGAAAGTAACAAAGCCTTAGAACCTTCGCACCCGTCGATGCCCGCTTTTTCACTTGTTTCGCACAACTCTGTCATGACTCGTTTCGAGCGTTGCATGATCCCTGAGAAAACAGCGCTGTGAACATTCAGCAATCAAGTAAGACATTATGGCAGCGCAAATACATCTTTACATCTCTTCCGACTCGCCTTCTTCAAGAGCTACATCTTGACTGAAAAACACATGGTCTGGCTGCGGACCATCTGTAACCGTATCAGCTTGGTTTGCAATCTGTGGAAGGCGGGCTGAGGTTCTGGAAGCTAGAGAACTGGACACTGTATACTGTGTCAAATGGCCGGAACTGCAGGAACATCGTCTAGTAAAATCTATCCGTCGTGGCGAAGTTGCGGATTCACACTCCGATGAAGCATAAGTGGCTCGAGTACTCGTTGTCTCCTGGTAGCAGTTATGTGGGAGCACTGAGTAGGTATTTCCATTCCTTGAACTGCAAATTCGCTTGATGTACAGTATACTTCCAAAGCTCCAAACAGCTAACAGTCCAAAACAAGCAATAACATAGGGACCACTGTTTCTTAAATCCTCGTTTTCGTTCAAATATTTCGTAACCTCAGGAACTTTAACGTACCAAGCCAGTATACAGAAAAGGGTCAGAATGGAGAATAATACCGCTAGAATCCCACAGCAGAGACATGGATCACAGGATGGATTGTAATTGCAATTGCAGCCGCAACAATGCAAGCGACAGCAGTCTTCTTGTTCCACTGGAGTGGTCGGTCTGCTCAGAGTTCCATATGGCGGAAATTGCAGTGGTCGATGGCTATCGGAACTTGATTCGAAATCTTTCAAAATTGCCTCTGCACTCTCATAATGTGTTTGAATATACTGCTTGATTTTGTGGACTAAATCTTTCCTTTTCGGCCTCAATGCTTGGATAATCTCGAGCAAGTGACGAATCTTCTCCGGTTCGCAGCCGATTAGGTTTTGTTGGCGTAGAATGCTGAATAATTCCCATCCACTGCTGATTAGCTCCTTTTGAGCACCTGAAATGCGATCTCCACAAATGTGTATTAAAGATTGTAGATTTTTCTCGTTCAATTCATGATTTAGTTCGTTCAGAAGTATCTGAAATGGACTGAGAAACATGGTGGCTGCTTGTTTTCCGATCGGCGATCGCGTGATCACCCTGTGGTCGGCACTGGGTAACCTATTTTCAGTCTTGCACAGTATTCGCTATCTTCATATCGTGTTTACGTTACAAAAAAATTGTGCAAGCAAAATCGTGTAACATTTCGAAAGATTCCTTCACTTAGCTGATGACTTATAGATAAATCAATAAATTCCCCTCGCAAAGGCATCAACGGGAACAACAGTTGCCTTTGACGTTTCGTGCGTGATCAACTCGTGATTTCATCAAACATAACATTACTCTCTGCCTAGCACTACCCCGAGAGAGAAACTCCTTGTCAGTGTTACCACGTTATTATAAAAATTTCCATCATAGAGAATAATTATTTTCTTCAGAGAAGACTTCATTTACCTTCCTTTTTTCCAAGTTTTCTTTTCTTGTATCTAAAGAGCCAAAATTTGATACGCTTACGAAGTTCCTTTCAGTACCCTACCGCGGAGTGTTGGGACAAAATTCGATATCTGGAGAATCCCCTAACTATTGGGATGAGCGGAAGTCACTTCTGAGCTCTTCAGTTTTAATCGTCATTTGATACTTTGTTTCTTTCTTATTTAGTTATTGTAGATTGTTTCTAAGACATGAAAAAAAAAAATGAATATGTTCATAAAAGTAATACATATTAACCTTAGAGATGTAATGTGATACTGTGATTTTTTTTTAAATCCATGATTTGCGGTCTTTGCCTAGTAAATTTCTCTCAGAATATATCAAAGCAATCGAAATTCTTGGAAAGTATAGAGTGCAACAGAGTGGGTTAGATTTGTTTTATTTTTCTCCAACTTTTTCTGCTTGTTTCTTCAATAAAGTATGAGACTTCAAGTTTAGGAGAATTGGTAACTTTGCATCAACATATCTAACAAACAAAAGTTTGTAGTTTTAATTTTTATCAAAAGACACGTTTGGACTACCATGTGATATTCAACAGTTAAGCTTTTGCTGACTCAGGGATAAAACAATGATTGCATTTAGTTTACGGAAACAGAGCTAAAACTCCCAAAATTTCAAAGCAAAAACATTCATTCCTTTCACATTGTCGATCGATGTTGTTAATCCTTTAACTCCCAAGATCTCATAAGTAATTCTCCTTACTGTCTGCCATACAGTTCTTGTGATGTTAGCTGGAGAATTTGGTACTGGATCAATTTATAATCCCCTAATTTATATTTTTCTTTATTCTCATCACTTGTCTGCTTGATATTGTATTGATATTGTAAGGAGAAATTAAGTCTTGGTCACTCATAGGCGTTAAAGGGTTAACACTTAATTTATCAAATCACAGAAAAGAAATAGTTTGTACATAAAGCTGAATAGCAAACACATGAGATCTCACAAAGGTTAGGTTATTTAAATGAAATCTATCTTTAAGGTCGAGGAAAGATTTTTGACTGTTACATTTAATCTATTTTTGTTTGAATATGGCGTTTTCTCAGAAAATTACTAATACTGGATCCTAAGAATTTCCGCTCTATTCACCCTAGATAAAATTACACTTAATCAACTATAATCCCTTCCATGGATCATTACACTTGTAATATTCTAGCAAATAATAACTGTCAAGCTAGCGTTCAAATAATAAAATGTATCTTTGAATCTCTTGTCTCTTCGCGCGGCATAAGTAAGCAAAGACTTGCAAGCATTAAGTCACACCTCTTCAATCTCCAAATAATTCCAACAAAGATTGGTAAAACAGAAATAAATTTACTGCCATTTAATGGAAAAATGAAATTACAGGCTGCATACTGAGTCTTTGCACACGACTAAGCGATACTTGCGGCTGTATCAAGAGAAGAAAGCGAACCGGAAGGGGTAGCAAAACAGGAACTGCGTGATCCTGCTCGTGTACACACTGGTGTGCTAGCCTTCGAATTCGGTACTGCAGAGTTGTTGTCAGCGCCATGCTGAATGGATCTCCCATCACATATTTGGTTGTCTTCACGATCATTATTAAGATGAATATATCGTCTCGTTAAAAAAAAGCGGCAAATTGCCCCCAGAGCGCTGCAGACTGCAATGAATTGCAAGAACCCAATAATGTACGGTCCGGCGCGGTTCCAATCATCGTTGTATTTTATAGAAGAGGTGACTTCAGGAATGTTGGCGTACCACGCCAGTACGGCTGCAACGGCGAAGAAGGCAAAAAGGACCGTCACAAATATAAGACAGCTGCTGTAACAAGTGATCTCACAGCAAAAGCAATTGAGAACCCAGCATGGCGAAGAGGACCTAAATGCAGTAGATTCTATGTTCAAGGCTAGTTGGTTATTTCTCAAGTTTAGAGAGCTGTGAAGGGACTCGGATGCCCTTACTGAATTGAATATTTCCTTCGGTTGTTCGTAGTACTTCGCAATGTGATTTTTAACCAGATGACTTAAATCCCGTCGTTTCAGCACCTTAATAATCATCAGCAAGTTTGCCACTTTCTCGGGTTCGTCCCCGATTATGTTCAGTCTTCGGAGATGGTTTAAAAAGTCCCAACCGTCTTTGATTTTCTCACGCTGACCACCCGGAATCCACTGTGCACAAACATTTTTCAAGCTCTGAAGATCTTTTTGCTCCAGTTCGTTGCTAATGTTGTTTAAAAGAATCCGAAATGGATCCAGACTAAACGCCGCCATTTTTTATTCCTTTTCAGGTTGCGTCACGCTGTTCAGATATTTGAGAGCAGTTCTTTCGACGCACGGATTTTGTTGTTATTTGTGTTATTTATGTTACCTCAACAAGAAACGCTTCGAGTAACACATAAAACAAAGATTTGCTGTCCTCTCAGGCAGTTGGAAGGAAGTAAAAATTGTACGTATATCGACTGGCTTTCCGGGAATTTCAGTTGTATCGCGTGACTATCCAAGAGTATCATAACTGTAAACACGTCACGTGATTAAAAAAATGGAAGATTGCGTGATAACGTTCCCGGCGAGAGAGGTGGTCACAGGTTACTATTAGGAAGGGGTGGGGGGATTTTCAGTCTGTCCATTTGTGTTCCGTCGTGACACGAATTTAAATGAAACACTTAGGAGTTTAGACAATAGTCAAGCTGTGAGTTACCCCAGCTGTAAATTTTCTTGTAGATTTAAAAAGGCTCGCTATGAAACCCCATGAGCACATTCTTCTTGATATTGTAACAACTTTGAATCTCAACAACGTTAAATGTTGCCCAAAGAATTTCTCACATTCGCAAAGTCATTTATTCAAATCCCTCTGCAGTTAATTTGGATCAATATCAGTATCTGGGCAACTGCCCACCTACCCCTCCCCTAACCCAACATTATCCTTAACTTGTTATCAATAGACTGTTGTTGGGTTAGGGAAGGGGTAGGTGGGCAGTTGCCCAGATACTGATTTTGATCCTTTCTATCAACTTCTCTTGGCCAGTGGAAAAAGTGTTTCGATTCCTCGCCCACGCCGCACAACAGTCTTTTCACGATGTTATATCTAATATACATTTTAAGAATAGTTTCTTTGACTAAAAGATAGTCTTCCTCACAGTAAACATAAACCTAGACATAAGATTTCCTTGTTACCCTTTCATATACATTCTTCATTCTTCTTGCTTGCAATCAGGGGGCGCAACCTATGTTTTCAAGAGGAATATCAACTTACAAGAACCTAACTAATAATTTTGAAAACTTAAAAACGTTTATTTCTCGAACTATGAAAAACTGTCTGCATTAACCCTATAATTCATGACAAAATTCAAGACAGAATTTCTCCTTCCAATATCTCTTCAATATCAAGCAGACAAGTAATGAGAATAAAGAAAATATCAATTTTGTGAATTGTTCGTTGATCCAACACCTAATTCTCCAAACTAACATCATACAAATTGTATGGCAGGCAGTAAGGAGAATTACTAATGAGATCTTGGGAGTGAAACGGTTAGGGGCCACCCAACTACAAAGCCTAAGGGAATATCAACAGTTCCCTACAAAGCTCATCAATGCAGTTTACCCTCTCTCAAGATTTCCTTTAGCAATTTGTAGGTAAATTTTCATTAAAAGGCGGAATGGACCCTTTAAAAACACAGATTACTCTCAGGCCCGTTAGGGCCGATCCGAGATCGAGAGCATAAATCATAGTCTAGACGCCCACCATATAATAAGTAACAGCACACAGGCGAGGCAAATACGCAGCAGCTTAAACAACTTAATGACCACGTTCACCTTGAACAAGCCGTGACTTAAGTTAGCTACGGTTTGTGCGAGACGAAGGCTTAAACAAGCTCGTCTCACACAAGCTAATCTTTGTTTGAGACATAAAACCAAGATCCTAAAGTTAAATCTTATTCCTAAATAAAAGAGAGGAAGGAAAATCTGAAGAGGAGAAACCAGTATGGACGATATCCCTATGGTTCAGTTCACGGACAGCTGCCATGCACATCTAATAAATTATAGGAACTAGAACAAGTAAATAAAATCATGTTTTGACCATTACACTTTCACCAAGATGGGAAAAGATTTGCTTACAACTTCGGTTAAGTTATCTAAAACAAACATTTTGACGGGCTTCCGTTACTCAAGTAACTACTTGCGTGACATGAACGTGACATGAACGCGAGGTGAAAAAATTAGCAGCCTATTATACCAAGTTTCAGCCTACTGTGGCGAAAACATGTTGCTTGGTGCGAAGGGCCAAACAGTTACCTCTCCCCCTGTGTTATTCATCCCGGGGGGATTAAGGAGGGAGTGAAGGTGTGGAAGAAGGATCGATGCCCGGGGTGGGGGGTTGGGGTGAGAGGGAGGGCTTGCCACCACTGGGGGCATGAATGGGACGTCTGTACTCTCTGAGGAAGTAGGAGCCAACATTCGAGAGATGACAACTTGTTGATGCTGTTGAACGGGTATGGCGCTCAGATGACTGCCTTGAGAGGTCGTTCCTTGGGAATGTAGAGGACTTGGTGAAGATGTGCAAATACCTTGGTGCAAGGCGCTGTCCCGTTCACTAGCCCCGTAAGATGTCCCAAGAACTCTTCCAGTGTGTGCGATCGTAGAGGCATTCGCATTTGCATGAAGGCTAGGTGCGCTGACGGTTTGTTGCGGCTGGCTGCGGAGAAAGCCTAACACCACTTGCATCATAGGAGTGGGAGAGCCACTGACTGCGGTGTTCAAACTGTTCAATGGCGTTGTGCTGTATAAAGGACTCGGGGTGTTCAGAGGTGTGCACGAGGCTAAAGTTGTCTGAGAGCTTGCATTGCTCAACTCGACTGGCCTGTCTCCCGCCTGCGTGCTGTCTGCAACCTCGTCATGTTCGCCGTCATTGGGTGTCTCATCGGTGACCGTTTGACGGGGTTCGCCTTCTCGTTGCTGACCTTCCTGGTTAGCATCGGCTCTCTCTCCTGATTCAGCTGGTGCGTTCTTTCCTTTCTTCTTTCTGCGTCTGACAAAACACATTAGACGTTTTAATACCTTACTGTCAATTCGTCTGTGCAAAACCGTTTACAAAGTTAGAGACCACATGTCGCCCAAAGTTTAAATTCTTCTTCAATCACCCAACGTTAAAGAATACCGTTAAAGCCACTTTCTAAATTTGTTGCAAGAGAACAACATCTGAAATGGTTAGCTCGCAGTGTTATAGTGGGAAACAGTTGTTCAGAAAAGCTTCAAAGTAGTTGTGACTCAAACCGGTAAAGAAGACAGAAGGAAACGACTGGAAAACTATAATGACTTTAAGCAATTACGACGAATGTGATGGATAATTGACCATACACAAGCCTGCAATAATCTCTGGTCTTAAAGCTACACTTGAAAACATAATTATAAAAATAATTGTAGTAGAAATATAGGCAAGCTTAATGGGCCATGACTTTCAGGCATCGTTCATCTTAATCACCACAATAAACGGAGAAATTGACAAACCTTGTCCTTCCTTCAGCGCCATCTTCATGCCAACGTTTGAGATGCTTTTTAAGGTTTCCCGCTTGGGCGAATCCTTGTCCGCACTGTTCACAGGAAAAAGGTTTGTCTCCAGTGTGTGTGCGACAGTGCATAGCAAGACTACTGGGACACAGGAACGCTTTACCGCACAGGCTGCAGAAATACTTCTTTTCACGACTTTTCTCCTTGGGACGCTGTTCTTTGTTGTGAACAAACCTAATGATCAAGACAATACATTATGGCCCTCTTTTAACTAGCCTGCAGTGCAGGCGTCTTATTAAGGCGAGTTAATGTTAAGAAGGGCGCGATCGTTCACTCAAACGCCCATGTTTGATTTTGGAGTTGGAGTCGACGGTTGGGGGAGAGGGCGAGGAAACGCGAAACTATTCACTCCCCAACCCGCACCCTCTCCCTCTCCTTATTATTTATTGCTGCTCACACCCTTGGTACAAATTTCTTTCATTTCTCAGTCTTCCACTGTTGTTAAAATCAAAGATGGCGGTCATAATTTTCGCTACGAAAATACTGAGCACTCGCTCGTCGAAATTCCGCCTGCTCTGCTGGCTGTCTTTTAACTGCAAAGTGGGTTTCTGAATTAAACCCGAGAGAAACTTGATTAAGCCGTCAAGAGCACTTACTACCGAACCATCTCAACTTTTAGGCATCTCGGAAACTTACCTTATGTGTTTCGTTAGATTCCCTGGCTGGCTGAAACCCTTTTCACAAACAGTGCACTGATAAGGTTTCTCTCCAGTGTGAGTGCGCATGTGCGATTTCAAGTCAGACGGTCCCGGAAACATCTTGTTGCAACGATCACAGGCATATTTCTTGGCGCCCCTGGGGTTCATCGAACGACCTTCGACCATTGGACAACGTTTACATCTGAGGACGACAAGAGTACACAAATCGGCTGATTGATATACTGACAGGGTATTTTGGCATTATCAAATGAGTTGATAATAAAAACTGACCACCGTAAAGAGTTTCAAAGTTGACGTTTCGAGCTTTACCCCTTTGTCAAAGCGACAAACGGAGGGCTTGAGCTCGAAACGTCAACTTTGAAACTCTTTACGATGGCCAATTTACGTTATCAACTCAATGGATAATACTTAATTACCCTGTTATACTCTCCCAACGACGCAGAACCACAGTTTCTTTAGAAACGTACTCCCTTTATGATTGATATATTGACAGATGAATAACCTTATTGATTATTCGACTGACTGAAATACTGTTGCACAATACAAATTTAACTCAAATAGTAATACTAACATTGAAGTAGCTGACACGTGGACTGACCGGCCGCTGACTAACTTACTGTCTACAGTTATCACAGCTTCTGGGGAGACCATTGTTCCTCATCGGCAGTAAAAGGTGCAACTGGACAGATTGACTGCTTCAGTAACTGCACTACTGAGCCACGTGTTGACGTGACTCTTTTACAGGAAGACTGACAAACGACTAACTATCCAAATATACAAAGAGTCTCTTATTCCTCGCAAAAACAGGTATTACAGTGAAATAATAAAAAATTACTTATAATTAACAGGCAACTTTTAAAAGCATAGTTTGATCATTACTGGAACCCACAGGCTAAAGGAACCGAAACAAAGCCAGAGAAAAAGACACCAGACTTGCTAAACAATGTGGTATTGTTACGCAAGACGGAAACTAAAATTTCTACTCACGTTACTTACGGGAAATAACGCTTCTTTTGTTGTTGCAGTAATTGACTTTCAACTAATCGACTGGCTGCTCTTTCACTAATTGATTGTTGATCCAATAAGCCATTTCCGAATAACCTTTGGCTTCCTTTTCGAAACGAGGCCTGGTGCTCAACTATTCGTATAAAATTGAGTTTAATTTGAGTGTGAATGAAAACTTTTAATAATATGAAAGAATGAGCACCAGGACTCACTTTGAAAACGAGGCCAAAGATAATTCGGAAATGGCCTATTTTGTTCCCAGTTCACCCTTTAACCCACCTGATGTGTTTCCGCAAGCCAGACTTCTGAACAAAGTCTTTTCCGCAAAGATCACATTTATAGGGTTTCTCTCCGGTATGGCCCCTGTAAAGACGATCAGTTGAAAAAAAATATTTTAATCATTCAAAGGAATCAATCAAAATATTTATCATTACACGAGGTCAATGAAGCCCGCAAGAGTACTTGAAAAGGGATCAAAGCAGCTCACAAAAATGAACGTTGACTTTTCGAAAATAATTTTTGGCGGAAAGCTATGAAGGGCCATCATGTAGTCTCTTTCGATTTGGATCGCTATGTATCCCTCAGGCGATGAAAGTCGGCAGATTACGCTTAGAAACTGGTCAGGGAGGACAGAGGATATAGTAGCGTCACCTCCCCCCACTCAGGCTCTGTAAAACTCTTAGGATCCCCTCCATTGGCAGTCAATTTTCTACAGCCCCGTCCTTCATACCCTGTCAGCGAGGACTGATACCCACTTCGTTCGCCCTAAAAGCCATATGATTCCCGCAAAAATCCTCCGACTCGCCTCTACCCTCACTTGATAAATAATGATTGCTCTCTCAACCTTCAAGAGCACTTTTCAATCGAGTGTCGTAAAAACCATCACCATGGTGATCACAACAGTCAATCAGAACGAAGAAAAAATTGCAGTGCGTAGCAATCCTCCTCAATGGTGATTACCTCGAAGGCCAGACGATAACACTTCATTAAAACTTTTAACAAATTACACCCGTGTATGGTAAGTTTCCACTAAACCCCACCTAAAATGCACGACCAGTTGATAACTTGTGGCGAATGTCTTTATGCATTTTCCGCATCGATGGCCCTTGTCTGCGACTCCCTGCTCCCCATGCCTCCTCCTAGTATGTTTGGCGAGGTTTGGGAACGAGACAAATGTAGCCCCACACTCACTGCACATGCACTTTTTGTCCGTGGTGTGTGTTTTGACGTGTTCCATCAGCTCTGGCTGAGTGTCAAATGACAGCATGCACCCATCAAACTGACAGACAAACTTGTCAGCGGTGTATCTCTTTTGAACTTCGTCTTTCTCGTAGTGACTCGCATGCTTGTGTCTCCACAGATGACCTAACCAGATAGTCAACTAGTGTTAGTTCGCAAACACAGAACAGGTGAAGCGTTAGTAGAGCATGCTTGTGTCTCCACAGATGACCTAACCAGATAGTCAACTAGTGTTAGTTCGCAAACACAGAACAGGTGAAGCGTTAGTAGAGATCTTTTCATGGAGCATTTTCAAAGTCAAATGAACAAAACCAAAGTCTCTCGAAATCCCACTCGTCAGCAGTTCATGTCCTATACTCCCCTCCCTCTTTAATCTCTCTTGGCGTCGACTGATCCCTCCCTCATATGCCCCACCCCCCCCCCCAAAAAAAAAACCTCCAGACCCCCTACCCTGGAGATAAATGATAACTAGTCCCTTAACCCTTTAACCCTAACATCAGTATTCATATTCTCCATACTGTTCTCTGTACATTTACTAAGGTGCTGACAAGGAGAATTTGTCTAACAATCAAGAGTTTCTTTAGTTGGTGATCATTTCCTTTATTCTCATGACATTCATGTGTGATTCAGTGGTGATATTGTTAAGAGAAATTAGATGCTAGTCACTTTTAAGGAATTAAGGGTTCAGAATTACGATTTACCTCGTTGAGTGTAAGTTGCGTCGCAGTACTCACACTTGTAGGGTCGTAAACCTTCGTGCACGGACTGCACATGAACAGCCAACACACGACTGTTGACGTACACTTTACTGCACACTTCACAAGACACAGGTCTGTTGGCTTCAGAGTGACGCTCTCTTGGCACCTTCTCGTGCACACTCCTGATGTGACGGTTCAAATGCGTTTTCTGAGTGAATTTCCACGAGCACTTGTCACACTTGAATGGCCTCTCTCCGGTGTGGCTTCGCTTGTGGCTCTGTGGTAAAACAAAACTTCAATCTCTAATGGCGTTCTGTTTCATACAGAAAACTATGAAAAGGTACTGTAATACGTTCACACAGAGGTGACATAGCTAGTCCTAGTTTCATTATATTCATCGTGCGAATAACTTTGCCACTCTAACAGTGATTTACCTCGTTTCTCCCAACTCCAGCTAAAAATCTTGACCGCGAGGGAAACGAACAAAGTTCAAATATTGCAAGGGGGGGGAGGGGAAAATATAATGTGCTGCATGCGAAAAGAATGCGGTATCTGCGCGTGTATTTGCAGCAGTGTTTCAAAACTTTTGGCCTAGATCGAAGCTACGGTGCAGCACCAAAAACAAGAAGAGAGGTGAAAATGCACATTTTTAAGTCACTGCACGTTTGCTGGACTAAATTTATTTTGTATCTAAATTGGAAGTAAAACACCAAAATATATAGATATATCGGATCAATATCAGTACTTCAGCAACTGAGCCGCACCTACCCATCCCTAACCCAACAGGTTTGGGTAAATGTTGGGTTAGGGGAGGGGTAGGTGCGCAGGTACTCAGATAACGACATTGATTCGATATAATATAAATTCTACAAACCTCTAAGCCGTGCATGGAGTCGAACTTTTTGCCACATTCCGAACAGCCATATTTTTTTTCCCGTTGTTTATCCTTGGCTGGGACATAACCAGGTAGATGCTTTTTACGATGTTTGTTCAAGTTGCTTTTGGAGGAGAACTTTTTACCGCACTCGATGCAATTCAACACACTGTTTTCGTCGTGGGTCGCGAGATGTTCCTTCAGGTACATTTTGTTGTAGGTTTTATGACAAACGGGACACTCCTCGGATGACTCATCCGGCCCGTGCTTGGAACGGACATGGTACTGTTTCTCTTTAACAGTTTGAAACTGCATATCACAACTCGCACATCTGAAATCAACGATTTAAAATTCGATTTAAAGCAGGCGTGCATAGTTTCCTTTGAGAATGAAGATCTGCGCGAAAAGCACTATTCACCTGCGTGGTATATCCTTACAAGCAACAGAGCACATTATCCGGGCTTTATAACCTGATAAAGCCACGAGGGATGTTAGAAGAATTCGAGGAAAGCCTGTAAATTGTTCGCCTCCGACTTGTGACCCCAACATCCCGCGTGGCTTTATCACATTACAGAGCCCTGGAAGCATAGGCTTGGAAACTGGACTAAAACATATCAAACACTTCGATAATCAAGATCCGATAATTAATTCTCCCCATTTAGCGCCATAGATTTCCTCTTAAATTAAACAGGAGAATTTGATGTTTGATCAAGATAAAACCCTCCAGTTGATACACTTGTCTGTTCTTAAAACCTTTGTGCAAGATAACCTATTAAAAACGAAAGAGAAAGTAAATGTTAATTTTTGACTTACTTTGGCACATGAACCTCTGGCGGATTATCCGCATGCTCCTTCAGTTGTCTCCAATTCTCAAACTCTTCATTGCAGACGTTGCACCTGAGCAAAAAAAAATTATTATCCATCATTACTCCTAGAAAAAAAAAAGTGAACTTTGTCGATCGTTCTATGCCTTTTTGTTTTGCTTTGTTTTGTTCTTCTTTATTTCCTACTTCTTCACTGTATAACAAAATTCAGAGTGCTTACGAACCCGTAATATGGTACGGTGCGTCTGAAACTTCACCCGTTATTCGTATATCAACAAATCAGAACTGATCAGTGCAGGCTAAGAGGCGAAATAAATACATAGAATAAAAGACTAGAAAGAGTAGCAGACGTAGCTGCCCCAATTTTTTATCCCTTTGGGAAATAAATAGTGTTATTCTGAGTGTCAATTGATTCCAATACTCAGAACACGATAACGTAATTTTTTCTGAGTAGAAGTGGTGATAATCATGAAGTGAAGGTACATCTTGAGAACTTTATGATTGAGTGCCGTAAAACCAAAACCAAATTAATCACAATGGCCAATCAGAAGAAAGAAAAATCCATTTAAGAGCCAATGAAACTCAAAGTAAAACCGACAAAACGCGGGAAAACGCGGGCGACCAAGCCGTAATTGATTTAGTTTTACATCTGATTGGTTAAGAGAAAGGCACAAGCTTTTTTCGACCAATCACAAAGTGGAGTAAAGCAAAAAAAAAAAAAGCACTTCTGATCATTTTTGACATCCACTTAAAAATTGCTCTTACTATTGATATAATTATACACTTTGGTCATGTTGACTTAAATTGCAAAGTTTATCTTTCAAATTAAAACAATTTTCATACTTTGGCTTTCCATTACATTTGTGTTTCTGAAGTAGAAAGGCATTTCTGAACTCCATGGTGCATGTTTTGCACTGGAATTGCTGTGAAAGGCATTCCATAGCTGAGCTGTGTTCTGTGGCTTTCACTTTGTCCCCAAAATCCTCTGAACAGTGGGTACAGCGGTATTTGATTGTATCTATTCAAGGTAGAATTAATGGAAACACATACAAGAAAGGATGTCAAATTGTGCACAAAAAGGCAGATAAACAATGTCTATGGTGACAAAATCACATACACAGTTTCTATCTCAAGAGTGCTAAAGCGTGTTAACCAAAGAGATGCACATGTACAATGTACAATTATCCAACTGACAGCTCTAAGGTAATCTTGTAAAATTCAAAATAGAAATACCTCATTGAAGTACATGTATGTATCACTTATTTTTTTACTTTCCCAAAAGGCAGCCTTTCAAAGACAACGACCCGCATGACTTACCATGAATACAAATTAGAGTACAACTGTACAAGTAGATTGAATCAATACAAAAAGAATGTGCATGTAGCACAAGAATAGTACTCATCAAAACAAAAAAGTTTCAGTATACATATTCTCCCTACTGTTCTCTATACATTTCCTAAGGTGCTGTCAAGGAGAATTTGTTTAGCAATCAAGAGTTGTTTTAGTCAGTGACCATTTCTCTTATTCTTGTGACCTTAATAAGTGATTCAGGGGAGATATGGTAAGGAGATATTAGAAGCTGGTCACTTCTAGGAATAAAAGGGTTGATGTCAAACTGTTACTCAAAAATGTGACGACACTCTTGTTAAGAGTTATGTAAACAAAATGATGACATACCCTGACCACTCTCAGTGTCAACAATTTTTATTTCTTTTATATGTGGCTTTCGTTTATGCTGAGCTGATGGCTTCCTTCCACGTTTCTTTTCCATTGAAATTTCGCCATTATTAGTGCTGGCCCCAGTTTCCTTTGTCAACTTCTTTTCACCCTTAGGAATAAAATCATCATCATCATCTACATCATTGCCATCATCAATATCTTCCTCTTCCTCTTCATCTTCATCTTCATCTTCATCACCCTCCTCATCATCTTCATCAGACACCTCATACTCTTCTATCACTACCACATCATCACTGCCATCTTCATCTTCATCATCATCATCATCATCACTGTTGTCTTTGTCATCATCATCCACAACCTCTGGATTTCCTTCTTTGAGAGAGTCAGCCATTTCTTTATCATGGCCTGCATTATTCCCATCTTTGTTAGGTTCTTTGCCTTCAGTACTAGGGTTGATATAAACTTCAGACTTGTCAAGAGGAACCACTGCAATCTTTTCACCAGCATCATCTGTGATGAAGGACAATGGTGCACTCTCTACATAGGCTGGATACACTGAACCTGTCAGCGATAAAACACATCGAGACAGTAAAACAAGTGTAAAGCTACTTCCCCAAATCAAACACATTCTATATTACATCTTCTTTTTCTTTGTACCTTTCCTCTTGAGTTCAGAGTATTAACTTTTTTTTATTACCTTTAAATGATTTATCAAATAGGACCATTAACTCTTCTCCCACAGCTATATCCTTAACAGCTTCAAAGCAGACTCCTCCTGGAGAGTTATATGCTACAATGTTTTGTTTTGCTGTTGATGTAGCACTCTGGAGACGACTGAGCCAACTGCATTTGTCCTTCTCATTCTTGTGTGCATAGAAAAAGTGCATTGAGTTTCTTTTGTTTTTATCTTTGATCTAAAAATGCAACAGAACATCATATGGTATCACATACATGTAATGATCTACACAAGTCTCAAACCTAGAGTTATTTACCCTCTAACTCCCAATATCTGATTGTTAAATCTCCCATCTAGCTGCGACATATTTCCTTTGTAAATTAGTTACAAGAATTTGGTGTTAAATCAAGATAATAACTTCTAACCTAATAAATTTGAGTATTCTCATTACCTGTTGGCTAATAATGCAAATATTTAATTGGGAGAAGTCACATGTTTATCACTTCAGGGAGTTTAAGAGTTCACACTTGTAATGTAATAAAGTGGTACTTGAATAATGACCAGTTATTTATACCAAATTTTTTTAACAGCATGTTGAGAATAGGATGCATTTGTGCACAATGGTTGACAGATTTCAGTTATTACAATCTTAAAATTCTTGTAAGAAGCTATCCTCCTGAAAAGTTTGGGTGACTTGACAAAACTGCATCAGTTGTTTATTACCTCTGATCATACCTGTGACACAAAAAAGTACAATTTCTCTGGAGATTTCTTCTTGTCCACAATTTTACCAATGAATGGGCCAAAACGTCTTCCTTCAGGTATCTGCATATGGGCTAATATTCCAGCTCTGCGTAATTCAGGAGGGAGATGGGAATCCTCCTCTCGCACCTTACAAGGCCTACCTGTAAAATTCCAACAAACTACTTTACAAAGAGGAAGAACTTTTCTTGTGTGTATCCGACCCTTTTTAAATTTCCATTTATCAAAGCTCTATTAGTTACAATGTAGCTATAGTGTGAAACAAATTACTACCAAATCATGAAGTGAAACAATATACATGTATCACTGTTTGGATTCACAAAAACTACATATTTTTTACATAAAGTGCAATTGTTTCTCTAATGATACATTCATTTTGGATGTGGATCACAATGTTTCAATTACATACTGCATATTATAAAATAATTCAAAGTATGCGTGCTCTGATTGGCCATAAAACCATTTTACATGAGCGTATGTAAACATGGTTTTCATACTGAATCTTCTTGTGGAGTTCTCCCTGCTATTTATTTAGCAGTAACTCAGTTTCTTTAAGTTTGTTTTGAGTACAGTAATGGAAGAAGAAGATTTTCCTAATTTTTCTTTGGAGTTTAATTTTCCCAGTATTCAAGAAACAGCCAAAAAGCCAAATGAACGACAACAACAAGCACATCACTTTCCTTCGTCGCAAGAAGAGGTTCTTTCATTAGTTATTTTATAAAAGAAATGTAAAATGGTTTCCATGTTTACATAGCCTGATGTAAACACTTGGGAGGTTGGGAGAACACTCAATAAGCTGGAAACCACTCCGCTTCATGTCGTGGTTTCCTACACTTATCTCGTGTTCTCCCAACCTCCTGCGTGTTTACATCAGGCTATGTAAACACGGAAACCATTTACATTTCTTCAATATCACTCAAAAGAGTTGTACTCTATCTCTGAAAATACAATTCTCATTACTATTTTCTGATTTTAATAACCAGTCTACTCAACAGAGTTGAAAAAATGTTTAAGTTAGGAGAATTTGTATTGCAATCACTTCAAAAGGCTAGCTATGGACAATTCATTGATGCATTAAATTTCTATCATTTGATCATTCATCTAAATAGTTATCTGAGTGTATAATCTTGTTCTCGTTCAATTGTTCTCTTGTTTCATTGTTCCTTTGAAAACAAACATGAATGCATCAAGACCTCAGGTGTACCTACAGCGCAATCTGTGGGCATGTTTTGCTTCAAAATTTTCTATGCCTTAAAATAGTTTAAACCATTTTCATTTCCCCCGTCTTTTCCAGATCATCGCAATAAATACAGGAGCAATTATATCAAAACTCACCATTGTTTGAAAGAATTCAAGCTCGGAAAAATTTCCACCCACAGAATAACACATTGGAATACCTCTTCACAGCTGTAGTTTTATAGTCCCGTTATGTTTGGTCCCGAAAAGATATCCTAATTCTCCCTTCCTTTCATTCACCTTCACATATAAAAGGAGTCTATGACCCATACAAAATTCCTGATCTATGAAAAAAGAGTTGACCCATTTCAAAAACATTGTTCGCATTTGGAATAATATGCAAATTACTTTCCATTTGGACTCTCGACTCTGGTGGACAGTTGAACGACAATATTCATCCCAGAAATCACCCGTTCAGCAGCCTTCTACATGCCATAAACAAGGAAAATCAAGAAAATTTAGAAAAATAAAATCTAAAATGTTAAATTTCACTTCTTATCCGCTTGTGAAGTCTAAACTAAAACTTGCATTTGCAATCGCAAAGCTTCCGTTCCACAGTTCCATGAAACTGACACACACTTTCGACCAAAAACCTGGCTCAAATAACACGAAGTTCTTACCTTTATTCTTCTTTGCTTTCTCTAACGAAGAAGATGTTTGTCCTGCTGGGCTCTGTAGCCTTATTCGCTTGCCTGAAGTCGATCGCGATCCTTCGCGAGCGCCGCGTTCTTGCAATTTCCTTTTCGTTGTATGTTGAAGAGGTCGCGCCTTCATTCGAGCCATTTTCTCGAGTCGTTTGTCGCAAATTTCCAGATCAGAAGCTTCAAACGAGTTCTTTTTCAGCAATTCAAAAGCATTTAAAGATGAAAAAGGGTAAGCTAGGGAGGAATCGATTCACTTAAGTCCACACCCGCTACCGAAGAGTCTGCCATAAGTTCACACCATTCCGACTTGTTTCATCCTTTTGATCACGTGATGACTCTTCTAAGATTCTCGCGGAAGACTGGGTTATATTTCCGGGTTTCTTCTCGCATTTATCCACAGAGCAAAGCATTTGGATAATGAATTTGTCGTTTCCTGTATAACGAACAATACATTCTCACAAGAAACAGCTACAATTTTAGGACAATTATTTATATTCCATATTTCCTCGATAGAACACCCCGGTTTGCTTCTGTCTCCCCCTGTCACAACATGGTCTTCTGTAAGTTGATGCCAATTCCAAGTTGTTTTTATCTGATCAAGAGTGAGTCAGTTTAGCTGCCCCAAAAACACGGAGTTTTCCTTAGAAAGTTCTGGTAAACCAAGTTATTTGGCTACTATATTTGATGTTCCGTATGATATGAATAATTGTACGTTTCCGAGAAGAGGAAATAAAAAAATGAGTAATGTAACTGAAAAGATAATTAAAGCCAATCCAAAGGTGTTTGCATAAATTTTCTCGAATTCTCTTAACCTTTCCCCTCTTCCCCTGCCTCCCATCCAAATGGGGCTGCTATGCTTTTTCTTTCACTGTGGGGCTGCTATGCTTTTTCGTTCACTGTGTAAGAAAAGAATCAGGCAAACCTAACATTCTCCTGTACTGAATGACTATAGTTGAAGCTCAAAAAGTTATAAAAGGAGGTGGCAATAGAAAAAGGAATTCCTTGTACTCTTACTATTTATGAAAGTGAGGGACGAAGGGGGGAGGAGACACCTGTTTGATATTATGGCAAGGGGGGTGGGTGCTTATAGGCTGAATTGTATGGGCAGTTTGATTGGTTCTTATGCAATATCTAATTTTCTTACTGCATTTTGATGTCTTCTGTGGTCAAATTCCCGATCAGATGCATGGCAATGACAAAATTATTTGTTAATTTTACAATTACCTGAATTAATCATCCAATTTCCACAATTACATGGAATCTTTTTGTTTCCTTTCATTTCATTTTAATTCTATACCACTACATGTCATACAAATGTTATCCATGATTAGGTTCATTTTGTTTTCTATTACCCTTGCTTCAACAGCAGTAAAAAATCAAAAGATAATTATGTAGCACTGTTGGATATGAAAAACGTAAAAAACCCATTGATAGAAAAAGTGGAAATGTATTCCCTGAACAGATGCCAATGGCAAAGGGAATTTAGTCACAAAATAAAAAGTAGATGAATAACAGCCAATATACACATTGCAGTATAAAAGTGTACAAGTAAAAAATATATCTATCAATAAAAAATAGTACATACAAAAGTAATGTTCAGGGTTGATACAGGCCAAGAATGTTTCACTATATCACAATCTAATAAAAGATAGAAAATGTAGTATGTTTTATTTCCGGGACAAGTTGTATCTATTCCCCTCTGTTTCTGTACTGAAAATTATAAATGTCCCCTCAATTTGCATACTTAAATTCCAGACATTATTAAATTACAATACACGTACATCGCTTGTTCAACTTTGATATCCTCTACATTTAATAAAGGACTTAATCATAAATCTTCAACAGATGAATACTCCTCCAGGTGCTTGGATAACATTTCCTGCTACAGGTGTCTCTAGATACATTCTGAGAGCTCTTACTTTGTTAATTAAGTCACAACATATGAAGGGGCTAAATTCTTCAAACAAGTTTAAAGTTTTGATAAAAAAATGCGGACAAGACTGAACTGTCAAACAATTCTCAAGCATTAAAAGTAGGTCCTTAAGCCTTTCCTCACAATAATCATATCTCCACAAGAAGAAATGTGTCATCTCACGTCGGTAAAAGCAGATTGTTTTGAAATGGTATGAAGACAAGGGCTTCAGGTAAGGCCCAAATGTTTTCAGTTTCCGTAAAACCTGCCTTAAACAATTTTGATTTCCATCTGCAATACCTCCCAAGTTAAACAGTCTCATCTCAGCAGCTGAAAAGCTGAACTTCCAGCAGAAATCTTTAAAGTGTTCAGGACCGGTAGGTCTCTTTGCAACTAAATGACATCCATCTTGAAAAACTATTAGTTGTAAATGGTTCTGATCTGGCCAAACTGAAACAGATTCAAAACAACAGTAATTGTATTGTGATTCATGCCATAAAGTTTTTGTCTGCTCTACAATGAACCGGCTACAAGTGAGTCAATAAAAGGGGAAGGGGGGAGGAAAACTGGGGGAAGCCCATGACTTGAAAATTAAAGGAGCTCTCTACTAAGTAGTAATCCTTTCCACTTGAAAGGACCTATTACCCTTGAAGTAGCCAACACAAGCATGGCATAGATTGAGAAATCTGATACCTCGAGGCCTCGTGGTCCATTCCTTAGCAACAACAGGCCAAGGAACTCGGATAGCCAAAGTCAAGTCCACAGAAATATGTCTTCCATTTGGAGTAGTTATTTTCAGGGTTACTGCTGGACCATGTACCTCGACAACAACAACATCACCATGTCTGGAATTGAATATTAACACCGGAGTTAATATTGTCTTAAAATATTGTCTTGAATTCACTACATAGCCTCTCCCCAAAATGTCAAATGTTTTTAATTCTTAAAAACTGGTTAATTGGACAATAATTACTCAAAACCCAGGAGAATCAGTTGATTGCACAAGGTGTCATGGTCTGCGTAAGGTTAGTCCTGAAAAGGACTTCTTCTGTGTTTATGATTGGTGTGACATTTCAACAAAATTAAAGTTGAAAACACATTAGAGGGGCAGGGAGGGTCAAATTGGCAAACAAGCCCATTGCAGTTCAAAGTTTAAGTTCTTCTTCTCACTTTCTCGAGAGCTCCCTTTCATCAAGGGGGTCCCCTAAATGTATCCCCTTGTTATTCTATACTGCATGATAAAACTTCAGTAGAAAATTTCTCTACACTATGCCACCATCACTCCTCACCATATTTACTTGAAACAGCATCAGAGAATTAACAGTGTTTGAAATTTATTTCTTTGCTGCCTCAGCAAACAGCAAGGTGATATACCTGAGTCACATTTGAACTTTATTCTTCCCAAAGGGCTTTTGGGAATTAATCCGTACCTCTGAAGTTCAAAAACAGCCGTTTCAACACAACGAACAAATAGCATTTTCACTGATGTAGCATTCAAGAATCCATGTTTATTAACACAACCTTTGAGCCTCCACCAAACTTCGTCAGGCCCATAAAGCTTGATCATGGTAAACACTATAATACAAAACATTTGTAAGAAACAGGTAATTCCATTCGGAGGGTTATACAGATGGGGTTATTGCGTGATATTGCTTTACAAGATGTACATACGCCAATAAAATTGCACTGAAAAATTAACAGCTGAGTTGTAATGTTTATATTGCCCCCGGAAGTGTAATACTCATTGATGATAGCCAAACAAACATACGATAAAATACTAGAACTAGACTTCCACAAATAACACGTATGTTTCAATCAATATTTATCCACAAACTAGTACCTGTACATCAGTACATGTGTTGATTTGCTAGAGGAAACAACATATATAAATATAAATTGATTATAGAGAAGAGTGTTGAACTCAGTTATATGTGTGTATGTATATATATGTATATATATATATAAATATATATATTTATTGATCCTAACCTGACATATAACCTGAGAATGGAATAGGAGGCGGAAACAGTTCAAAAAAACTGATTGGTAAAATCAGCATCAAATCAATGTCTGCTGACGCATCTACTTGAGTTCCTTCGAAGGAACTCCCACACGGGATGATAAAAAAGAATCCAAAACATCTATGCTTAACGTAATCAATAATGTTTCTGACGATCGGTGGACATCTGTCGAAGGCCCGCAGAACGTCGGGCGGCCTAAAGTTATTCATACTAAAACGTTCCTACACAGCATGAGAGGACGGATATGGCTTTTACTGCAAGTATCATCTTCCGCAGCGTTATTTGCCCGGGTCTGTTGGGAATGTGTGAAAGCATGTCAAACTGTAGGGGATCAACTTATCATCGCTAGTTATTGGGGTCCTGGTTAGTGTTGTAATGCGACTCCATAACCTTTCAAACTATAGAGATCAATGTGTCATCGCTCGTGGATGGAGTCCTGGTTAATGTTATGAATGTCGTAATATGATTCTTTAATCTTAATAAAAGACTCCATTCTTTTGCCTGTTGTCCTGTTGTCTTAACCGGCTTTCAACCACAAGCTGTTTGTTAGTGGTAGGATGGCATGTTCTTTCTACGACATATTTGTGGGTATGCAGCTATCCCGTATGGTAAATTAATTACTAAAAGCGCTTTCCAGTAGCCTGTTGCTGTACAAAGAACGCTTTAGAACATTATATGATCTTTCGTTTTCTTAAAATGTAGCCTTGTTTCATTTTGATTGCGTGATTATAAAATACCCTTTTTTGGCAAGCCGCTCAAAGAGTTATTTCAGTTTAGTTTCCTTTACGTCATAGAAGTATATTAGGCCTTTTTTCACGCGAACATTTTAGTTTTAAGGAGTTGTCCCTGGAGCAAAGAGTTTTATAGGAATCTTTTTTTACAACTTGGAGTTTTCTCACCCCCGGAACCAAGATCAGACGTAAGTCACGATCGTTAGTTGTGTTTTCTGTCGTCAGATTTGTAGTTTAGCTCGTTTCCTTAACTTAGACAGATCGTGCATTCCTTTTAAGTTTTCACCGGAAGTGTTGTAACAAGTCGGCTACCCTGATTACTTGATTTAGTCCAATAAACGTGTGTAAGAGTCTGTTGTTGAACTGCACTGTGGTTGACCTGGCAGATTCAGTTATGCTGCTCCCCGTGTCTGCCGTGCTGGGAACGCGACAATAAAAGTCCCCTACGAGATGGCAATCAATGCAAAAGATGTGCAAATCAAGTGAAAGCACACTTTACCTGCTGAGAAGAAACCTCTTCTGCCTGGTCTCAAGCAATCTTCGAGCCCAGTGTCATCGCCAAATGATGACCTCGTGGAAAATAGATTAATTCAAAATAATAGGAAAGTAATTGATTCCACCCAAGAAGTGTGACTTACGGGAGGGATCAATCGGGCGAGTTGTTAAAAAAATTGTATTTCAAACTAAATTTTTTAACCCGCCAAAGTGTGAATGGTCAATTGTAACATGCCAACATAAATGACCAATGTGAGATGTTTCTTGCGGCAGAACATCCTGATCCTTCAATTCCAAACGCTTTAACATCTCCTGATTTCGGTTGCAAACACAGGCGGCCCAAGCTCCAGCTGTGAGATGATCATCTTACGCAATAACGGTCATGGCGGAATTATAAGAGTTTGTATGGGAATATTTACGAGCGCTACGAAATCGATCAAGAGGCTATTGTTTCGATCGGCCAACCAATTTGGCCTTCAGAAATGTTTACAAATGTGTGATTATTTTCGTAGTCAGAGGAAAACCTGGCAAGGATTTATACCAGTATTCAATTTAGTTCTATCTGGACATACCTATTTTAATTCTGCCAACAAGACAACTGTTATTTCGCTTCGTCCGCACGAGAATGTGAGTCACAATAGAACAAGTCGCTCAGCCATGTAAGTATTCACTTTATTCTTAGTTGCCGGCTACGCTAAATTTCGCACTTCGTCTATGTGTTTCTTGCCAAGTGCCCTTGTAGATACTTATTTCTTTTACTTTAGGATAAAACAATAGCCTCTCGATCGATTTCGACCTGAGGGGACCTGTGGTTCTAAAACAATTTATTGATGATAACTGACGGTGTGGTCCCCGGCGAGGCTCAGTTTGAAAAGGAGGTAGGGTTTCAACGGTCGTGTGTCAAGGTTGATGTGGTCGCGGGCTGTTAGAAACCTCTAAACTAGAAATTTTTGAAGCAAACTGCGGCTTAGCGTCGGTTGCACGGGGAAGATTGAGTTTGTAGTGAATTGAAATGAAACTACAGTATGTGTGCTTGGATTCTGTGTTAGATTTGTGGCCACCCCGTTATTTTGAGCTTGGATTTTTCGCTTCTCGGATCAGGCGTTCGGAAATGGTGTTCAGCCTTGGGCTTTTCTTATGTACGTTGAAAACCTCGAAATGAACAACTCGCTCAAATGGGCTCTTTTCATCAAAGTAAGCGGTCAGATAACAAGCAATACGCTGTGGAAGCGAGGTGAGGTATTTTTTTTGAGAATTTGACGTATTTTTTTATTCCTGAGAGCGGTCGTAAATATGCCCATACAAACTCTTATAATTCCGCCATGACCATTATTGCGTAAGATGATCATCTCACAGCTGGAGCTTGGGCCGCCTGTGTTGCAAATGGAGTTCCTTGCTATCTGTCTGCGTTTAAACCTGGCATGTGAGTGGAGAAAGATAAAAAGGAGAAGAACCCAGTTATGGAATTTAAAAAAGGTAAGGAATACGACGAAGAATGGCGAAAGAATCTCAACTGTTGGGTAGTTACCCGAAAAATATGTTTTTGATGAGAGTCTGTTGAGACTTTACTGGACGTTTCTGTGTTTCTGTAGGCCGTCAGCAATTGGAGATTTTCAGAGTGTTAACATAACTTGACATGTGGTCACTCAAAGGCGTGAATTGTTGGAAAGACTTTAAGATCGTCCGCTACGTTGGCAACCCCAGCACAACCACTTAACACGTCTCTGATAATTTGCTGACATTTCTCTGGTGCCGATGTCACTCCAAACATCAACCGCTTGTACCGATACAGCCCTCTGTGCGTGACAAACGTAGTGATGAGGCGACTTTCCTCGCTGAGTAGAAACTAGTGAAAACCCCACTTGAGATCTATCTTACTAAACACGGTACCGTTCATGTCGCGTAAAACAGCTCCTCTACGGTTGAAATTGGATGCCGCCCCCTGACGATTGATTCATTCGCTCGGCGCATGTCAACACAGGCCCTTACGTCACCGTCACCTTTGGAAACAACCACCAACGGCGAAATCCATCCCGACGGCCCTTCCGTCACTTTCTCAAAAATGTCGAGTTTCAAAAGCTCATCAAGCTTTACATCCACCTTCTCTCGCAACCCGAAAGGGAATCTGCGTACATGCTGCGCCATAGGCTTCACCGATTCACCAACAGTGCTTGTGCAACAGTGCTTGTATTTCTCTCCAACATTACCGTCCGGTCGTCCACCGTCAACACTGTTTGCCTGAAAAAGGACCAACGCGCAGCAGGTTTAGCGCCTCGGCGAAGAAAAAATAAGCTGAGAGTTCCAATAGTGCAGAACAAAAACAATTTTACTTATCATAGGCTTTACGAACGACTTGTAATAGGAGTAGTTTCTTCGTTATTGTTCAGAAACTGTTTAATGTTATTATTATAGAAAATCAGACCGAGTTATTTTTGTGACAAGACTCAATAGTCTCCACTATTTTTATGACGTTTCGTATCAATGTTGAATCGCATCAGAAGACGCAGACTTATTGTAACAATTTCAATAGTTCAAATGCGGAAGTTTGCTCACATCTAACTCTTGCATATACTGTATGACTCGTTATAATAAATGCGGTAGAATTGGGACGAGATGGCTGGTTTTTTTTTTACCTATATTGAGGAATGTTGTGTTGTGATTGAAAAGAACATTGACAAAAAGCTTGCAAATAGAATTAGTTACCAAATATGATACAAAGGATGCTTAAAAGGAAAGTCTGGTAGGGGGCGCAAATCTGCGAAGGGGGGTCCATATCCGCTGGCAGATTTGGACTCGGGGGGTGGGGGTCCATATCCGATAGCGGGGGTCCAAATTTGCGAAGGGGGGTACATATCCGTTAGCGGATTTGGACCGGGGGGCCCCAAATCTGCTGCCGGATATGAACCGGGGGTCCAAATTTGCGAAGGGGGGTACATATCCGCTAGCGGATTTGGACCGGGGGGCCCCAAATCCGCTGGCGGATATGAACCGGGGATCCAAATTTGCGAAGGGGGGTACATATCCGCTAGCGGATTTGGGCCGGGGGGCCCCAAATCCGCTGGCGGATATGAACCGGGGGTCCAAATTTGCGAAGGGGGGTACATATCCGCTAGCGGATTTGGACCGGGGGGCCCCAAATCCGCTGGCGGATATGAACCGGGGATCCAAATTTGCGAAGGGGGGTACATATCCGCTAGCGGATTTGGGCCGGGGGGCCCCAAATCCGCTGGCGGATATGAACCGGGGGTCCGAATTTGCGAAGGGGGGTCCATATCCGCTGTGACACCCCATCCCTCGCCCTCCACTGGGACAACATCTTTTGCTAAATATCTGTATGTCTCTGGGTTCATTTTTAAATTACTTACTATGAGGGCTAACTCAGCACATGTTTGGTGGCTAAATTTTCTAAACAAGTTAACATTTCTGATAAAATAATGAGGACAATACTGATATTTCAAATAACTCTCAAGTAAAGAAAGTGCATCCTTTAGTCTCTCCTTACACTGATCATAGCACCACTGATGATACACGTAGCCCCTCTGATCATCGCTCCACTGATGAGGGGCCGGTTCTTTTTCCTCTTGCAACCAATAACAGATTGTTTTGAGGTGATATGAGTTTAAAGGCTTCAGCTGAGGCTTCAACTTCTTCAGCAGTCGTAAGACTAGTTTTATGCAATATTGTTCACCATCCCTAAGACTTCCACAGTTATGCAACATGCTTTCATATGGTGAGAAGGAAAGCCTCCAACAAAAATCTTTTATATCTTCAGGAATTATAGAACCTCTATCTGGTCTCTTTGCAACCAGATG